ATGAGAGGGAGGTTCAAAAGGGAGGGAATATATGAATACCTATGGCTGATTCATGTTGAGGTTTGACAGAAAACAACAAAATTCTGTAAAGCAATTATCCTTCAATTAAAAAATAAATAAATTTTTATAAATAAAGAACATTTCTAAAGTAATCATCCAATACTTCTGCTCAAGAGAATACACAAGTTGGGAGACTTCTAAACATGTCTGTAATCTAGGATTTCATAGAATAATAACAGTTAACATTTGAGTGTTATCATTTGCTAGGCCCTAGTGTGTTTTATATTAATGAAGTCATTTGATTCCTATTCTATAGCAGAAAAACTCCAGGGCAAGTGGACTTTTGAACAGAAAGTGAATAAAAGCAAATGCCATAAGTCTATCAAAAGATAAAAAGACTGAGTCTGTGGAACCAGTAGAGTCTTCTAGGCAAAGCAGAAAAAGAATGATCACATAACAAATATAATAAATTAAGGCTAATGATCAAAGCTGTATAAAGCTTCAAATCCATGCCATTCTAATGTTTGAAAAGTCAGGAGCCAGGACCTAATGTCAGACTGCTCTGTTCTGTCCTTGCAAAACTCTGTTTTTGTAACTTGTTATAAAGCAACTTGCTTTCCAAGTGGCTCAGTGGTAAAGAATCTGCCTGCCAATGCAGGAGATATGGGTTTGACCCCTAGGCTATTGGGAAGATCCCCTGGAGAAGGAAATGGCAACCTACTCCAGTTTTCTTGCCTGGGAAAACCCATGGACAGAGGAGCCTAGCAGGCTATAGTCCATGGGGTCACAAAGAGTCGGACATGATTGAGTGACTAAACAATAGCAACAATGATAAAGCAACTTGCATTTAGTAAAGATGATGTTGAAGAATCATATTTTTCTTGGCAAGAAAGCAGTGGTTCTCAATTGGGGTGATTTGGATCCCAAGGGGACATTTGGCAATGTCTGGAGACAGTTTTGATTGTCACAGATGAAGGGGAGGGTGCTTTTCTCTTTTATTGCAAATTACATTTTATGAATAAAACAAGTACAAACTAATGTATCAATATTCACATAGCAGAGAGCAGAGATAGCGCTAAACATCCTACAATACACAGGATAGTCCCCTACAACAAAGTATTCTACCATCCACAATGTCAGTAGCACCCAGACGGAGAAACATTACAGAAGGGTATTTCACTGCATGTGCAAGGGCAATATGAAGTAATCAAGAATCTGATTTTTAAACTTTTAAAAATTGAATGTTTACACCATAGTAATCCTAACCAATACATAGTGAGCACTGTCAGTAACAACCCCGGTTAGCCTCACTCTAGGAGCATGTTGCTGTTATGTGCTGGCTGTTGCTGTGTGCTTCAAAGTAATTTATTCCGTTAAGTAGGTTAAAAGTTGGCCCCCACCATCATGTTGAAACCTTATGTTCATTTATTTATTTTCACTCATCAGCTAAGCATCTGCTATATTCTTGGCCTCAGGGATCCAGAGAATAAAAATAATGTTAAGCACAACAACAAGAAAAAACCCCCCACAAACAAAACCCACAGTCTCCGGCCTCAAGGTGTCAAGAGCAGAGAGTAATGAGAAGTGAACAGACAACCTAAAACTTGTGGGGTAAGTACCGGGCAAAAGATAGACACAGGTGTGGGGAGGGAGGGGGGAGGGAGAGTGTTTCCTCAAAGAGATGGTACCAAAGCCGAGTCCTGGAGAAGCACGGGTAGGTGAGTAAGTTGGGGACTGCTGTTTGGGTCGATGGAGCTGCTAGGATCAAGATGCTACCTGTGTTTCTCTGTTAGTCTATGATAACACTAACAGTGATAAAAATAATAATAAAACTCCCAAAATAAATTTCTTGGAGCAAACAGTAGGGGCCAGACACTGTATTAAGAAACTTGCCTATATTAACTCAGATAATCCTCACAAAAGCCCTATAACACAGGTACTGTGAATAGTCTCATTTTACGGTGAGGAAACTGAGGCAAAGGGTGGTCCAAGTGACCTACCCAAGGTCACATGGCTAGTGACTGGTAGTTGGGATTCCAAATTGACTTAACCAGCCACTAGTGCCTAAATTCTTAACTACTATTATCTACTATGTGAAGAGACAGAAGATATGGTAATTGTCCCCACCAGGTCTGTTAGCTAAGAGACTCACTCAGACTTAATCTGAAAGGCAGAATAGATTCCATATAGGAATGGAAGTCATTTGCCTGGGAAGCCATGCTATTAGGATGAAGACCAAACTTTTCTAATCATGAATTGTCAGGCCATGCCTGATCGGGCCCTCACTCACAGATCCGTCTCTATCTCAATCCCTCTTAATCTCCATCTCAGTCTGGGCAGCCCCTTCAGTGGTTTTGGAGCCAGATGATGGCCACTTTGTTTGCCCCCTCCAATTCTGCAGTGTTCAAGAGCAGCTTCACTCTTTCCTCACCCACGCCAGTTTTCAACACCGGAACATTCAGAGTTGAGGCTGAAGCCCTCCAACAATGACCTGATGGCCTCTCCCATTCAGCAGCGGGCGGCACCACTGAAGAAGACCCTTCAAACACAATCCTTTCCCCAGGAGACACCTGGGCCATATTTTCACACACACTCTACCAAGATATGATGAGAAACCATCAGATGAACAGCCTCCAGTACTGTTCTGACCCTCCCATCTACGGACGTCACAAAAGAGAAAATTTCTCTTTAGAATGAGAAACATATTCCGGAGTCAGCTACGCTCCCTGACCCTGAAGATAATTGGTTTTTTCCAGATTTAAGACACTCTAACCTCATGACTCAGAGGAAGGTGGAAAAGTAGTTAAGAGCACAAGCCTGGGATTGTGACTTTGGGCTGGTCATGTAACCTCTCTGAGCCTCAGGTTTAGTAATAATATCTCATCTCACTGGGCTGTATTATGTAGCAAAGTATCTGGCACATGCAGCACTCAATAAATGTTAGCTTTTATTATAATTAAATTATGAAGAAAGAAGTGAGCAATCTGGAAAGAACTATAGGCTGTGTGTTTGTAGATGCATAGCAAACAGTTGAAGATGTCACAAAAGATTTTACTGGGGTACAAAGGAAATCCCACACTTGACATACAATCTTCAAAACAACTGACTGGCCTGTATCTTTTGTAAGTTTTTAAAGATAAAGTTAATAAACAATGAAATAGCTACTTGGTACTTTCACAAATTTGACTGCCAATCAACAGCTCCTGCTTGAAAAGGGAAATGGGGAGGGCCAACATCCCAAACTGCCTGAGTTAGTGGGCTAAGACTTCACAATGAAGGAGCTATATTTAGTCAGCGGCTGCCCCTGGCATTCACAGTGAAAAATGAATGCCGTCAAGGTGGCAAGGCTACCAGAGCTTGTGTCCATCTGGGCAGTATATCTTCTTGAAAAGCAATTTTTTTCTTTTGTTTTCTGTACATTTGATTGGTCTGTGTCAAATCATGCCCAATACCTAAGCCTTTGGGGGGGTACCTAAAAAAAAAAAAAGACCCCTAGCTAGATCATTAGATAAGATGCCTTTCCAAGGGAAAAGAAAATGAAAGCAAGAGATGCAATCCTATTCACCTATGATTTTTTTTAAGACATTTTTTTATTGCTCTTGGAAATACACATTAAGCATGAAGCTAGGGGAAGGTTGACAAGGCAGCTGATCCAGGCCTGTCCCACTCCAACTAATTTTAACTTGGCAGAGTCTGTTCAGAGGCCAGTGCCCTCCACACACCAAGCTGTTCTGAGTTCGTTAAGTAACACATCCCGAGGCTCTGAGTAATTGTCTACAGAACCCCACAAATGAGAGTCCTTTTCTGCAAAGGGGCAAACAGCCTGAACCATAACAGAAATTATGAACTGCTTTTCTCTCCCCTGAGCTGGCTATCAGGTCCTACATCTTCTCAACAACTGTCGCGTGCTCTTTGGCCAGGATTCCTGTGTGATTGATCTGGGTGTGCCTGAGCTTGGTACAGAGAAGTGACTCAATAAATAAGCCAAAGAACAGTTAACCAACTTCAGAAACCACCCTATTCACCCTTCCCCACACCTTCCAAGTTTAGATTTTTCCTTTCTCCCAGGCCAACTTTCTTTTTCCCTGTGTTCAATTTCAAACAGAAATGTCAGCCACTTCTTTAATGACAAGTGGATTCCTTTATAAAGTCTGAGGGTGGCTTTTTCTTTAAAGATGCATGGGATCAGCAAGATGTAGAATAGCACCACACCATCTTGCAAAAATGAGTGAAGTATTTTTTAAAGGATGACCTACAAGAAAAAGTGGTTTCTAGAAGAGCAGGTGTTGGGTAAAATCGTATATAACACAGGACACTTAATTTTAAGACCGGGTGCGAAGATAAAGTGACCATCCCTGGCAAGTCCTGGAAGAAAAAAAGAGCAAAAGGGACACCGTTTCTACATGGCAGACTTCGCCCCATACTGGGAGATGCGCCACCAGGCTACACCCACCCTTTTGCTCCTAAGCTCAGCTTTCTCGTACAATGTGGCAGGCGCTAGGCCGAGAAACTCAGAAAGAGCAACGCTTCTCTGATGTCCTTTTTACTCTAACACCCCAGAAGGCAAGTTCGGATCCATACCCTGGGGCCCCAAACCTTGCAGGACGGCGTCCGCCCCAGCCAGCTGCAAGATAAGGTTACACCACTTTTCTCTTTCTTCTTATTTTTAAGAGACCGGGACGCGACAAATATCAACGACAGCAAAAGCGTAATCGGGGCGGAGGAAGAAAAAAAAAAAAGTCATTTTTTTCTTGCTAGAGGTTGGCTATATTTCCGCACTCCCTAGGACTCCTTTCACGCTTCAGCCCGAGGCGCAGAAAAGAAAAAGGACCCCAGATTGCTGTGGCCTCGCCCTGCGAACAAGTGTCCACGGGTTTGCCCGCTTGCAATTATCAGGACAGGAGACCGGCGCGGAGAGCGTTTCCGCATCCCGGGATCTTGCACCCAGAGCCCGCCCCGTGCTGACCCCGATCACTGCCCAGGAGGGGAACCCCACTTACCCCACAACGGAAATCATCATGGCAGCCACCACCAGGTAGTTGGTCTGGTAATAGAGCAGGTTGCTCACCACACGGTTGTTCCATTTGGAAATGTCCCTGAAGTCCGGCCGGGCAAAGCGGTCAGAGCCTGGGAAGAAATCGTCCCAGGCGCGGAGAGGAGCGATATTCACATCCATGTTTCGCGTCCCACCTTCTTGTTCTTTGCTTCTGGAATCTGACGGCGGCGGCGCGGCAACAGATCAGCTGAGCTGGGTTAAAGTTGACAAGAGGCTTTGCCTCGATCGGCTCTGCGGTTGGCGGACAGTGGAGTAAAGGAAATTGGGAGCGGACGGGCGTTTCTTCTCTTCTTTGCTTCTTGATTGGTTCTAAGCGGTTGGTTACAGGAAAACAGGGTCCCCCGAAGCAGAGCAGAGATGAACCGACAGAAAGTAACCAGCGGAAATCCTCTGGGTGACGTGAGGTGGCAGAGCCTTCCCCGGCAGTCTGAATACAAACAACCTTCTTTAAAATACCTCTTTTGAATGTTTAACCTAGGAATGTTGTCTGGACTTTAGGGAAAATTTTTGCAGCTGTTCAGATGCGCCAATTGAGTGAAACGGAGTGGAAGGTAACTGTAGTGTTACTGAAGGATGCGCTGGTTTTGAAAGTTAAGTCGTTACTAACCTTTGCGCATCCAAATGCAATTCACATGTTTTCTGTTTCACGATGAGTCACCGTAAGTGAAATCAGACTGGTCAAATGGAAAAGAAATACGTGTGTAGAGCAGAACGGCTGGTTTGTTTTTTCACTCCCCTTCTTTATTCTCCATCTTTGTTTTCTGTGGGCAAATTTATACACCTACTGTGCCATTCTGATGAAGTGGGCACTCAGGTCACTTCAACCCTGAGCTGAGCATGTTGTTTTGTTTGAAAGTAAACAGTGATCTGCAGGATACTGATTGTTCTGCTGCAAATACTGTTCCAGTATTTTCTGGACAGAAACATGGATTCCACTCCAAAAGTTTTTCTTACTCTGGTCCTAATTTCTGTGCACAACTCTAAAGGAGCATAGTATTTTAATAGATAATGTGGTAGCTCGGTATCCCAGCCCAAAGAACTGCCAAGAGATGTAATAGTTGTAAATTTCCTTCTTGGGGGTTCCAAAGAGTCATCTTTTTTTCAGTTAAGGGAGTGGTTGATAAAGGAAACCTCCTGTTATCAAAATGCATGAGAATAAAGTACTTTGGTTAGTAATAGATCATGTGATTTCTAAGATGCTAATGTCTAAGATAATGAAATCTCTAAACCTGCAAGTGGTGCTGTTTTTAAAAATTGAATTCATTTTCCTTAGACCACCAATTTTCAAAAAAGTTGGAAAGTGATAAAATGTATGTAATGCAAAGTCTTGAAGACATAATTTGATTTCCCTGGATAATTCAGAAAGTAGCTAAGGAAATTTCAGTGGCTCTAAGAAATTAATCCTACTACTGGTGTTTAGAAAAGTATGATGATTGGATAGAATCAGTGCTAAGATATAGCGTTCAGTTCAGTCACTCAGTTGTGTCCAACTCTTCGTGACCCCATGGACTGCAGCACGCCAGACCTCCCTGTCCATCACCAACTCCTGGAGTTTACCCAAACTCACGTCCATCGAGTCAGTGATGCCATCCAACCATCTCATCTCCTGTCGTCCCCTTATCCTCCCACCTTCAATCTTTCCCAGCATCAGGGTCTTTTCAAATGAGTCAGTTCTTCATATCAGATAGCCAAAGTATTGGAGTTTCAGTTTCAGCATGAGTCTTTCCAGTGAATATTCAGGACTAATTTCCTTTAGACTGATTGGTTGGATCTCCTTGCAGTCCAAGGGACTCTCAAAAGTCTTCTCCAATATCACAGTTCATAAGCATCAATTCTTCAGCGCTCAGCTTTCCTTATAGTCCAACTCTCACATCCATACATGACTACTGGGAAAACCATAGCCTTGATGCTTTCTGAATAGTGTTTACCATGTGAAAGTGTTCCTGAGCTCTCACATTTTCTTGACTCTGGAAAAATGGGAAGGTTTAAAGTCAGAGCAAAATTAGAGTCCTAGCTCCTTTGTTGCTGGTGGCTGATTTTGGAGAAATTACTTAATCTCCTCCAACCTCAGTTTCTTCATGTGTAAAGTGGGTGCTATAGGAACATCTGCCATGTAGGTGAATGAAGATAAATAAAATAGTGGATGGGAAGTGTTTGGAGTATAGGGATTGCTCACAGATGTTACTGTTTACTTTTTTTTTTTTTTAAGATACCTGATATTTTGGCAATTTAAAACATATGTTTTATTTGGCTGGGTTAGGTGTTGGTTTTGGCAGGTAGTATCTTCGATCTTTGTTGCAGAACGAGGAATCTTTACTTATGGCATGTGGAGACTAGTTATGCCATGTGAAAACTCTTCGGTTGTGGCATGAGAACTCTTTGGTTGCAGCATGTGGGATATAGTTCCCTGATCAGGATTGGAACCTAGGTCCCCTCCATTGAGAGTGCAGAGTCTTAGTCACTGGACCACCAAGGAGGTCCCTATTGTTACTGATATTAATCATAATGTGATTCATTTGTATGGTATTAACAGTGCTTTAACCTGAGTTGTTTTCTATGCTGCTACAGTGAATGTTCACTGACCCTTCTCTATCTTGTTGCACTTTTATTTCTATGATTGTATCCCAGTAGACTTGATGGCCAAAAAAAAAAAAAAAAGGTTGAAAAGTTTCACTGTGACGCCAACAGATTGAGTCCTTTCCAGGTGAAACAGGTGAAAAGAATGCAGTCTTGCTATGCCTTCAAGGATCTTGCTATGCAGTACAGACTTAACTACTGGACAGTGAGTACTAGATAGAGGTGTGCCAGTGCTTGATGCTCAGTTACAGGAAGTCAGAAGGTGTGGAAGAATTCCTTGGGGCTTGAGAATTTCGAGAAGCAGCGCTGTGGCCAAGCTGAGTAAATGATCTCCGTTAAGACCAATGTAGGAGCCCCAGTAGGACCCCATTAGGAGCTGTGGCCAAGAACTCTTACCGTCCAGTTTCTCAGGACTGCATGACCATAAGCTGTCAAGTGTGTGTTAATAATAATATCATTACTCATTGGTCATAGGCAATTAACATCCAGTAAATATTTGTTCAACATTTTTTAATTTATTTGTTTAAACTTTCAAAGAAGTTTAAAAATAAAGAAATGAGAAAACTTGGATAGAGCTATATATAGCATGATCCTTTTCTTCCTTTCTCCTAAAATAGTAACCATGCTTCTCTCTCTGGTTCAACTATGAGAGACTTCTTTTTTTCCCACTACACATTTCTACCTTTATCATAAAATCATTTAAAATAAAAATGAACACATATGGAATCCTTACTTTATTTCTGGCTGTTTGAAATGCTCTACTTTAGTAACAGCTCTTTGTCACTATTTATTTAGGGGGATGGGATTCAACATAGAGGCCTCTCTGGGGCTTTTCTGTCCAAATCTCTGCTTCTAGATAGGCCACTCAAGAGTATTGTCTGTATATAAATCATAGTGGATAATCTAAAAGTTCGTTATATATTCCATTTGAAATAAGGTAAATCTGATGTAGGTTTTGCTTGCATGTCTCTGTTACTTTCATAATTGGCAAGGACAAGTGGCTCTTTCTTATCAGTCATGCTGAGCCAGTGGGAGTGCCTGGTGTCATCTATCAGAATACCACCACAGTGAGTCAGGGTGTGAGTCCCAAGGCAGGAGCAGGGCCAGATGACTTCTTCCTGGGCCAACTGGCTTAGACAGTGAAGAATCTGCCTGCAATGCAAGAGACCCGGGTTCGATCCCTGGGTTGGGAAGATCCCCTGGAGAAGGGAATGGCAACCCACTCCAGTATTCTTGCCTGGAGAATCCCATGGGCAGAGGAACCTGGTGGGCTACAGTCCATGGGGTCACAGAGAGTTGGACTCTACTGAGCAACTAACACTTTCACTTTTTTCATTTTCTTGTGCCAGCAGCTTCCTGTTCCTGGGCCTGAGCTTTGTCCTCATGAAATGGTGGGTTTGAACTATGTGGTCTCCAAGGTGCCCCTTGGTTTTTATCATTTGAGAGGGCTGTGATGCTCACTGCCATTAATGGAAAGGCCTCCTAAAAGCATCGCTGGAGACCCAGCACACATGAACCTGTTTTGAAAAAGTAGGGTTTAACCTTAGTAGTTTCCATCTGTAAAGGAGTTTGGGCAAAAAAAAAAAAGTTTTTGGGTTGATGTTGAGACATGTGACGTGGAGAGGGGCTGGTGTCTGTCTCCTGCTGTGGGACTGCGGGCTATGAACTCTGTCCCTCCATTGACTGTCTGGCGCTGACTTTCAGCTCAGTGAATGTTATTGAATTAAACTTGACTGGGGGATAATAAAGCTCAAAGAGGAAATTAAATATAATTTATCAGCAGCTACATTAACTGAGTGCTAACCAGGCTTTATGCTTTCCATTTCAGCGAGTCTCAAGCTTTATTTTGCCCAGAATCAACCTGGGGTTACTGAAGGCTGCAAATAGGGCCTGAAAACTTGCATTTATAACAAGTTTCCTAATGATGCTGACGTGGCTGATCAGGGACTATATTTTGGAAACTGAATAGATTTCATTTAATTTCAGACTTACAAGGTGAACATTATCATCCTCAGTTTACAAATGAAGACACAGTAGTGCCCAAAGTCTCACAGTTAATAGGTGGAGAGTTAAGGATTTAAATAAACTGACCTTTCTGACTCAAAATCTCATTCGTGTCCCACTCCAAGAAAGGATATATGTATGTATGTATGTATGTATGTGTATATATATATATATGTTTTGCTTGTTTGTTTTGAACATGGTTGTTTCTATCCAGCCATTCAGACACAGGAACTCAGGTGCGTGCGTGTGCAGACACACACAGACACACACACACCCCTATGTATCCACTTATATGTCTGCAGATCTATCTCTGACTCTGGAAAATAGTGCGAGTTTCTATCACCCTTTATCTTGAGGTGATGAGATGCTCTGTATATACATAAATCGTATAAACAACGTATTTGTTATTTGTATAAATTATAATTTATACAATTTATGTATATGCATAAATAAGCTACAGGTGAGGTTGTATTTTCACACAACACTATACACTGGGTAAGACTTCTCTAAGTGTATTTAATCATGATTTTAATCACAAAGAAGCCTTTAAACCCGCGGGAGCCTCGCACAGCCAGCCCCAGCAGCGCCGCCTCCTCCCCGCAGTCCCCGCCCCTCTTCCTCGGCCCCTCCTGGCCGGTCCCACCCCGCCCCGCCCCTTCGCTCCTCCCACCGTGGGGGTGCCTGGGAAGAGGCGGAGAACAATATGGCGGATGGTGAGGAGCCGTAAGTACCCGGCCTCTGCAGGCGCCCCGGGCCGGGCTGGGTTGTGAGAGAGCGCGGCGGTGGGCGGTCGCCGCCTCCACCCGGGGTCCTCCCACCCTCCGCCCCGTCCCCTCGCCCCCCATCCCCTCGCGGCGCCCAGTGTGTAGCGTGATGCTGACCCTTCTTTTATTCTCTCTTTCTTTTAGGGAGAAGAAAAGAAGGAGAATAGAGGAGCTGCTGGCTGAGAAGTTAGTGCTGCCGGGAGGCCGGGGCCCTCTCCGGGGGCCCCCGCCTCCCTTCACCCCAGGCCTAGGGGACCAGCCGCAGCGGGCCCGGGGGGCTGGGAGGGGGGGCACCCGGAGCGCAGGCCGCGCGGCCTCATCCCCCCGACCCCCGCCCGCAGCCCCAGGGGCCCGGCGGGCCCTCCTGCTGTCTGTCTCGCGCGGGCCCTAGGCCCGGGTACCGCTCTCAGGTTCCGCGCCGGCCCCCCGGGGTGCCTAACCTAAAGGTCTTGCGGAAGGACCCTTGCGCCCCTCTCTTCCTCCATCCCAGATTGTCAGAGCCGAGACTTTGTGAGAAGGAAGTCTTATCAAAACACACGAAACGGACGATGGGCCGTTTTTTGGCCTTTCGAAAACACTGAGACAGTAGTATTAATTGCAAACTTTTGAGGAGAACTTTAAGTCTGGTATCGTACTAAGCACTTCAGTTTTGCAAAATCATTGGCTCTGAAAGGAGAGTGTTGCCTCCAGAGAGCTTTTATTTTCCATGTGTTACACACCTTATTTCATATCAGATGCCTAGTTTTGTGCTGGTGAGACAGATTTAAACGAAGTGTGTTACACCCCGCGCAGCATCACCTATTTTTTCTTCCTCCTTACTTGGGACGGGAAGAAAATGCTTTTGCAGTGGGCGTGGTGAGTTAGTCGTTTCTGTGGCAGTCCCCAGTAGCGGGGGCCTTAGGTATCTCAGAAAGTTGAATTTCAATCACAAGAGGACTTGGAACAAGTTTAGTTTAACATTTCTTCCCACCTTTCATTTCATTCCACTTTTGCTTAAAATGACAGCTACAGTTTGAATGTTTACTATATACCACGTATTGTACTAAGGCCTCTATGTGGATTATCTCTATCATTCTGACGTTAAGAAGTAGCTACAGACAGGCTACAGATGAGGTTTATGACTGTCCAGTAATCTGCTGAAGGTCACAATGCTATTAATTGTGGAACCAAATCCAGCTGTGACATCAAACCCTGTGGTCTTTATTGCTAGGCAATACTTGGTTCAAAATTGGATATTACTAAATATGTTTGAAAGTAGAAATTGTGGGATTGTAGGAAATTTGAAAATTAAAAATAATTACAAGGAAACATGAGTCTTGCAATGAATAAAACATATATTTTGTTAGAGGCATCCCTCCTTACTAGATTGTATGTTCTTAAAGGTTTCTAGATGGTATTGCCTATCTGTGACATAATTATAACCTAAAACTTTCCTTGTGTTTAGTGGCAATAGAAGCCACGTTATAGTCCTAAGAGATTCTTTTTTGAAAATTAGGACCTCAGAGAAAAATGTGCATAAGTTTCTCTCATCAGAAATAAAGTATACCTTTCAAACTTGGAAAGGACACATGAGTTATGTTAGATGTCAAGCATTAGGATTCTGGAAGTGGAGGGATTTTTTTGTTGTTGTTTGTTTTTTCTTGTAGCTTATATTTTCTGTTCCAAGGCTGTTCATAGAATAAATTGGGCAGTTTGCTGTGTTTAGTAAGTTCCAAATGTTTAGAAAGCCCATTTCTCACTGATAGATCAGTATCCCAAGTTTGATTTTAGGTTATTTTAGGAACCCAGAATCATATTGATTATTTCCTCAATCTGTTCTTAACTTTACATAAACTATATAATAGCAAGAAAAGACAATAAAAGCATAAGTGTAACTACATTGAATATTACCCTTTGTATTTGAGCAGGTCTGGTAGTGGTTACCTTTTCATGTGGGGAAACCATATTAGTTGTAGGTGTGGCTTTTTCATACTGATCTTTGCAGCTGAATTTACTGTGTTCTGTGCAGAATGGCTGTTGATGGTGGGTGTGGGGACACTGGAGACTGGGAAGGTCGCTGGAACCATGTAAAGAAGTTCCTCGAGCGATCTGGACCCTTCACACACCCTGATTTCGAACCGAGCACTGAAGTGAGAAATGTTTATTTTTAAATAACTCCTCTAATAGTTTTATGTTGCAAATATAATGCTTCCTTTTTAATTTACTCGTATAATAAAAATACTAATAGAATTGTGTAAGTTATCTTGAAATAGTAAATAGAATATTTGCAACTGCTTTTATTTGAATAATATTTGAGTTATTTTCACATTTTTCAAATGTAATATGTTAATTTTCAAGAGTAAAATGACTTCATAACCTCACTTAAAATTATGTTATACTTCATTTAAAATGCCAGTTTAAAATTACTTGTGAGACACACCTTTTTAATCCTTGCTATGAGAAATTTAACTTTCATAGAGATACAGATGTGCTTGCTTAAATTTTGAAGTTTATTTGAAATGAGTATCTTTACTTAGAATTGAATATAATTAGTTTTGCAATTGAATATAATTAGTTTATAAATAATTACTTAGAATTCAATATAATTAATTGCCTGTTAAAAAGTATAAAAAGTATGTGACTGCTGTATCATAGAGGAATAGAATTTGGAACTGGTAGTGTCTGACTTAAAGCAAATGTTCAATTAGAAACAACTTGTTTTTTATTATGGGATGGGAAATATTCCTTTACAGTAAATTTTTTATCTCCTTTTATGTTGATGAAGAGATACTGTTTTGAATTAGAAGTATTGTGCTGCTCCTGAATTTAAGGTGCACACTCTTAGGTTTGACTTGTCTTATGTGAGTAACCTGAGTAATCTTGGACAAAATTGACAGTCTTCTGTATTTCTTTGGATAATCCAGCATATTTTCTTATGCTTCTGATTTTCTTTTTTTGCAGGGGTGAGGCAGGGAGCTAATAATTTAAGATTCTTGTATTAAGTGGTTGTTTCAAATTATATTTCTGCTGATAGGCAAAAAATAAGAGTTTTACCTGTTTTTTCTTCCTGCCATCTCCTGTTTTGTAAGTCTAACCAACTGTATGGAAAAGCAGCTGTTATTGTTCTTACCCCCCCCTTTTTCTTAAAGACCTCTAAACAGCTTGTGCAGTGCTTGATCTTCAGTTCTTACGATTTTTACACTTTTCTATTTTTAAGAAGTCAGCTAAATAATTGAGTTTAATGCTCTCCTTTCAAAGTTGAAAAAAGAGACAACTATAAACTAGGCATATTTTTTCTTTTTAGAAATAGTAGCTTTTTAATTTCAACCAGTAAAACTCAGTTTAGCAACATTAAAGTTGGAACTCTTAGAAATCATTCAGTTCAGTTCAGTCGTTCAGTCGTGTCTGACTCTTTGTGACCCCATGAATCGCAGCACGCCAGGCCTCCCTGTCCAGAAATCATTAGGGTTATACAATTTCTGGTTATACCTTGTTCATAAATTTAAATAATTTATTAATTTCAAAGGTTGCTGTTTATCTTCAGTTGCATTTTTCATGGAAACAGAGAAACTCTTTTATAGTTTGTTGCTTTATTGATGGTACTTATGATTTTTATCAACTAGATTTTAATATGCCTTTTCGTTCTTTACAGTCTCTCCAGTTTTTGTTAGATACATGTAAAGTTCTAGTCATTGGAGCTGGCGGCTTAGGATGTGAGCTCCTGAAAAACCTGGTAATATATATATAAAATATGTACTTTCCTTCTCTATGATAATTAAACCTTTTTCCTTTTCTGTCATTCCTTTATTATGATTGTTAACTGTTTCTCCTGTTAGATAAGTTTAGCAGGTCAAATTCCAGATAGTAATTAAAATGATGATGTAACTTAACTTTTTAAACCCTAAAGTCCTTGGCTATAAAGTAATGATTGATAAGACATTTTTATTTCTCCTTTCTTCTCTTCTTTTTATCCAGCAAATTTTTGTGCTTCCTCTTGTAAAGTGCTTGTTAATTCAGACAAGTAAATAGCAAAACTGTTAATTCATATTTCACATGTAATTTCAAAGTATTTATTATTTTGTATGTCCCTCAAAATAATCCACTTAGGTGAATAGGATACTATCTCTTTTTATATAGAGGAAGACACAGGTTCAGGAATGTTACATGACAAGTTTTTTCTGGATTATGGTGTTGTGCCTGGAATCTAATCCAGGCCATCAGTTTTTAGTCAAGTATTTCTCTGAACCATTGTGTCATTACATGATCTAATCATACAGTAATTTTTTTTTGATAACCATATGGTAGTAGACCCATAAAATATGGGAAAGCTAAACCTTTTTTTTCTTTTTTTGGTCAGTCTGTTTTAAAAGAACATCATCTCAAGAGAGGGTACTATTTAGTGAAGCTATTCCTATGTACTGGATGGAATCCATAATATGTGACTTAATTAGTTTCATTGACTTCTGATAACTACAAAGTAGATCTTTATAAGATTTTATCAGTTTATTTAACAAAAATGGTTAGGGGAAGAATTGATTTGGAGCTGTTTTATGCTTGCTTTTTGACCAGTATGTGGAAAAGTGGAAATGATAGAGGATACTCCTTAGAAAATGAAGCAGGTAACAGCCAGATGAAGATTCTAGTCAGCCTTGGGACCTAAGTTTAAATATAAATAAGCACATTACTTTTGCTAGGAAACACTAACGTCACTCCTAGTGAGACTGCAAAAACTTAATACACTTCCTGGTACTTAGTACTATGCTTGGTTCTGTGGGCATTGCTGGTCATAATGATGTATGTCCTTAGTGAATTTGAAGGATCATTGGGAAGACGTCTCTCACAAAATAAATAGCCCTATGTATCACATAGGGCTTACCAGATGGTACAGTGGTAAAGACTTTCCTGGTCAATGCAGGAGATGCATGTTTGATCCCTGGGTTGGGAAGATCCCCTGGAGAAGGAAATGGCAACACACTCCAGTATTTTGCCTGGAAAATGCCATGGACAGAGGAATCTGGTGGGCTACATTGTGCCCTGAGAGAGAGAGAGACAGAGAGACACAGACACACAGGTGCACACACACACAGACACACAGACACACACACACACACACAAGATGTGCCCTGTGAGAGAGAGAGAGACAGAGAGACACAGACACACAGACACACACACGCAATGTGCCCTGTGATAGGATGACAAAATGACAGTACTTTATTAGATACAAGCACCCTTGCAGCACAAGAACCAAAGGATTTAGGAAACATAGGCTGTGGTTTTCATAGGCATTGTATGCACAAATCTCCTAAATAGTTAGCTTTTTTCCATTTCAAAGCTGTTACTTACAAACACTGGTGATAGATACCAGTTTAAAATGTAAAGTAACCCGAGGTTAGATCTGAGGAATAGTCATCAAGCAACTTCAGAAGTGGCCTTGTTACTCAGTGCCTTGTAATAATCTCTTACATAGAAGAAAACTGGGTTTTCAATTTTACCACTTGTTACTTTGCTTGTTTCACACATAAATAACAAAAGAGAGATACATGCAAATTTTTTTAATTGTTCGTAAGCCCCCAAAGGCTCATTCTAAAATAAAGGATATGACATTAATATTATTGATTGAGCAAATATTTATTGAACCTCTTTCTCTATATACCAGGTACAGTTTTAATGCTAAAGATACAGCTTTGAACAAAACAGGCGTTTGTATGTTGAAGGCTTCTGTTTTAGTGGAAGGAAAACACAAGTGAACTATATTGTATGTCAGATGGTAATAAATGCTTAAATGCTATGGAGAAAGGAAGGATGGAATATAGATAGCCTGGCGAGAGGGGAAAGTGTTCACAAAAAGGTGCTATTTAGGCAAAGAGGTGAGCAAGAACATTCTAAGCAGAGGGAGTATCAGGTGCAAAAGCTGTGAAGTGGGAACATAACTGTTATGTTCCGGGAGAACACGGAGGTCATTGTAGCTAAAGCAGAAGTGAGGAACGGGGCGTTTTCTAGGAGGATGTATCAGAGATAACAAAATGAGCTTGGAGTGAGCATCACAAAAGGCTTAAGGTTCTGCTGTAAGAACTTTGCCTTTTACTCTGAGTCAGGAAGTCACTGGAGGAGGTGTAAGTCTGTGAGTTGACTCCGTACAGCTTTAACCTGGCTCGCTGTGGCTGGTGTATTAAGAAGAGGCAAGAGGAAGAACAGACTAGGGAGCGGAGAGGCTGCTGTGAAGGCTGTTGAAGTCACCTAGGCAGGAGATGATGGGTGGTCCCTTAGAAGAGGGAAGTGGTACCGTAGGTGGTGCGAGGAGTTTGGATTATGGATGTTTTGAAGATGAAATCAATAGGATTTGCTGGTGGGTTGGTGTAGGACATAAGAGGAGTCAAGGCTGACATGATAAGGTTTTCGCAGTGAGCAGCTGGAAAGATGGAGTTGGCTTTCACTGAAGTGAGGTGGGCTGGGTAAAGAACAGATTTGCTGGTTTGGGTCAGCAAGGGTGATTGGCTTTGGTTTTGGAAACTGTTACATTTCAGATAGTAATATCTGTTAGATGATGGTTTACCTTACAAGATGGTCTGAAATCGCCATAAGTAACCAAAGCTAGTGAGTGCAAGGACGCCCCAAATTCTGGCCAGTAAATGAGGAGGAAAATTCTTGAGCATAGTGAATGGGAAACCAATTTTTAAAGTGTTCAGTGCTTGCTTCGGCAGCACATATACTCAAATTGGGACGATACAGAGAAGATTAGTATGGCCCCTGTGCAAGGATGACATGCAAATTCGTTGGACTCTGTGGGAGAGGGTGAGGGCGGGATGATATGGGAGAATGACATTGAAACATGTAAATTATCATATGTGAAACAAATCACCAGTCCAGGTTCGATGCATGATGCAGGATGCTCCGGGCTGGTGCACTGGGATGACCCAGAGGGATGGGAAGGGGAGGGAGTTGGGAGGGGGGTTCAGGATGGGGAACACATGTAAATCCATGGCGGATTCAAGTCAATGTATGGCAAAACCAATACAGTGTTGTGTTGTAAAATAAATAAATAAATTAAAAAAAGAGAGAGCAAAAAGAATTGATTAATAAAAAAATAATATTGTAATTAGCCTCCAACTAATAAAAATAAATGAAAAATATTTTAAAAAAATAAAAAAATAATATATTAAAAAAAAATAAATAAAAAGTGTTCAGATTCTTGAGTGAGGTGACCAGGTGAAGAATGTGTTTTAAGGAGGGGAATCGATCCAAATACTGGAGATGGGTCATATTAGAGAGTGTAAGAGTTGGTCATTGGAGATCAGTGGTGACTGACAAGTGTGGTCTTCAGTGGAGTGAAAGCTTGTTTACAACAAGTGCAAGAGAGGAATTTGAGAATGAAAGTATGGACAACTCTTACTATAAAGAGGGCAGAAAAATGGTGAAATTATTACCAAGTGATTGAATTTGATTACCTAAGTAAACTGACCATGACCAGAGAAGCATAATTGAGTCTTGAGACCTATTTTTTTTTAAATCTGCTAGTAAGTTTGAACACCTTGTACTGTTAAAATATGTGGCATTATCATTGAAACACAATTGTTGCCTTTCTCTAGCTCTTTGATTGCTTGCTCTTGACTCTGCTTTTAAGGTATTTCTTTTACATGTCCAGGGTATATATATATATATATATATATATGTTTATAATCTTACAGTTATTTCTGATTGGCAGCATGCTTACATTAATATAAATCTTGTAGGAATTACTTTCAACAGTATTCTAGAAAAGAATAGCAACTATAGTTAAGTAGTAAGAATAGTAAAATTAAAATAGTAAAATAAATAGTAAATAGTAAATAGTAAAATTAAATCTAGCAGCAGCAGCAGCAAAACAAACTTTAACAGATGTGTCTATGGGATTATGAAGCAACCATAGAAATTTTGAGTTATTCTCTTTGGGTTATGGATTATTTAAAACTGAGTACCTATACTTTTTTAACCTTTACAAGAACCCTGAGTTTTATATACCTTGTATGACTCTTTAACCATTGAATACAATTGTGCAGAACTTATTACTGAGAACTTGTAGATTTAAGACCACTGAAAAGAAATTTAAAAATTTCAAATGTGATGAACCTTTTGCTTAATTAGATTTTTTTTTCCTTTTATTCTCACAGGCCTTGTCTGGTTTTAGACAGATTCACGTTATAGACATGGACACTATAGATGTTTCCAATCTGAATAGGCAATTTTTATTTAGGTGAGTTTTAATATCCTATTTTAAAATTGTGGTAATCATTCGAATTTGAGTACATTTTCAGTTTAATAAAAAACTACTGAGAGGATACTACTAATTTTGTTAAGAACTGTCACTCCTGTCTTAGGTAAATTTTGCAGGAAAATTTTGGACATTCTGGCAAAAATAGTTTTGTAAACAAATACATGTTTTTGTTGATTTTAAAGAAATGTCCAAAAGGTAAATGTGATCTTTGGGATGATCGTGCCTTGAAGACACCGAGTTCTGTTCTTTTCCTTCTGTTGATTTCATAAGAGAACAGTAAATGTGTATTAGGCCTTAGTGAGATATATTGGTAGGGACTTATGAGCCAAGACTTGAGTGGTGACTCTGGGGCAGTGAAGTTATGACACAGTTTGAATTTTTTTTTTTTTTCAGTTTGAACTTTTTATAGAAGGTGAAATAAGATGGTGAGTTAAGGAGAGAAAACCCAGGAGCACGTGAAATGTAACTTGCTCCTAACTTGCTTCTTATACCTAAGGATAACTACCTTAGGTATAAGTGAAATGTAGTAAACATCTAGGAACGGCTTATGTGGAGTGACTTTAAATACTAGAAGTAGTCCTTACATGCAGATCTGAGGAAAAGTTCATTAATGAATATTACTATGTAGTGTTTAGGGACTTGAATGGCTTAGATAAAAGTGTATTTGTTACTCAAAGAATTACACGGATGGGCTTCCCTGGTGGCTCAGATGGTAAAGAATCCGCCTGCAGTGTGGCAGACCTGGGTTTGATCCCTGGGTTGGAAAGGTCCCCTGGAGGAAAGCCTGACAACCCACTCCAGTGTTCTTGCCTGGAGAATCTCCGTGGATTGAGGAGCCTGGCGGGCTATAGTCCATGAAATCGCGAAGAGTCAGACACGACTGAGTGACTAAGAACAGCACAGAGATAAGGACTTTTTTCTCTCTCTATAGTGATCACAGAATACTGACAAAAGGTGCTCAAATAATCTTAGGATGCAGGATGAGGTTAGGTAACAGAAAAGGTAAAATTAACTTTGGGAAAGATCTTAAACAAGTTGAAGAATGGGTTAAACTAAGTCAGGTTAACAAAGTATTGTAATTGTACGGTGAACCCTACATTTAACTTTTAAGGTTTTGTTTGTATTATTTTTCAGCCCTTGACATTTCTCTTCTCTTGATAGAAAAAGTTTGTGGGCCCTTTCTAGTCTGACAAATATTTAGTGTAGGACTGCTCTTCAAATGACACCTCCAAATTGTTTGCTTATTGATAATAAGCTGTGCCCTTTAATGTAGGGTTGAAATAATGATTGAAGATCATAGTGACTGAAGATTTGTGAAGTGCTTAGGATATATTAAGTACTTTCTGAGCTCTTTATCTATATTACTTAATTTAATCTCAGAGCAAAAACCCCACAGTAGGTTCTTGTTTTCCAGGTTAAATAATTAGGCCAAGATACCTTGAAAGGATGATGTGTTGCTGTATAACAGTGCCATTCTTGCATGGATGATGTGTATGAAAGGCCATTTTACTCAAAGTACAGTTTTTCAGAGGAGTAATTGAATCCCCTAATTCTGGAATGGTAAAGTAGCAGTTCCTAAAGAAACCATTTTAGAGTTCTTTTTTTTGGGATCAATTATGAAAGCACATATAATACATAGTCTGAAAGATTCTTGAAACAGTTTTATGTACTCTGTATACCTAAAGAACTCTGTCCAGTGTAGTTGGATGCAATACTGAAATCAAGTTGCTTGACTTATGCTAGAACCTCTTGTAATTACAAGTTTGGACAAAGAATAAAACTCTTAGCAGAAGTTTTGAGTCAAAAGAGCATTCTGCCTTGTTGGAGAGAAGAAATTTGACCTGTTAAAGCATTTAAAAAAAATTCCTATTTTATTTATTTTTAGCATTTTATTTATTTAGCACCAAAAGCATTTTGTGTTGGGGTATAACTGATTAACAGTGTTGTAGTAGTTTCAGGTGAATAGCCGAGGGACTCAGCCATACATATACATGTTAAAAATTCCAATTTTAAATAAAATACGATTTCTGATGTGCACAGTGACTGTTTAATTTTCATTTATTTTTCAAGTGTTTACTCTGTGCTTAGCTAGGGAAGGAGTACAAAGAGATGAGTATGGTAACTTTCTTCCAGTTGTTCATAGTCTGGTAGGTATGATAGACCTATGTATGTAACCAAAAGTCATATTGTGAAAAAGTAGTGATGAAGTGCTTATCATGTATACCTGAGGGAGTGATTTATTCCCGTGAAGAGAATGAGGAAATATTAGGAAAGAAAAATACCATTCAAAATACGCGTTCGTACTGAGATTAGAAGAGAGAACTCATGTCCTTTCCTGTCTGTAACTGAGGTTATTATCTAGGAGTAACCTTTCGAGGCCTTTTATTTTGACCTTCTTGAAGGTAGTGGTAGCATTTGCAATTCTAGATGCTGCCTTTGGACCTATTCCTTCAGGAACCATAGTTGTGGCTGCTTACGGGGTACAGCGTTTACTTGTCAGTTAGCATACATGGGAAGAAGTGGGTATGTGAACACTCTCGCATCCCTAGGACCCCTTGATTTTTTTTCTGCCAAGACCTGCATAATAACACCTTGAAGTTCTGAGATTCAGGCCAAAGACATGGAGATCTCTGGATCTGGGATAATTTTTTACGTTAGGAAGCACAACGTTGAGAAGTGGCTGGGAAACATGCTGTTGTTACACTTTACCTTAAAAAATTTCATATTTTCACTTAAATACTTAATTAGACTTGTCAGTGCTTAAAAATACTTAATTTGGAATATCAACAAGGGTTTTACATTTAGTGTTGAATGACTCATTATTCATCAGAAATACTTAGGTAAAAATATTCCTTCTAAATAGCCTCCAGAAAAATTCACTGTGGATATTTTTATATATGAAAATAGATTATGTAGATAATCTAGATTTACATCATGAATGATAATTTAAATATAATTTTTTCTGTAGGCCTAAAGATGTTGGAAGACCTAAGGCCGAAGTTGCTGCAGAATTTCTAAATGACAGAGTTCCTGATTGCAATGTAGTTCCGTATCCTTTTGACAAATAAGTTACTCAATACTTAACTATTTGAAGCTTTTTATTTTTATTATTATACGAGAGATGTTTAACACAGAGAATACAGATAGGCAGAAAAAACAAGCAGCAGCAGTAAGCTTATTACTGACATATCTTTTGGTAACACTTTGTTTAATGTCCTTTCAGTCTTTTCTTTTTAAGGTTATATAAAATGTTTTTTGCCCTAAATTAAGCTTAAGTAGCAAGTACCTTCATTTATTTGCCTTATTGTCTTTAATATAAGTTTCAGTTGCTTATGTCCTCGACTAGATGCTTAAGTTTGTAGGCTGGATCCTGGTAATCTTTGTATCGCCTTACCATAGCAGGCAAAGTAAAGAGTCAGTATATTATTAGTTAAATGGAAGGTGTGTCAGAATAAATATATTTTTATAAGAAACATGTTTTAAAAAAGGACTATGCACACTTTGTTGATTCCCATACCTTTAGATCCAGGGAACTTTTAGTATTTTATGGAAACTTAGGAAATGGGATTTGTTATGTTGAAAATACCACAAGATACAAAAAGTTGACATACACAAATCAATTGTATTTCTGTATACTAGCAGTGAACACATGGAAACTGAAATTTAAACTACAGTGCCATTTATAACCACTCAAAAAAAGGAGAAATACTTAGGGGTAAACCTAACAAAATAAGCATAGGTCTTGTATGCTGAATATTGCAAAATGTAAATAAAAGAAATCAAAAGCGATCTAAATAATGGAATGATAGTGTTCAAGATCTGGATGATTTAACATAGTAAAGATGTCACTTAGCCCCAGATTTGTGTACAATTTGTATATAAGTTTCTATCAAAATTCCTGCAAACTTGTCTGTTCCTCTAAACAGGATTATTCTAAAATTGATAGAGCTAAGGATTACCTAAGACAATACTGTGAAAGAATAAAATTGGAGGAATCACTGGCCAATTTCAAGAGTTATTATCTAAGTACAATAATCAAGACTGTGGTGTTGCCAAGGAGAGAGTATAGACACAGATCAGCAGGACAGAATAGAGAAACCAGAAATAGCCACAGGCAAGTATGGCCAATTTATACTTGACAGAGGTGCAAAAACAATTCACTCTAGGAAGGACCATCTTTTCAGTAAATTGTAGCAAAAAAAAGAAAAAAGCATCTCAAAACTCAACATTGCAAAAATAAACTCAAGATAGATCATAAGTTAAGTATAAAATGTAAACCTGTAGAACTTTGGAAGATAACATAGGAGAAATTTGGGATGCAGGGTTATAAAAATCCGTAGACCACATCAAAAGAATAATCCATAAAAGAAAAAAAATGGTAAATTGAATGTCATCAAAATTAAAAACTTTTGCTCTGTGAAGGATCTTGTTAGGATGACAAGATAAGCTACACACTGGGAAATACTTATGAAGGAGGTATCTGACAAAGGATTCATCAAGAATATATAAGGAACTCTCATAACAGTAAAAAGCAGTTAGAAAATGGACCAAAAATATGAAGGGATATTTCACTAAAGAAAATGGTAAAAAGCTCATGATAAGATATTCAGTATTACTAGCTTTAAGGGAGATCCAGGTTATGATCACAGTGAGATTTACTACACACTTTTTAGGATAGCTGACATAAAAAATAGTAATGAATGTTTGCAAAGATACAGGAAAACTGGAAATGTAAAATGGTAGTCATTTGGAAAATAGTTTGGCTATTTTTTAAAAAATTTTGAATATATACTTTACATACAACTCAGCAGTTTCATTCCTGGGCATTTACCATCTGTATAAAAACTCCAAAGTAGCCAAAAACTGGCGACAACTCAAACATCCATCAATAGGTGAATAGTATTATTGTACTGAGCAATAAAAAACTAACGAAGTACAGCTTGGATGGATATCAAGAGCATTATGCTGAATGAAAAATGCCAATCTCAAAAGGTCATATACTGTATGATTGCATATAACCTTCAGATATCAAAATTGCAGAGATGGAGAGCACATTAGTGATTGCCAGGGTGTGGCATATTGGAGGGGATAGATGTGACTGTGAAGGGGTAGCAGGAAGGAGATATTTGTGGTGCTGTAGGAGTTGTGCGTCTTACTTGTAGTCGATACGCAGATATACGTGTATTTAAATGACAGAACCAACACACACGTTGTACCAGGGTCACGTTTGTAATTTTGATATGGTACTGTAGTTTATATATGATGTAACCCTTAGGGGAAACTGGGTGAGAGAAATATGGGACACTGTGTACTGTCTTTGCAAAAATAAAAAGTTTCAACATACAAATACATGTCCTTACAGGGAGAAAGAGAAAAAAAGGAGTGTGTACACTCTTTTGTCTCTCTCCCTTATTTAGATCTGGGGAACTTTGGGTATTTTGTAGAAATTGAAGAGATGGCATTTCTTGGTCTGGCTCCTGGGTCTCCTATTTTTGTTCCGCTAATGTTTGCTCTGGTTCTCTTTGACTTCCGTTTTCTAGTTGCAGCTTATACCTCTTGTTTGCCTGGTATTCAAAAGGAATAGGGGTCTTGGTGGGTGAGGGCTAGAATTGAACATATTTCTTTATTTGTAGGCCAGAATAATAATAAAAAAAAATCTAGAGCACACATACTGTGTATTGTCCCTCTTTTCCATTTTGGTTTTTAAAGTCTGCAATGGATGATTTGTTTCAGGGGAGTGTAATTTATGTGTTACTAAATGAAATTGCTCCATTAGAAAAAATTTTTAAAAATGGTTTTTTTTTGCATATGTATGCCATTCAGATGTTAAGTACTATGATTCACACTCACTGCCGGTTTTGAATGGCGTTCTCTTGGCACCCTCCAGGCTGGGGAAAGCCTGCTAATATGGTGCAGGTTGAGCAGAGAGAAACTCGAAAAACTGAGTTCAGTGAGAAAGGAAGGAAATTCACCCTTCCCCCCAATAAGAGGAAAAAATCAATAACAAATCCTTAGCACCTGAGAAAGCTATCGGAAACATCTGTGTTTTCTAAAAATTAGTTTTGCAGTAACTTTTTTAAAAATTGCCTATGTCTGACATATAAAACTAAAAATTTAAGGTGTACAGTGTATTAATTTGTGCAGTACGTTAACTCCTAGAATCCCCTTTGTAAGTGGGAACTATAGCATACCCATTCCCTTCACTGAACAAATTTTTATTGCCTCTCTGCTTGATGCTGATGGTTGAAGACACACATTCTATTTTCCCAAAGCTTACGGTTTTACATAAGAATTGCAGCAGAGTAGAAAGTATAACAGAGATAAAATTATACTGATAAGGAGGCTTGGGGTTGAGAGAAACTATTCTGTGTCATTAGGGGAGAGGAGTGTTTAGAAAACAGTTTTTTCAGGAGGTAGGATTGTTTTCATTTTATCAGATTCCTTGAATTCCATTGCTTTGAACACTGATGACTTATGTCTTATTTTAAATATACATTTATAATTTGATCCTGTGGCATTGTTGAATTCATCTTACAAGTTAAAAATTTAGCAGCTTAAGTTCCTTTACTTATATTCAGACATTTCAACAAGATTCAGGATTTTGACGACACTTTCTATCGACGTAAGTTTTCCACTTGAAATTCAATTCTCACTGAATTTTTATATTTTTTAGTTGCTGTTTACAGATTGCTTGCTATTTTATTGCTATTTCTTTACTTGCTCTCATTTCTTGGTGTTGGCTTTTCAGGAATGATGTTGACTGATTGAAAGGAGGATGGCACTGTTTTTTAATTCTTAGTTGGCACCATTAGCTGCATTTTTATATACTGTTTTGAGTAAGGATTACTCAAGGATTGGAAGCTGTGTCTGTTTATTTTAAAATGAAAAATGTTTTTTGTTTCTTAGAAATTGTGAATTATTTTGTGTGGCAGCATTTTTAAAAACTCAACTTGCATTTTTTTTCTCATAGAATTTCATATAATTGTGTGTGGACTGGACTCCATCATAGCCAGAAGATGGATAAATGGCATGCTGGTAAAGACTTAGTGTTTTTACAGTTCTTTGAAGTTCTTCCTGCTGCTCTTAACATACTAAAAATGAGACTTCATGTCATATTTTTGAAAAATCAGAGTTTATTCAATTTTCAGTAATAGATGTAGTTCATTGTTTATTGCCATTCATTAATTTGCAGGTTTGGATGTAAATTGCTACTAATGTAATCCCTTGATTTGATGTATTAGTATTCAATAATGTGATTGACTTTTAGAATTGTTGAAAGCATTCTCCCTTTTTGAATTCTTATCCCCCTCTCCTTTTAAACCCTTGAAACAATTTTCCTAGATATCTCTTCTAAATTATGAAGATGGTGTATTAGATCCAAGCTCCATTGTCCCTTTGATAGATGGGGGGACAGAAGGTTTTAAAGGAAATGCCCGGGTGATTCTGCCTGGAATGACTGCTTGTATTGAATGCACGCTGGAACTATATCCACCACAGGTAATCACAGAAGTACCTGCATCTGTTTGATAGTATCCTGGGGTGAAATAAGAGTTGCACTATTAAGATTAGTCAATATTTAGGATTTTTATTTAGGAATAACCATATTTTAAAAGGCATGCTAAGAAGAACGATAATGAAATACGAAATTTTGCTTTATTTAAGGAAAGATATAGACATAATGTATCTTCCCTGATGACTCAGCGGTAAAGAATCTGCATGCAGTGCAGGAGACTTGGGTTGCATCCCTTGGTCCGGGAAGATCCGCTGGAGAAAGAAATGGCAACCTACTCCAGTATTGCCAGAAAAACCCCATGGACAGAGGAACCTGGTGGGCTCTAGTCCATGGGGTTGCGAGAACTGAACATGATTGAGTGACTGAGCACACACAGTCATAGACGCAGTATGATCATTTTGATGCTTTTCTGTTTTCATAATTCATTTCTGTTAGTTTTTTATTTAGAGAATAAGGAACAGGGGATCAGTTAGGAAGTTATATGTTGGGATAGAGCTGTAATCTGTTTTGTTGGGTTTTTGCCTGTGTTTCAAGGATATAAAAACACCAGAGATGAGAATGTTATTTCCAAAGATGAGGCTCTTTAATTGCATTTCCACTTGAAAGGGCACTTAGAAGTCTGATTTAGAAATAATTTTATTAGTTTTTATTTGAAATTGATTTGTTTTGGTTAATTTTATATCTTACAGATTTAAATCTTAGTTAAACATAATAGAGTACTCATATTTGAGAATTTATTCACTCCTATTCTTCCCATGTTCTAACAAAGCTTAACTTTATGTATTTTTTTAAGTATAGGGCAGACCTATTTTTTTTAGGGAGATCAACCCAAGTGAAGTGACTTAGATCAGCTGTGTTAATTTCAGAAGCATTCTTAATAGTATTAAATATTTTGTTCCTGTAAATGGAAGGCTAATATGAATTATAAGAAACTTTACAAACTAGATCATAACTAGAAGTTACATTTTAAAATAATTTATTTAAAATCCACTAAAAAAGGCAAACTGTGTTTTTAGGTTAATTTTCCCATGTGCACCATTGCGTCAATGCCCCGGCTACCAGAACACTGTATTGAGTATGTCAGGATATTGCAGTGGCCTAAGGAGCAGCCTTTTGGAGGTAATAAACCTAATTTCATAGTTCAGAATTACATAAGATACTTGTCTATATTATTTATTTGGACATTTACCTTAAAAATAAGTTGATTTATGTGTACATGTTTCTGTCTTCAGTTCCTTTTTTTTCCCCCCTTTCCTGACAGAAGGGGTTCCATTAGATGGTGATGACCCTGATCATATTCAGTGGATTTTCCAAAAAGCCCTGGAAAGAGCATCACAATATAATATTAGAGGTGTTACATACAGGCTCACTCAAGGTAAGTTAGTGAATTTTCATGAATAACTATCTTAAGATGGTCCCTTTTTCAGAGGATGTGATGCTTTGGGGGAAATAATTGATAAGTGATTTCAGATAGTACTATCCCTTTGCGATTCAGTAAAGGTGTTCTGGAAATAACAGTTCCAGCTGCCCCAAATTTGTTAGAAGGAAACTGAATTTACTAGAATCCATAGCACTTCTTAACTAGGAGGAATTTAATCATTGAATCTTATTTACTCAGGCTTAGAGGGGTCCCTGAGTCATCCAGGTCAAGCCATTCATTGACTTTATCTTTTGCGGAAGAGCAGTTTATCCATTTCTGGGGCAGTCATTTCACATTTGGACAGTATTGTTATGACAGTTCTATGTGTTGAAGAGAAATCTCCATCTTTTTTGTGTGGGCTGGATATTGTCTCAGAGTATGCCATATGCTTATGCCATATGCAAATTTCTCTTTCAAGTAATAGCCCTTAACATATTGAACTCTCCAAATTGTTATCACTCCCATCAACCTTGCTAGTTCCTTTAACCCATCAACATGTTTCCATAACTCAAATTCCCATCATGCTATTTTCTTCTAACCATATTTCAGTTATCCATACTTCTCTGAACTATCCAGGTGAGAATGCAGTGCTCTAGGATGAGTCTTAGGATACACTTCCGAGCATTGATGTAGTCTTAGAGGAAGCCAGGGTTTTGTATTATTTGTTTGTGGGGTTTTTTTTCATTTATTTTTATTAGTTGGAGGCTAATTACTTTACAGTATTGTAGTGGTTTTTACATGAATCAGCCATGGACTGTTCCCCATCCTGATCTCCCCTCCCACCTCTCTCCCCACCCCATCCCTCTGGGTCTTTCCAGTGCACCAGCCCTGAGCGCTTGTCTCATGTATCCAACCTGGGCTGGCAATGTTTGTGGTTTACATTGATGCTATATTTTTGATTCCTTCAGGTTACTGTCTGCTAAAATCTGGAAGTTTTTTTCACATATGCAATTGCTAAGCCACATCTCACTGTTACAGATTTGGCAGTTTTGGGGGATGGCATTTTTTTTTTTCTTTATATTCAAGTATAGGTCCTTTTAAATTTATTCTTAAACTCATCCTGCTGTTCTGTATATATATATATGTATTAGGTTGGTGCAAATGTAATTTCAGGTTTGAACTGTGAATTTTAAATCATTGTAACTAGAATCGAACACATCTTTATTAATCAAAATAGGAACCATTATTAATCAACACATTTTTGCCAATGAAAAATAAACAGCAAGTAATAAGTCATTTAGTAAAAAAACATAAAGTGAGAAATGCACATTAAAATGATGTATAACATAATCACATTTATTTAGAATGTATTCCAACATCAAATGGCAGATTTCAACACTGCAAAACCAGTTACTTTTGCACCAACCTAATATGTTCTCTATGCCTGCCAACTTAACATATTCTTTTTAGCTTCATATCACTTGTTTTAATAATATCTTTTACCTCTTTTCCAAATATTTAAAAATGTTAAGACTAAAGTGGCTGAGAACAGATAACTGAATCATACTTCTGGTCAGGACCTTTTACATTTATCCCCTTCTGTTGATCGTATGTTCTTGAGTACTTCATGTTTCTTTATTTTGTTCACAAGGATGTCATGAAAGACCTTTCCAAATGCTCTATTGAGGCTCATCTTCCACATTTACCTCGGCCCCAAACCTAGTCCTGGTAACCAAATGAGGTAGTTTTGTGACTTGTCTCAGTAACAATCCTAACACTCAGTTTTAGTGACTAATGTTTCTTAATGTATCTACTCATAGTTCACCTTTCCTAGAATTTTGTCCAAGATCATTAAGCTCACCAGAAAGAGCTTTGTCTTTCTGAAAATCTGCCATTTCTCTCCTGTAATTATTTCCTTATGTTTGCTGATGTTTTAGTAATGTCATTTGAAAATTCTATTCTTATACAGTCCTTGTTTGCATTTGTACACTCATTGTTCCATTGTTGGGGCTTCCCTGTGGCTCAGATGGTAAAGCCTCTGCCTGCAATGCGGGAAACCCCAGGTTCAATCCCTGGGTCGGGAAAATCCCCTGGAGAAGGAAATGGCAACCCACTCCAGTACTCTTGCCTGAGAAACTCCATGGACTGTTGCCTGAGGAGCCTGGTAGGCGACAATGGAGTTGCGAAGAGTTGGATATGACTGAGCGACTTCACTTTCTTTGTTCCATTGTTCTGACCTGCTTTGTGTTCCTGGAGCACACCAAGCATGATCCCACCTTAGAACTTAAATAACTCCTGATGCTTTTGCCTGGAATACTCTTCCTTGGATTCCCCTCACGGTTGGTTGCCTGTCACTCAGGTATCAACTTAACAATTTCCTGATCATACCAACTGATGATGACTTATAAATCATTCACTATTTTACCTTTTTATAATTGCTCAGAATTCAGATAGCCTTGTTTTCCTATATGAAGAATATTTCATCCTTACACTCTGATTCATCCCTGTCCTGGGACCTTTGCCCCTGCCATGTACACAATTGCACTTTCCCCAGGTCATTGCATGAATGGGTCTTTTTCATGGTTTAGATTTCTATTCAAATTATCACCTCCCCAAGGAGACCATCTAATGGACTCCTCCATCACTGTAAGATAATTTTTTTTACTGCTTCTCTGTACAGCACCTAGAATGGTATCTGGCATATAATCCACATTTATTTGCTAATTGTTTGAATTAACAAATGAATTCCATTTGTCCTGATCGGGAATTGCAAACTCATTTCTGTGTATAGTCTTATTTATCCTTCCATACCTTTTAGCAAGGCTTGTTGTGTATTTCTTACCTTGATGTTTGAGAGCCTTGACAGGCAGTAGAGAAGCCAAATTGGAAGTGGAATCCAGATTTTTTGAGGGGTGAGAGATGGGTGAATCTTATTGGACAGTGTGTCTTCAGCTTCTCACTGTTTGTGACAACCTGTTTGTCCTTCCACTATATCCTGCTCTTTGTGGTTCACTGGTGAGCTTCCAGGAATCATCAGGAGGTTAGCTCCTCCCTATTTCCTCTTTCTGAAATTGCACATAATGGTCAGATGGTCAGAATTAATTTTTTAAAACAGCTTTCCAGCTCCTTAACTATTTTCCTTTCACATTATCTTAGATATTTGCCTTTTTAATTAAGTTTTTAAAACCTGACCTGTCAGCACCTAAAATCTTGGAAGCACATATTTCAGGGCTCTCTCACAGTCTAAGATAATATAGCTGCTTTGATCAGAATTTTTGTTTTCTAAAATGAACAGTACAAATATAGTTACAGAATATTTATTTTGTACTTAAAAAATGATTTTAGATGGGGCTTTGGTCATTCCTAATCTGTGGATACTAATATGAAAAAAGTGGGGTTGAAATAGAGAACTGTGTTTAATATTTTGTATAGTCCATGTTGTAGAGTGAAACAAAGTGTTTAGGGGCAGTTTTTCTGTTTGTCTTAAATTTTTGTGAATAGAATGGCTAAAGCTAATAGACGACGAAAAACTCAGTAACTTACTCCTCATACTTACTCAAACCTTATTGAGGATAGTATAGTATACTGTGTCAGTTAAGATTAGGTACATTAGGGCAGACCTGGGTTCATATATCATCCCTATCTCTTACAAGGTGTATAGGTGTGAATGCTGTTCATTTCTCTCAACCTCATTTTCCTTATCTTTAAAATCAGAGTAATAAGACTAACATGATGTTATGTAAATTCAGTAAAATTTTATTTAATCTTCATACTGTTCTTGGAACAAAATAAACACTCAAAATTTTAGGAGTTATTAGTATATTATTGTCTCATCTTTATATAAAACAGTGTGAAGAATTTACTTATCTTTCCTATTATAACTTAGGATTCTGAACATGCTGTTAATACAAAATAATATGAGTGTGAAAGAAGACTGTTTCATGGTTAAACTTGTCTATTTTCTGACCTGAAAGCCTGAAAAATCAAGTAATGGGCATGATATTTAATAATAATCATTGTCTAATTTAAGATACCTTATTAAAAAAGGAATAACCATATTTTAATTATTATATTTTTTAGGAGTAGTCAAACGAATCATTCCTGCAGTAGCTTCCACAAATGCAGTCATTGCAGGTGAGGGAAATGGCCACTGCTTAACTTTGTTTCCCTCCCTTCAGATTTTCAGTGCCTAAGTCGGTATTTCTGCAGCTGCATGATCTCAGGAAACTAGTGTTCTGGAGATTTCATTATCTTCTTGGGTGGATGGTAGTATACTTAAGCTGCCCCCAAAACCACAAGACAAGCTATTGGATCTTGTATGTATATCGTCTTACATTATTTCGTAGATAAAGTGCTCTATAGTAAGAAGACATTTTAGTGCCATTTCTTTTTAATCAGTACAACAGGCTACTCAGTCAGAAGAAGAGAGAAGAAAACTTGTAATGTTCCTTTAAAATGTTACTTTATCATTTGGATTATACAAAACAAATAGAAAATGTTATATTCTCAGTTTAAAAAAATAAGTGTTTTTGTATGTATTTTTCTATTTATTTTGTAATCAATAGCTTTGTAAATTTATCTATTTTGATTTATAACTAACTTCTATTTTAAATGTCTAATTTTTATTGAGTTAAAGCATCTTTATTTTCTTTCCTCTTTAGCTGTGTGTGCCACTGAGGTTTTTAAAATAGCCACAAGGTAATGAGTTTCATTTTTAGTATGTATGTAAGTCTGTGTTTTGATCTGGCTCAGTTATATAAAAATAAACACTTTTTTCATTACAGTGCATATATTCCCCTTAATAATTACTTGGTTTTCAACGATGTAGATGGACTATACACGTATACGTTTGAAGCAGAGAGAAAGGTTAGTAGTAGTATACTAATGAAAGCTTTTTTGATTATGCATACTTTGATTTTTAAATATTAATTACTGGTTGGAAATGTGAATGAAATTTCCCACACCCTTTGTAAGTATTTTCTGACTTCCAGAACCCTACTTACTATGTATCTTTTGTAGTACAGCCTGAAATAAATACTATGTAGTGAAATAATTTAGGAAAAATGACCCGCTGGGAAAAGCAGGTTTTAAAACATAAAAATTTGTTCATAGGAAATAAACAACTGATGATAAAACAACTTGATTTTTATTTCATCATTATAAGTAGACTGTTACTAGTACATGTGTCACTGTGATTTGTGTTTTATATGTAGGAAAACTGCCCAGCTTGCAGCCAGCTTCCTCAAAACATTCAGTTTTCTCCATCAGCTAAACTGCAGGAGGTTTTGGATTATCTCACCAATAGTGCTTCTCTGTAAGTGTTCAGGACTTTTGTTATGTTGTAGAAAAAAATTTGTGATTTTAAAACTTTAAAAACTAGAATTGTTTTTTTTTTGAAAAATGATTCTGATTTTTTTTCTTACAATTTAGGCAGATGAAATCTCCAGCTATCACAGCCACATTAGAGGGCAAAAATAGAACACTTTACTTACAGGTGATCAGTGTTCAGTTTTCCACCCCTGCCCCCCACAAAATTACATTAAAAGTTTAATTTCACTTAATGTGCTTTACATTATTATTTTCTAGTCAGTAACCTCTATTGAAGAACGAACAAGGCCGAATCTCTCCAAGACATTGAAAGGTATTTTAAAGGAGTGTATTTACTAATGCTAATCAATTTCTTCTGTTTTTTTTTTTCCAGTAAAAGTAATAAAGGCCTGTTTTAGATTTGCTCTTAATGCTTTTGAATGGTAATACCATTCTAATTAGTTATATCTTAAGAAACATTAATAGAATTAATTGTCTTTGAGTAGAGTATTAAAAAAATCTGTGTGAAATCAAATATAATATTACCTTGATTAAAGAGAACTGGATTTTGATGTTTGTTTAGACCATAATTTGCTATAGTTTGTGAATGTGTTATCTCTTCTTGAGATTTTTTTTTTTTTTGCTTGGGTTAATTTAGCTTTTTTTCTTTTAGAATTGGGACTCGTTGATGGGCAAGAACTGGCGGTTGCTGATGTCACCACACCACAGACTGTACTATTCAAACTTCATTTTACTTCTTAAGGAAAATAAATCTGCACATAATAGAAAACTCAAGAAAATATTATACTTTGTGGATGCTAAGAAATATAATTGATGTCATTTTTAGCATTAGTGTTGCTGGAATTTGACTTTTTAAAATATGAGCCACTTTTTAAACTTTATACGTTTCCCTTGAAGACAAAATTTTGGGGTTGGTGCTTGTGAGCATTTTCATTAGTGATATGGAAAATGATGCCTGGAGAGGGAGATTATGAGCAAATATATTGCTTCTTTTAGAGGAGGAGGCATATACCCTCTCGTATGAGAATTTGGTTATGGTCAAAGAATGCATTCTTCAGTTTTCATTTGAGCACCCACATATACAAAAAGATGTCCCTTAAAAAAAATAAGAAAATTAAGTTTTAAATAACATTAAATACTGACATCTAGAGCATATGTTCAACATAGCCTACTTCTTGCTTGATTTAATATTAATTGTGGCTGTCCAAATGAATATTATTGGAAAAGTTACCTTGTCCATAATAATTTATAAACGGTATATAGCTGAACACCTGTGCATGGAAATGGGAAATATTTTCATGTGTTTACCTTCAGTGCCAGACGCCAGTATGCGTAACATTTAAAGCCAAGACATGGATGTGTAAAAGAATTTAATGTTCAAACCGTTATCACTGATGCTTTCACATTATTTATTAATAAAATCATATATTGTCTAATTTTCTCACTGAAATTTTAAAATATATTTAGTAAGTAGTTCTGTCCTGATGTAGAAATAATTTTAAAATACGTAGCAGAATTATTAATACAAAAATTTTATAGTACTTGAATTAGTACTTTAGCCACAATAAATACCTACTGATATAATTTGCTCTGACATAATAATGTAATGAAATGGAATGACATAATTTTTTTTTTCATATCAATTCCTTATTTATTTTTTCATTTATTTTTATTAGTTGGAGGCTAATTACTTCACAGCATTTCAGTGGGTTTTGTCATACATTGACATGAATCAGCCATGGATTTACATGTGTTCCCCATCGCAATCCCCCCTCCCACCTCCCTCTCCACCCGATTCCTCTGGGTCTTCCCAGTGCACCAGGCCCAAGCACTTGTCTCAAGCATCCCACCTGGGCTGGTGATCTGTTTCACTATAGATAATATACATGCTGTTCTCTTGAAACATCCCACCCTCACCTTCTCCCACAGAGTCCAAAAGTCTGTTCTGTACATCTGTGTCTCTTTTTCTGTTTTGCATATAGGGTTATCATTACCATCTTTCTAAATTCCATATATATGTGTTAGTATGCTGTAATGTTCTTTATCTTTCTGGCTTACTTCACTCTGTATAATGGGCTCCAGTTTCATCCATCTCATTAGAACTGATTCAAATGAATTCTTTTTAACAGCTGAGTAATATTCCATGGTGTATATGTACCACAGCTTCCTTATCCATTCGTCTGCTGATGGCCATCTAATTTGCTCTGACATAATGTAATGAAATGGAATGACTTAATTTTTACATGAAGCCCTCTTGAAATGCTTTTTCCCCTTCCAAAAGTCTTAGGCTTAAAACAGAATTAAACCTAAGTACTGAAAATGAGTTTTAGTATCTTAGTGTGGGAACATATAATACATGTTCTTTGTTTTTCTGTTTAAATGCTTTGTGATTATGTCTCACTGGATTAGATTTTCATTTATTTATTCTTTCTAGTTCTATACTGAGAAGTAATTTGTTTCATTATAAAAACATGGTATAAATTCATACGATTTCCTTAAAAAGTTACACATTCAGTTTACAGGTACTGTATACAGATTCAGCTTACAAGTGCTATATACAGGTACAACAGTAATTCTTACATAAGTAGCCTTGTGAGAACGTGATACTGTATCTTCATCTGAGAGCTGAATAGAATTGTTAATTTAGGTCATTTACCTCAAACTACACAGTTAGAAGTCTTGGAAGGATTCCAAGTCTAACCTGACACTTGCTCAGGCTACTTACTTAGCTAAAACTGTTTGAAGTTACCTGAGTTATTTAGTACTACTTTGTACATTACTGAATTGTAAAGGTTTCATTATGCACATTTTTACGAAGTTAGATAAAGTGATCAGAAGATCATAACTTCTCAAGGGCAGAGTTTAAATCTGGCTAAAAAATAAATAAATAAAAATAATTCATTTATGGCATGGTCCCTTGCAGTGGGATAAAATATTCATTAGGCAAAACAGGTGAGAGTGGGAGAGTGTAATTAGAATAGTGGGGACCGTGACATACTGGAGTGAAAATTATTTGTCAGAAGGGGCAACTGCTCCAACTGACTGTTGCATGTTGGTGCACATCTGGGTTTTTGTATGAAATCTTTTAAAAGTTGATAGAATTTTAACATGGTGGCCAAAGTAAACAGCTGCTGACTAGATTAGGAAGGCCACCAATTGGATTTGTTTGATGAGCACATGCAAAAAAGATGTATTTTAAACAATATGCACGGTATAGAGTACTAATCTTAATGATAGTTTGTTTAAACTGTAGCTGAGAGGCTACCTGTATTGTGAGGAGGAGATTGTGTCTTGTTCTAATTCCTCCTTGTGGAAGATGGCTTTTTACTTTCTCGGATTTGGTGGGCCGAGTAAGATCTTTTACACGACGCCCAGTATTTTTAGACAAACCAAACCCAAAGTTCCTCTTTGAGGCTGAGTTGACACAACTGATTAAATATTTGAGAGAAGGCTATAGAAGAGAAATGCAAGCGCCAACTCCCCTGTTTTTATTCATGGCAGTGCGCTAGCTCTTAGTACGAGAGCTGTTTTCCAGGAAGGAACCCACCTGAAAACCTGCCTATTCCTCCCTAAGGAATCAGTCTCTGCTGGTTTAGCCACAGAGTTTATCCCGGGGCGAAGAATTTTCGCGGTACGCCTGGAACGAGTTTCAATATGAAGCGTTCCGCATTCCTCGGTAACTATAGGTGAGTGCGTTCCCGGAAGTGACGTCACATTCTTCAGTTCTTCCGTCTATCAGCGGAACTCTGGGCTCCCGGAGTTGCAGGCTGTGTACGTGGAAGCAGCCAGCGCCTGCGCAGTTGGAACCTGTCGTCTCAGCTGTGTGGGAAGTGCCGAGGGTAACATCTCGGGCTCGGGGGAGACCTTCGGGGTCATGGTTTCCCGCTGACAGGCCCCGCCGAGTGGAGAAGCAGGCGAGGCTCTCCCTGCACCCTCCCCCGGGCCCCCGACCGTCGGCCTGTCCCTTGGCCTTCCCGCTCGGTGCTGCCGCTGCCGCCAACGCCGGCGGTTGAGGAGGGGAGATGAGCTGGTTCAACGCCTCCCAGCTCTCCAGCTTCGCCAAGCAGGCCCTGTCTCAGGCCCAGAAGTCCATCGACAGGGTCCTAGATATCCAGGAAGAGGAGCCGAGCGCGTGGGCCGAGACCATTCCGTACGGAGAGCCAGGTAAGGGCGCGAGCGGGCGTCTCTCAAGAGGCCAACAGGTGAAGCGGGGGGCGGGGGGCCGGGCTCCTGCCTGTCGCTGAGCGATGGACTCCTGAGCAAGTCCTCGGCCCCAGCACGGCCCCGAACGCTGCTTTGGCCTCTCAGGTGAGCTTTGCTGCGGTCCCGAGGGAAAACCCAGCCCCGGGGTCCCTCCTTAATTGTGGCCCCGGGTTGGGGGCTGACGGGGACCCGATTCCGTGGTAGTGGCCCGTCGCCCTCGCTCCACAGACCTCAGAACACAGCGCCCCCTCCCCCTCCGCCCCCAGTCCCGGTGGGTTGCGTTCTCTTAGGGAGCACAGTATCGAAATCGGTCCGCAGGGACGGGAAGAACAGTCGCGAACACTTCGCGAGCATTGCGAGCTTGCAAGCGCGTCCTGTTCTCTGTTATGACCGTCTCTCTTGAGACGGTCCTCGGGGCGGGTGCTGCCCTGATTGTGATACTGGGATGCGCGGTAACTTCCTCTCGGCCACTCCGCCAGGGGGAGGGTCCGTGGGGGCGCGCCCGGCGATTGCGGCTTGCTGCGCAGTCTAGTCCCTAAGAGCCCCGTCTCTCTCTCAGAGACCTTGGGCTTCATCTTTCAGGGATCTTCAGTTGCTTTCGGCGCTAAGTCTAAATCCTTTTGGTGTGTGGCGTGAAGATTGGCCCCTCTTTCGGAGTGTGAACCTCTAAGAGAAAGAATAAATTATTCCTGAGTACTTCTTTCTGGTTTCTGTTTCTAATTTTACATCGTTGAGAAGTCAAGACCTAAATTTGAGGTACCTCATTTTAAGATGGTTTGGCTCAAGTGTTTATGTCATCATCCTGTTAACTTCAGTCCTGAATATTCATTGGAAGGACTGATGTTGAAGCTGAAACTCCCTATACTTTGGCCACCTAATGCGAAGAACTGACCCATTTGAAAAGACCCTGATGCTGGGAAAGATTGAAGGCGGGAGGAGAAGGGGACGCCAGAGGATGAGATGGATGGATGGCATCACCGACTCAATGGACATGAGTTTGAGTAAACTCCGGGAGTTGGTGATGGACAGGGAGGCCTGGCGTGCTGAAGTCCATGGGGTCGCAAAGACTCGGACACGACTGAGTGACTGAATTGAACTGCATAGGACCTTGGTGGGAGTAGCTCAGCTTCCTTTTTATCAGGCTACCCCACATATTGAATGACTCAACTTTGAAAGAGACAGAATATTAATTGTAAGGATACTTCTTTCTGTGACACCCGGGACTTGAATCCTGTTCTGTGATTCATTAAAAAAAAAAAAAATAGGTTATCCACATTAGGTTCAGATTTTAGTGAAATGCCATAAATGTTCACTGATGACCTGTGTTTTACGTTGCCATCACTAAAAAATGAGCAGTGATTATCGCATAATCATAATCACAAGTGGATATCGCATAACCCCGCGATTTGTGTAAAATTTTCTCCAACTGGCAAATTTGAGTTCTGTCACTCATTGACATAACTTAATACAGCACTTTATCTTGCTCATTCCTTTGTATCTTTAATTTTGTTTTTCATTTTTTTCACAATTCTGCTTTACTGAATAAATGGATATAAAACTATACCCCCAAGCTAAAGTTTCCTACATACCTCCAAAGTCATTAAATTAGTATAGACTTTAGTTTCCGGCTTGACAGCTTTTAGGAGTTTTTAGGTACTTGTGCTCTGCCCGTTAACTTCTAATTGTTCAGAGTATGTGATAAATTCTGCTCAGCCACTTTTGAATTTAGAAATGGGTGACTTTTTAAAAATTTTTTGAGATATGCTTAAAGTATTTTAGCAAATACGCCATTCTTTGTTTATCATTGGGTTTTTCAGTAACATATTATTTGTATAACTGACACAATTACCTTTTTTGCCCAGAAGATGGTTATTTTCTCCTGTTTCTTTTTTTTTTTAATCCTAGTGTAAACTGCTGTCTTTATCAAAAAGCAATAGTTCTAAAGATGCATTTCTGAAATTCATATGACCTTCTACTAATTATTAACATGATTTAAGAGTTCAGCAAGAGAACAAAAGTTTCTCAGGGAGTGGGTTTGAAGAGTGGGACTCGGAAAATGAGTTTGTCATTAAGTGCATGGAAATGAGTTTGTCCTTTAGAAGTTACTGTTCCCATTAGTTTACTTTGATCTTTGATAAAGAATGTTTGTCACCAATATTTTGGGTTCAGTGTTGAATGTTACTGTCTGTCTAGCTGATAATGATGCTTTATTATTGATATTGTAAGAATAAAATTAATATGAAACTAACTATATAGAAGGTAGATTCTATTTTTCATGACTGCATATGACCTGTAAGTGAAGATGCTGCCTATTATTGTGAGATGCATAGTATGTATTTTGGACTTGGCACGGATTATTAACATCTACCATTACTTTATTAATTTGTTGTAGGAGGGAATAACATACTTGTTTCTGGCATGCCAAGTCCAGTATTTCATCTTTGTTCCTAGTTCCTCTTGGGCAAATGCACACCAGTTTACATTTTCATGGCCTAAAGTTAACCGATGAACTAATTAATTATGTTGTAAGTGAGGAGTGTAAGAGATACAAATTACAGATTGTGCTTTGTAGAATTTTAAAAAGACATATTTATATTGACTTAACAATAATTATTGCAATTTGCATGTTTTATATATATGTGTGTGTGTAAAATTTTCTTTTTTAATTTTTTTTTTTTGTCAAAGGAATAAGTCCCCCTGTCAGTGGAGGATGGGATACTTCAACCTGGGGGTTAAAATCCAACACTGAACCTCAGAGTCAGCCAGTAGTCTCTCCTAAAGCAATTACAAAGCCAGTTCGGAGAACTGTGGTAGATGAATCTGAAAATTTCTTCAGTGCCTTTCTCTCTCCAGCTGATGTCCAGACCATTCAGAAGAGCCCAGTGGTATCAAAACCACCAGCCAAGTCACAGCGACCAGAAGAAGTGAAAAGCACCTTACAGGAGTCCTTGCACACTGGACAGTCAAGAACACCTGAGGCCACTGAGTCAAAAGTAAAGGACTCCCCTCCGTGTGTATCCGAGGAAACTCCGGCAGTCAGTACTCTGTCACCTGAAACTGAGCATAAGCATGAAGAAAGTGTTCATAAAGAATCTGATACGAAGGTGCCAACAGTGCATTTGAAAGTATCTGAAAGTGTTATGAATATGAAAACAACTAGGGAAAATGTGTCTAATATGTCTACACAGCCTCTAACAGCAGAACCCAAGGACATGGCTTTGGAACCTAAGGAACAAAAACATGAAGACCGACAGAGCAATACACCTTCTCCTCCTGTTAGTACCTTCTCGTCAGGTACTTCTACCACTAGTGATATTGAAGTTCTAGATCATGAAAGTGTAATAAGTGAGAGCTCAGCAAGTTCTAGACAAGAAAATACAGATTCAAAATCAAGCCTGCACTTGATGCAGACATCCTTTCAGCTTCTCTCAGCATCTGCTTGTCCTGAATATAATCGTTTAGATGATTTCCAAAAACTCACTGAGAGTTGCTGCTCATCTGATGCTTTTGAAAGAATAGACTCATTTAGTGTACAGTCATTAGATAGCCGTAGTGTCAGCGAAATCAATTCAGATGATGAACTGTCAGGCAAGGGATATGCTCTAGTACCTATTATACTTAATTCTTCAACTCCAAAGACCAAAACAATTGAATCTGTTGAAGGAAAACCTGAAGAAGCAAATGAAACATTAATTATGCCCAATGAGGAAACAGAAATGGAAGAAAGTGGCCGAAGTGCAACTCCTGTTAACTGCGAACAGCCTGATATCTTGGTTTCTTCCACATCAGTAAATGAAGGCCGCGCTGTCCTGGATGAGGAGGCTGAGCAGCCTGAAGCTTCAAGACAGCCAGAAGCACCTTCTGAGAAGGAAGATGTCTGCAAGGTAACTCTAAGAAATGGAAGAGGATTTTTTGATATGCTTTTCAGAGATTAAATCATTGGTTTATTTTTAATGTTCAATGAGGCCCAATGATTTGCCTTGATTAAAAAAGACAGCCTTTTGCCATTTAAGTGTGGTGTTAAGGATCTTAAAGATGAAGAATTATTGACATTATTTGAAATTTCTCCAAGGCAACTCTGGTAACATAAGTTGATATTTCAGTATAACTGAGCATAAAAAAAATCCCATCATAGGGCTTTACTGTTGCATTATCACCTTAATATTCTTTTGCTGTATATTGTTTAATTTGTTAGTTTGTAAAGGACTGTTTTATGTAAACAGATACCTTCAACTCCTTTGCAGATAGAGGTGCTCAAGCAAATCTAAATCTTACATGATTTTTCTTACCCCAAACATTTTTTGCATGGTCACATTATTTGTAGGGAGATCTTAAATGAAAAAATTTGGTTTCAGATCATTGATGTTTTTCTGTTACTAATTGTTTCATTTTGTTTTCTTGTTTATCTTGTTTTTGATATTTCATATTGATAGCTGTCTTTAATGAAAAAGAGAAATGTCCAAGGATCAAAGGTGTTGCTTAGGAATGACAAATTGCTTTTACCTAGTAGATAAAAAAAAAACTTCCCAGGTGGTGCTAGTGAAAAAGAACCCTTTTTGCCAGTGCAGGAGACCGAGAGATGTGGGTTCAGTCCCTGGGTCAGGAAGATCCCCTGGAAAGGGTCATGGCAATCCACTCCAGTATTCTTCCCTGAAGAATCCCATGGACAGAGGAGCCTGGCAGGCAAAAGGAAAGTGCTGTAAATTTTTTGACATTAAGTCACAGTTTTGTTTTTTTCTATGATTTTTAGATATAGAAATTGAGTCTGATCTGGCATCTTTAATAGACTCCTCTGAGATATAAGATATCTTGAAGAAATGTTCTCTAAGTGTCATGTATTTGAATTATTTAATGTACAAAAAGTGCCAGATTCTGTTACCTAGGTTTAATATTTTTCACAAACAAAATGTGCTCTAACTATAATAGCAGTTTGAATTCCTAGAAACAACATTATTTATTATTAAGATATTTTTGAACTGTTCTTAGGAGGTCAGTGATTTCTAAGTTAACCTAGACCTAAATCAGGTTAGGACTTAATTTTTTTAGCACAAAAGGCACTGTTCCTCATGCACAGGTGTTACTGCTTCAGCAGGACCTAAGGAGGAGGTAGTCTGATGATTCCTTTTTGCTTGGCTTTATACTGATATCTTCTGGAGATTTTAAAGTTTCGTGCCTATGGATCTTCTAAAATTACCTTTACTTTAAAAAAAAATTATTTATTTTATTTGACTGTGCCAGGTTTTAGTTGTGGCATGCAGACTCTTCAGTTGCAGCATGTGGGATCTAGTTCCCTGACCAGGGATCAAACCCAGGCCCTTTGCATTGAGAACATGGAGTCTTAGCCACTGGACCACCAGGGAAGTCCCTAAAGTTCCATTTATTTTTTAAATGCAATGTATCATGCTAAAAAGCTTACACATTCGGGTTAAAGAATAATGTGGAGAAGCAAACACTGGTATGTCCACTACCCAGATAACATAGAGAACATTAGTAGAGGCTTTGATCTATTTTGATTCCATCTAATTTCCTCTCTTCTTTTAGTGGACATGTCCACTCTTCCCCACATTTTTGTTATTACAAACAAAATACAGTTATGCAAGAGTTTTCTTCTCTGAGGTACACCTAAAAATAGAATTTTCTACATGAAAGATTATATAGATTTTCACCTAGATGTTGCTTGTTTTCCAAAGCTTTTTACCAAACCACCAGCTGTCCAGCTTTGTGGTTGTACTACTAGTTTATACTGTCCTACCCACTGTGTGTGAGTTCTTGCTGTTCTGTGTCCACTGTGTTCCCTTTTCTTAGAAATATGAAATAATGCTGATTTATTATAGTGATTAGGTGACCTTTACAGTTTTCACCTGCATGTAAAAATGGTGTTTTAAAGTTAAATGTTGGACTTTTGTGTATTCTTCTTATCCAGACAGTTGAATTTCTGAATGAGAAACTGGATAAAAGGGAAGCTCAGTTATTATCTCTTAGTAAAGAAAAAGCACTTCTAGAGGAAGCTTATGATAATCTGAAAGAGTAAGTACTTTACAAATATGAGTAATTTTATACATTTGGTAGTGGCCCATGCACTTGGTTATTACTTAAGCGTGTTTTTTAAATTGAAATATTTTATATTTTAACTTATTTATAATTACTGAAAATTGAATATCATTTCAGTTCTACCCTTAGAGATTACTTTTCTCCTCAAATTATCTTACTCTTTTACCAGTGGCACTGAAGAGAGGTGTTTTGTAAAACAAAAACAGAAAAACTTCTTCCACTTTTGTTATTACTAAACTTTTAGTATTAGAGATTTAAAAGGTATATTTAGAGAAAGCTTAGATTACGGTTTAAAAAAATACTGAGCATTGGTTTGCTTTAAGGAAGTGATTAGTAAAATGTGACACAAGATTAAAAAATAACAAGTTTTATTTATCTTTTTCTAATTTTTACACATCAAATATTGGTGACATTTTCAATTTCTAATGAGTTTTCTTTGAAATGTTTTAAAATAAATTAAACAGATAATTTTTCTCTTAAAAGTTAACAGGCCTCAAATTAATCTGTTTTAGTAAGGTGCATGTTGAGGAGAATGTTGTTATTTTTGGGGGGCAAACTGAACTCAAACTGAACTCAACTTTGGAATATATATACAAATATTTTCAGTCTTAGTATTATTTTAAATTTAGTGAAATGATCAGAGTGAAAGAAGAAAGCAGTAGCATTTCTTCCTTGAAAGATGAGTTTACTCAAAGAATTGCAGAAGCGGAAAAGAAAGTTCAGCTAGCCTGCAAAGAGAGAGATGCTGCTAAAAAGGTAATGGAAGTTTAAAATAATATTAATCTAACTCTATAGAGACATATTTTTGAGGAGTGCATTAATAATATTTTGGTATTGGGAAAAAAAGTAAGATTAAAAGAATACCATGGAGTATATTGACAACTTAAATTTTAGATTTTTCAGTACCTTTAGAATTTCAGATTTTTGATACTTTAAAAAAAATCAAGCAAATACTTGTTTGTATACTTTGTGTGTAAAGTCCTTGCAACGTGTGTAGCAAGGATCTTTAGAATAATTTTTATAAATTATAATTTCCTTAAAATAACACTTAAATCTAAATGGTACTCTATAAATTTTAAAAGTTATCATTATTCTTTTTTGTTATTTTCACTTCCACTTCAATCATATACACACACACACACACATACACAGTCTTTTTAAGTTAAAGTTATTTTAAAATAAAAATTCCTAATGATTAGTGACATTGAATGTTAGAATAAAATATTGATTTAGTCTAATGTAGGATTCTCCACCTCAGCATTGTTGCTATTTTGGGCTGGATGATTTTATTCTGTAGTGCACTACCCTGTGCAGTGTGGGGGGTTTACCAGCATCCCAGGCCCATATCTACAAGATACAGTATTGTCTTGCCTTACCCACCCACCATCCCAATCCCGCCTCAATTGTGAAAAGTGAAAATATTGCCATATGTTCCCCTGGAAGCAAAAATACTTCTGGTTGGAAACCATTGTTCTAGTTCTTATCATTTGGAGCAGTTCAGAAATATTTTCTTGTAATCAGAGTAAATATTTCTTATAATTTGGCTATTTCAGAAATTGGTAACTAATAGGTTACTAATTATTGCTTGTATCTCAATTGTTAATAGTAGCATTTCTCATTAGGCACCTTTCTAAGCTTGTTTTCCCCTTTCTTGACCAATGTTAATTTATAGTTTTTCTGTGCATATTTTTACAGAAAAGAAATACATGATATACCTCTGTCTGCTTGACTGATTTAATTAGTGACTTCAATTAGTATCATTTCAGACAGTAACAATAACCTGAGACTATCTTAACTAACTTAACTCTTCTTGTTCTTGCTCCATTCCATCTGAATACAGTACAAAAAGTATATTTTAAGGAATGTTTGTCTTCCATAGTGTGCTTTGCATTGTAGATCTAAAACAGATCCAAACCGGTTATATTAATAGGTGGAAAACCCTGGGTCCTAAGTTTTTTAATACATTTTATGTGTATTGCCATGTATGAACCCCTTGCTTAGGATCCATTGGAAATTTAAAAGTGAATTGAATTACCTTAAGTGAAGAGTTTGCCTTTTTAGTTTGAAAGACAAATAATATCAACAAACGTATAGTAGTAGGTGGGTGAATAAGGATTTTGAAATGGTATCGTGGAGGAATTTTAATCAGAGGAACTGAGTAAGTTTTCATGGAAGGTATGATACTCTTCCTGGACCTTGATGGATGGAATTTTGGCAGTTGAAAATGGACAGCAAAAAAAAAAAAAAAGAAAATGGACAGCAGTGCTGTTGATAGTTCAGAGCATAAGCTTTAGGGATTCACAGACCTGGGTTCAAGTTATAACTCTACCTCTTTATAGCTCTCTCACCTTCAAAGTTTGCTCAAGCTTTCTTAACCATAATTTTCTTACTTGTGTAGTTGAATAGTACAAATTCCTCCCTCCTAGGACTGTTGTAAGGATTAAATGATAATGGATACAATGTATACTTTAAATACTTAGTCAATGTTAGTTGATTTGAGCTGTTGTTTAGTTTCAGAGCATTGTGAAAAACAAATTTTAAATCATAGGACACTTTATATCACCATTGTTTCAAAAGATGAAGTATTGTAACATGTTTCTGTTAAATCTCTGCTTAATTAAAGTAGATTGGACCTTATGAAATTATGTTTTTTTCTCTTTGCAGCATATTTTTAAGTATGAGGATGAGGAATACTCATTTTAAGTATCAGATGAGGAAAGGAAATGCAGTAAAAAATGGAGATATACTAGTTGAATGTTCCAAAAATAACGTCTAACCTGTGGAAAATATGTGTAGAGATACTCAAAAAGGGTGTTGAAAGTTAACTTACACTCATTTACATTTCCATATTAAAACCTGCTTATGTCTGAATTTAGGTTTTCTATGTCATTTTCAAAGCTCTTTAACTTGCTCTTAATTAAACAAGGTGATATAAACTCAGGTTAACAAAATTTACGGGTTGTTACTGAAAATGCAATTAATTGAATATGGAAAAAAATGAAAAATATGCCCAGAATGAAATTAATTCTTTATGGTATTCATGTTTTTTTTTTTTTAATTAGGAAATCAAAAGTATAAAAGAAGAACTTGCTACTAGATTAAATAGTAGTGAAACGGCAGACCTTTTGAAAGAGAAAGATGAGCAGATCCGAGGGTTACTGGAAGAAGGTGTGTGAAATATTCAGTCAGTTGTGAAAAATATTGTGACAATAAAATACTTACCATGTGACTAGCTGCTGCTTTTTCCTAATGTGAAAACATGGGAAGCAAGAAAGGTTTGGATTTAAGCTTCAGAAGTGATAGATAACAGTTTATGGAAGAATGTGGAGCAACATGTAGAGAAGTAGAGATATGTATGTAGCTTTCTGTTTCTAGGGAGTTAAAAAAAAAACGGCTCTGAGAAATAGAATTTTGTGCTTCCCTAAGGAAGCTTATAACAGGTTTTAGAGTCCTCATTTAAACCAAGATATTTGAAAGTTCTAATTCTAGAGTTTGTATAGTATCTGAATCTCTAGCTTGGGTACTATATGGTATCATTCTGTTCTGGAATTTGATAGTGAATTTTTTCTTAAATTCATATTTTACTTTTTTCAGTTATTAAACACTATATGAAAAGATTTATAGTTAATAGGGTTATGAAAATTAAAGATTCTTCAGGAGATTAAACATTGCAGTTGGACATTGGAATGTCATAGGAAAGAAGGTAGTTTTGGAAAAGATGGTTAAATAAAATTTTCTTTTTCTTAAAGTTTTTTTAGTTGTAAGAATAATGCTTGCTACTTGCAGAAAATTTTTAAATTATAGGAAGTATATGAAGAAAGAAAAAAATCATAATCTGTTTTTATAAGGATCTATTCTAGTTTCCTTTTATTGCATTTTAATACGTTTTTAAACATAATATCGTATATCTAATTTGCAATGTTCTTTCTTTTAAATTTCTTTAAGCCATTAAATGTGCTTTGATACCATTATTAATGACTATATTAAAGTGCATTATGTGGATATATTTGTTTTTCTTTTCCTAATGATATGTGTTTATTTCTAAATGTTAAAATTACAAATCATAGTGGGATGAACATTTCTGTACTTAAATCACTGCCTTTAAGTGAATTTCCAGACTGAGAGTAATTGGAAATAATCACTTCATTTGAAATAGTTTTGTCCAATTTTTCTTTTTCATTTATTCAGCTTATACTTAACAGCTAGTTGGTCAGATTCTGTGTTTGATATAGACAAATGACAAATGTGTAATAAATGACACATTCCCTGTCCTTTAGGCACTATAGTTTAATGAGAGGGAAGTATAGGTACAGAGATAATTAAAAACAATCTGAGCAATAAAATAAAGAAGGAAGAGTTAATTAAACATGTGTCTCAAGACATCTTGCAATCTGTTACTATTTTCTGTTACAGCATTAGAGACTGAGGGGAAGGCTAAGTACATGGTTTCATAATTTTTAAAAATTATTAAAAATATCAATATCAAATTTCACTATGTTGAAATTTGGGGAGTGAGCTGATGTTTCCTTTTGCTTAATGAACTTCTTTATAGGGAAAATAGACTGATTTCATATAGATGTAGTCACATACTGCTCCTGTATACCCTAGAGGTATTTTTAAAGTCATAGCTGAAGAGCTACAAGTCTCAAAGCTGAGAGTACACTACAATGAGTATCTGATTACTTCATTAACTAGAGTCATTGACTGTTAAGATCTAGCTTTACTGCCTCCATATCCTTCTGCACATGCATATAATACCCTTTGGCCTAACCTCTTGAACGTGGTTGACAGATACTGTATCATTCCACTCCTGAGTTCTTTTTTAATCCAGCTTTGCTGTGCTGTGCTTAGTTGGTCAGTCGTGTCCGACTCTTTGTGACCCTGTGAACTGCAACCTGCTGGGTTACTCTGATCATGGGGATTCTCCAGGCAGGAATTCTGGAGTGGGTTGCCATGCTGTCCTCGAGGGGATCTTCCAAACCCTCAGATGGAAGCCAGGTCTCCCGCATTTACCGACTGAGCCGCCAGGGAAGCCCTTGAAAGTCGCTCAGTTGTGTTGACTCTTTGTGGCATTCTCCAGGCAAGAATACTGGAGTGGGTAGCTATTTCCTTCTCCAGGGGATCGTTCCAACCCAGAGATGGAACCCAGGTCTCCTGCGTTGCAGGCGGATTCTTTACTGTCTAAGCTACCAGGGAAGCCCGAGAATACTGGGGTGGGTAGCCTGTCCCTTCTTCAGGGGGTCTTCCCAACCCAGCGATCAAACTGGGGTCTTGTGCATAGCAGGCAGATTCTTTACCCGCTGAGCTACCAGGGAACAATCCAACTTTGTTGAGGTATAAAAGTTGTGTATTTGTAAGGTGTACAGTGTGACTTTTTTATATGTATATATTGTGAGATTACTACCACAGTGAAGCAAAGTAATATATCAGTCACTTCACGTAGTTAACATTTTTGTGTGTGTGATGAGAACTCTTTAACATCTACTCTTTTCAGCAAGTTACAGGTTTATAGTATAGTATTAGTAGCTCTAATTTATAGTCACCATGCTGTAAATTACATCTCTAGAACTTATTCATTTTGCATAACTGAAACTTTGTACCCCTTGATCAACATCTCCCCATTTCTTTGACCCACTAGCCCTTGTTGACCACCATTCTGTTCCCTTTGTCTACAAATTCAACTTTTTTGTATTCCACATTTAAGTGAGATCATCTGTATCTATGTCTGGTTTATTTCATCCTCTAGGTTCATTCATGTTTTCACAAATGGCAGGTTGTTTTTTCAAAGCTAAATAATGTTTATATCTCTCTCTATATATTTATCAATCTATGTCACATTCTTTATCCATTTATGCATTGACTAAACATAGATTGTTTCCATAGCTGGGCTATTGTAAATAGAACTGCAGTGAACATGGGGATGCAGATCTCTCTTTGAGATCCTGATTTCGTTTCTTTTGGATGTATACTCAGAAGTGAGATTGCTGGATCATATAGTCGTTCTATTTTAAATTTTTTGAGGAGTCTTCATACTGTTTTCTGTAGTGGCTATACCAGTTTGCATTGTCACTAATGCAAACCTGTTACTCACCTGTTACTCAAGGGTTCTCTTTTCTTCATATCCTCTCCAGTATTTACCTTTTATCTTTTTGATAATGGCTGTCCCGACAGGTATGAGATGATGTCTCACTGTAGTTTTGATTTGCATTTCCCTGCTGGTTGGTGATGTTGAGCACCTTTTTGTATACCTTTTGGCCATTTGTATGCATTGTTTGAGAAATGTCTTTTCATGTCTTCAGCCCATTTTCAAAATTGGCTTTTTTTTTTTTTTTGCTATCAAGTTCTAGTTCTTACATATTTTGGATATTAATTCCTCATCAGTGTATGGTTTGCACATATTTTTTTCCATTCTGCAGATTATCTCTTTACTCTGTTGTTTCTTTTAATGTGCAGTAATTTTTTACTTTGATACAGTCTCACACATCTTTTTTTTTGCTTTTGTAGCCTATGCTTTTGGGATCCTATTAAAAAAGCAATTCCCAAGACTTATGTCAGAAAACTTTCCCCTTTTTTCCCCCTATGTTTTCTTCTGGTAGTTTTACATTTTCTTGTTTTATATTTAAGTCTTTAATCTATTTTGAGTTGATTTTTTTTTTTGATGTATGATGCTATACTGTTTAGTTTTTCTGCATATACATATCCCAGTACCATTTATGGATGAGACAGCCCTTTCCTCATGGTTGTACTCTTGACGTCCTTGTTGAAGATCACTTTATAAGCTCTCCATTTTATTCCATTGGTCTATATGTCTGTTTTTATGCCAGTACCATACTGTTCTGATTTCTATAGCTTAGTAATATGCTTTGAAATTAGAAAATTAGGAAGTGTGATATCTCCAGCTTTGTTCTTGCTCAGATTCACTTTGGTTATTTGAGGTGTTTTGTGGTTGCATATGACTTTTAGGGTTTTTTTTTTTCCCTTCTATTTTTGTGAAAAATGCCATTTGGATTTTGATAGAAATTGCATTGACTCTGTAGTCCACTCCTCAGTTCTTCAGTCTGCATCTCCCAGGGGCAATTTTTCTTGACAGGCACAACATTGTCATCTCATTTAAGAGAATCAGCATTAATTCAAAAGTGTATTGTAGTATGTATTTTGGCCTTTATCTCAGTTGTCTCTAAAAATGACTCTCATGTCTGGTTATTTGTTCTGCCCTAAGATCCAATCAAAGTTCATTGCATTTGGCAATTATATTCTTTTAGTTTTCCTCCAATCTAGGATATTTTTTTCATGACATGACATCAGAGATTTTGTGGAGTCCAGTTGTCCTGTTGACTACCCCCTGTTTAGGAGTCTGTCGCTTTCTTCATGATTAGATTCAGATCAGATTTTTTGTGAATATAATAGGTGATAATGTGCACCTTCTACTCCATCACATCAGTGGACACATAATGTCAGGCTGTAGCACAGTTTAGTGATGTCAGAGTTGAATGTTTGGTTAAGATTATGACCAGATTTCTCTGTTGTAAAAGCACATTTTTTCCCCCTTTGTACTTTATAATATGTGGGAATGATTCTTAAAGACTGTAAATATTTTGTTCCACACCGTCCTTCTACCTAGTAATTTTAGCATTCATGGCTGATTCCTGTCCAAATCACTTTAACATTAACTGTTACAGCATTGTGATTTTAAAAATATTCTGTCATTTTATGTTACTGGTTAGAGAAAACATTCTACTCACATTCTTAAGAGAATCATCATTATTTGAACTTATACATTTTTTCCATTGCCAGGAGAGAAGCTTTCAAAACAGCAGCTGCATAATTCTAACATCATTAAGAAATTAAGAACTAAAGACAAAGAAAATGAAAATATTATTGCAAAGCTGAACAAAAAAGTTCAAGAGCTAGAAGAAGAGTTACAACATTTAAAACAGGTGAATATTAACCGTTCTCTACATATATGTTGTGTTACTTCCAATATGAATAGTTGGCCATGGGTTATAAAATATTTGGAATGAGTTACTGAGGTATGTCATTTGGGAGGAATTTTCAAGCAAGTAAATAGTGAATGTTAAGGTTTTTCTTCATTATTATTGATACAGTGCTTGAAATTCCTAGAACACGGTTATTTACTGTGGTGTATTTTTTTATTGAACTATACCTTTGTCTCTTCTTTTTAATATAGGTCCTTGATGGCAAAGAAGAGGTTGAGAAACAACATAGAGAAAATATTAAGAAACTAAATTCTGTGGTAGAACGCCAAGAGAAGGACCTTGGCCGACTTCAAGTAGACATGAATGAACTTGAAGAAAAGAACCGAAGTATTCAGGCTGCTCTTGATAGTGCATACAGGTAAGAAAATGAACAAATATGCAACTCATTGAAAGTCCATTATCAGAGCAAGAAATGGAAGAAACACTTTTTTTTATTATCTGATCACTAATAACATTTATAAACTTCCTGGTATATGGACTTATGACTGGTTAAAGCGAGCTTCACAGAGAGTCCTCATTGTAATCGGTGTTTATTATGTGGTAAACTTCCTCATTCTGTAGATCTCATGGAAATCTACATGGAAACTTAATTAATTTGGTCATGTAATTAGCTGTATATTATTTTAAATTAAAAATTATCTATCTAATTTTAAGAGAACTTACTGATCTCCACAAAGCCAATGCTGCAAAGGATAGTGAGGCCCAGGAAGCTGCTCTGAGTCGTGAAATGAGAGCTAAAGAAGAACTTTCTGCAGCACTGGAGAAGGCTCAAGAAGAAGCCCGTCAGCAGCAGGAAACATTAGCAATTCAAGTAAGCATTGGATGATAAATTAGCCTTTAAAAATCTTTGTGCTTCTGCTAAATAAAGAATCCATTAGTTAATTTGAATAAAACCTTACGTAGTGGCATATGTGTTGCATTTCCTTTATAATCTTTTTGGGCACTTTTCTAGGAATACTAGATTGTACCAAATTTAATTAATTGTGTGTTTTTTAAACTGTTGTTAAAGTGATGCTTACATTAAACCAGTATTGCTTATTATTTTTATGAATTTCAGACTCATTTGAGAGTGCTATGAAAACTAGGGACATTCTTAACTAAAAGAATGCATGTATGCAGATAAATACTAAACATTGCATATAATTTTCAGAGAACCTGTTTAACTCCGAAGCTCATTCATAGCATCTATGGGACTCCATGTACTTCAAATAAGGAGTAAAACTAACATTTGTCAGGCTTTGTCTTAGGAAATCATCAGTTGATAGATATTTGGGTTATTTACACTTTTAAATTTTATTTATTTTATTGAGGTATAGTTATTTTATAATATATAAATTTCAGGTGTATGTCATTCACTTTTTTAAAGGTTATATTCCATTTTTAGTTATTATCAAATGCTGGCTATATTCCCCTTGCTGTACAATAAATCATGTAGCTTATTTATTGTATATGTAGTAGTACCTTTTAGTCCTGTACTTCTGATTTTCCCCTCCCCTTGTTTTCTATTCCCTCTGGTAATCACTAGCTTGTTCTTTAAATTCGTGAGTCTATTTCGTTTTTGTTATATTCACTAGTTTTGTTTTTTTAGATTTCGCATATAAGTGATATTATACAATATTTGTTCTCTCTCTGACTTATTTCACTAATCATAGTACCCACCATCCCTGTTGCTGCACATGACAAAATTCCAGTCTTATTTATGGCCGAGTAGTATTTCAGCTATGTATGTATCACACCTTTTTATCGATTCATCTATTGATGGATAGTTAGTTTGCTTCCATATCTTGGATATTGTAAACAATGCTGCTATAAACATTGGAAGGTGTGTATCTTTCCAAATTAGTGTTTTCACTTCCTCTAGATATACACCCAGGAGTTTTTACATTTTTAGCTTATTATGAATAATGCTGCTCTAAACATTAATTTACAAATTTCTATGTGACCATATGTTTTAAATTCTCTTAGATATATTCCCTTGGGTTATATGCTAATCTTACGTTTAACTTTTTCAGGAACAACCAGACTTATCCACAGTGGCTGAACCATTTTACATTCCTACTAGCCATATATATGGGGGTTTCAGTTTCTCAACATTCTTGCCAGTATTTGTCATTGTCTTTTTTTTTTCGTTGTAGCCCTTTTAGGGGTGTTATATGGTATCTGTTACAGTATTAATTTATATTCCCTTAATTATTAATAATGTTGAACATCTTTTTATGTGATTATTGGATTTCTGTATCATCTCCTTTGGAGAAATTTATTCAAATATTTAAATCCTTTGCCCATTTTTATATTATTTTTATTGTTCATTTGTAAGAGTTCCTTATATATTCTGCATACTAGACCTTTATCAAATGTGGGATTTGTAAATATTTTTCTCCCACTTTCTATGCTGTCTTTCACTTTCTTCATAGTTAGTGTCTTTTGATACACAAAAGTTTTTTAATTTTGATGAAGTCCAGCTTACTTATTTTTTGTTTACTTCCTTGTATTTTGGATATCATATTTAAGAACCTCTTGTCTAATTCAGGATCACATAGATTTTCACCTATTTCCTTCTATGATTTTTATAGTTTTAGTTCTCACATTTAGGTCTTTTGCATGTGAATATCAAATTGTTCCAGCACTACTTGTTGAAAAGACTATTCTTTCCTCACTGATCTCAATGCATTTTTTATTTAATTTCACATGAATATGTAAAACATTTACATGATTCCAAAGTGAAAGGTACATAGCAGAATATACTAGGGTAACTTTTGCATCCAACTTATTCCTTCCCCATTCCTTTTCTTTGCCTATAAATTTGCCATTTTACTACAATTAGGTTTTTTTTTTTCAGTGTTTCTATTTGTAAATGCAAGAAAACATCCATATCTACATTTATTTATATTCCTCCTCAATGTGTCTATAACACTTATACATGTTTATTTGTATCTCTTTCATCTTTTCTGCATAAAATATAGTTTACTGTTTACTGGAGAAGGAAATGGCAGCCCACTCCAGTGTTCTTACCTGTATTCTGGGGATTCCCTGGTGGCTCAGTTGGTAAAGAATCTACATGCAGTGCAGGAGATGCAGGTTTGATCCCTGGGTTGGAAAGATCCTTTGGAGAAGAGAATGGCCCCACTCCAGATTCTTGCCTGGAGAATTCCATGGACGAAGGAGCTTGGCGAGCTATAGTCCATGGGGTTGCAAAGAGTTGGACATGACTGAGTTCCTAACACTTTCATACTTTTTTCATTTTATTTTGTAGTTTTTTCATTTAAGATTAAATTGTACTTTTCTGCATGTTTTTTGTGGTCATATTAATTTTTATTGGGCATATTCATGTTGTATCAACATTGGCAAAAATAAATTACTGCTAATGGGTATTTGCAGTATTTCTTTTGTTTTTGTTAGTCTAGCTAACAGTGTAGAGAATATTTTTTTATGTTTATAGATCTGTTTCTATAGAGTAAATTCTCAGGACTAGGATGATCAGATGGAAGAATATAAAAAGTTTGATGATTCTTTGAATGTGTTGCCATATGTTTTCTGAAAAGGCTGTAGCAAGTTTACAACCTGTGCAGCTGTGTGTGAATATAGCAGCCAGTTTTTATAGCTCATATAGTTCCTATCACATTCTGCCTTACACTGCAAACATTTATGGGTGCACTGTGTTTCCTCCTGTATTGTATGCCAGCATCTAGACCTTGTACTTATGTATATGCTCGTGTGTGTGTGTGTGTGTTTGTGTGTGTGTGTACACTTACTGTGCTTTCGTCAGTACATACTGAGTACATGTGGTTCAGGGATTGCCTGAAGAATGAGATGTGTGACAATTGTATGTAAATGCTCACTGGATAGCATAGAATATTATATATGAATCATAAGTCAACACAACACAAAAAATAATAGCAGGCAGTTATAGATAATATTTGACGTTGGTTCTGATAGTGTGTTGGTTCTCTTCATGCAGGTGGGGGACCTTAGGCTGGCACTGCAACGTGCAGAGCAAACAGCTGCCAGAAAAGAGGATTATTTACGCCATGAGATCAGTGAACTCCAGCAGGTACTTGTCAGAGTTTCCCTAAAATACAAATCTTGAGATGTGTTTTTCTAAAAATAATAAATGACTTAGTTGGGTAATGTTCTTTGAGTTGAGAAGATTACTGCCATACTCTTCATTTTCTGTATTTTTATGTGGTTTATGTGAATAAAATCAGAGTGGGCACTTCAAAAATGTATAAGAAAAACCCTAATTTTGTTTTCTAGAAAGTAATTTTATCATGATAGATATGTAGTATGTTGAGTTATTTTCATTTGTAATGGCTGATTGATTAATTATTATCAGTCTTTGATTACTGTGGGGCAGAAAGCAATGCCCAATTTTTATGCTACTGTGTTGATTTCAGTCAGTGAAGTTGTGCCGGAGAAGGGGGAGAAAATTCCATTCATGTTGATCTTCCTGTTTTTAGAAATACTTAGAAATATTTAGAGAGGAGGCAACTACTAAGAAGTTTGGATGATACTCTTTATTACCTTAAGGTAATCAGAGGCTGTCATTACGTAGAAATGTTTTGAAAAGAAGCACATACTTAACTCCGTTATGCAACTTAACTATAACTTAAGGTTTGAATAGTTAGAAAGTAATAGAAAAACAAATAATTTTTTCCCGAAATCTCTCATAAAGTTTGTTTGCTAGCATTTTTAGTGTTTTTACTGCTGTCAGTAATAATGACTTAAGAATATCATAATTCAGAGACTCCAGGAAGCAGAGAATCGAAACCAAGAACTGAGTCAAAGTGTTTCATCAACAACAAGACCATTGCTTCGACAGATAGAAAATTTGCAAGCAACTCTAGGGTCCCAGACGTCATCATGGGAGAAGTTAGAGAAGAATCTTTCTGATAGACTTGGTAACTGCTTTAGTTCTTAAGCTCAATGCAGTTCTTAAGCCCTTCCATCCTGTTTTAGAATTAGGGTAATGGCATGAAATTGAAATTCACTGGATCTGATGGTTTTATTTTGTGTCTAACTTGCAGATTTTGACCTCTTCTCCTCTCTTACATTTATTTTCTAATATTTTAATTGACTCTTTTCAAACCATGCCTTACATAATGTGTCAGGTACTGTCTAAGATACTTTCTTGTCATTCTCTTGCTCATTTTTACAAACTTTTGCACTCTACTGTTTCCTCGTCCATTGCTCAATCTGACCTTGTTTTAGCTTGCTGGCAGTAGTGTAGGAGGTAGAGATCAGATATGATTCTAGTCAATGGTGGAATTCCAAGAGCCGAGATAAGTCTAAGTTAAATCAAGTTCAGATTCTGGTAGACAGATGCTATGAAGTCTTAAGATTCCATATTTTGCTTCTTTACAAAAATATCCTAGGTTCCCCTCTGTGCTGTTAATAAAAAGAAAAATTTTTTTCCAAGATACTTAAGTACAGACAGGTAGAATATGTATATATTAGATATCCCAGAAGCTAGCAAATGGTGAAAAATTCCTGTTTCTGTTCTATGCCTAAAATTAACTGTAATTTGAGAGACATCATGGTGTAGTGATAAAAGCCAACGTGAATGAGTGTCAAAACATTTGGACTCATGGCTTTTATGGTTTGTTTTCAATCATCCAGCCAAATATTCCTTTGTTTTGGAGCAAGTCATTTACCTTCTCTGGACTACACCCTATAAAATCACGAGGGGTGAGCTAGATTAGTGTATTTGAAACAGTGTTCAGTAGATCTCTTGTATGTCTTAGTGCTAGCTGTCACGGTGAGGGGGAAGCTCAATAAGTAACGTGCTGGGCTTCCTCCAGTCTGCTAAATGAAAATAGTGCCTCCTTTGACTGCCTTTTTTTTTTCCTTATAGCTTCATATAAGATTTTGTCTGAAATAGATTTATCTGCTTAAAAAGAAAAATCCCTAAACAGATGAACCTTCATCTACTGTTTAATTTCTAGATAGAAATTTTAGGTCTATCATTTATCTTGGACAGCTTTTTGAGACTGATTTGTTATGAAGTATGAGATATCTGAAAATGACACCTTCTAAAACAAATATTTATTTAGCAATAAAATTGAAGCTAGAAGCCGTTATTTCTGTGGCTTTTAAACTGGAGCCTACACACTCTCAGGGATGTATGGTGTTGTGGTACAGTGTAGGCAAAGCCACAGGACAAACATACTTTATAATGCTATAAATAAGAGCATAGATACAGTATAGAAAAGAATATATAATGTAAAACAGATATTACTGGGTCTACTTTAGTGGGGAAAAATAAGAAAATTCTTGCCTTGGTTAAATCTCAAAATTTTATCCACTAGTCTTTTTTTTTTTTAAGTTGAAATTTTCAATTGCGATAACTAGATTCATATGCAGTTACAGTATATGCAGAAGTGATATGGAATGGTCCCTTGCACACTTTCCCCAATACTCCAATGTTAATGTTCTGCAAAATTGTAGTAGAATATCACAACCAAGGTATTGACATTGAAAAAACCTTCTGATTTTATTCTGATTTGCCCAGTTTTACTGGAACTCACTTGTCTGTATATGTGTGTTTATGTCTATGTGTTTATTAAGTTTTATACAAGTTGACCACGTGTAGGTTCATGTATCTGTCACTACAGTCAAGATATTGAATAGTTCTACCACCACAAAGACCCCTCATTTTGCCCTTTAAAACTGTTCTACCACCCTCTTGGCCTTCCCTCCCTGTCCCAAATCTCTGGCAATCACTAATCCTCTATTTCTGAACTTTTGGAATTTCAAAATGTTATATAAATAGAATTGTATAAAATGTGTCATTTTGGGAATGGGCTTTTTTTGTTCAGTATAATTCCCTGAAGATTCATGCAAGTTCTTGTGTATATTAGAGATTTAGTCTTTACTGCTGAGTATTTTTTCTGTGTTTATATATAGCAAATCTTGTTTGACCATCTACCTAACAAAGGATGTCTGGGCTATATCTAGATTTTGTCTGTGCAGATCAAGCTGTAATGAACATTTGTGTACAGGTTTTAGTGTGAACTTAAGTTTTCATTTCTCTGGATATATGCCCACGTGTGAAATTGCTGGGTTGTATGCCTAGTTGTGTGCCTTGTTTTTTAAGCAAATGCCAAACTGTTTTACAAAGTGGCTGTGTCTATGAGAGTAATCTAGTTTCTTTACATCCTTGCCAGCATTTTCTTTTGGTGTTTGCCCCTATTTTTTCTTTTAGTCATTCAGACAGGTGTGTAGTGATGCCTTATTATAATTTTAATTTGCATTTTCCTCATGAAAGATGGTGAATGACATTTTATATGCTTATTTTCCGTTAGTACATCCTCTTCAGTAAACTGTGTCTGTTGCCCATTTTCTAGTTGGACCATTTATACTTTAACTAGTGAGTTTTGAGACTTGTTTATGTAATCTAGATACTAGTCTTAGATAATATGGTTTGTATTTATTTCCTTCAAATATGTAGCTTATCTTTTCATTTTTTTCACATAGAGCAAAAGTTTAAAATTTTGTGGAAGTCTGATTTATCAGTTTTTCTCTTTATGGCTCATGGTTTTGTGTTAAACCGAAGTACTTTTTGCCTATCCTTGGATCCTGAAGATTTCTTTGATTTTTTCCTAAAAGTTTTATAACTTTTTAAAAAATTGAAGTATAGTTGACTTACAATATTCTATTAGTTTCAGGTGTACAATAGTAATTTGACATTTTTATAGATCATACTTCATATTAAGTTTGATGAAATATTGGCTATATTCCCTGTGCTGTACATTACATCCTTGGAGCTTACCGATTTTATACTTGGTAGTTGGTACCTCTTGATTCCCTTCACCTGTTTTGTTGCTCCCCTCATTATATTTTGTTTTACTTTTAAGTATGTAATCCATTTGAGTTAATTTTCATATATGTTGTGAAGATTAGTTTGAGGTTACTTTTTTTTGCCTTTGACTATCCAGTTGATCCAGCACTGTTGATTCACTACTCTGCTGGTACATGACTCCACTTTCAAATTAAAATATATTGGTGAAAAAAATGGTAAAGCACCTATAAATTAAGATTTTTAATATTTGTCTCTGTAGGCAGGTCTGCCTTACTCAGTGAGTACTTAAACAGTTTTAAGTGTGGCTGTTTGCATCATTAGAAGTTTGAAGTCAGAATCTGTTTGATATTATTATCTTGGCCTCTTGAATATATGTATATATGATTGAAATTTCTTACTTATCCTACCATCAGGTGAATCCCAGACCTTGTTGGCAGCAGCAGTTGAGAGAGAACGTGCAGCCACAGAAGAACTTCTTGCTAACAAAATTCAAATGTCTTCCATGGAATCACAGAATTCTCTCTTAAGACAAGAAAATAGTAGATTTCAGGCTCAGCTAGAATCAGAGAAAAATAGGCTAAGAAAACTAGAGGATGAAAATAATAGGTGAGCATGTTTCTTGAGTGTTATTCTTGATAGTTTCTTGACATTTTAAAGCACTTAAAAAATATGCTGTTGCTTTTTAACTTCATCGCACGGAGAACTGGAAATACATACTTTTAGTGTTTATAGTCAGAATCATTAGTAATAGGATGTGGAACTAAGTTAGGTGTGGGATTCACTGAGCCTTGTATAGTCTCTTGGACATGTGTGGCATGTTCTGAATGTATTTGCATTTTCTAGGAAAAGGATTCATTGCTTTAATCAGATTTTTTTGGAGGAATCTGTGACCATAAAGTAGTTGAAGATCACACGCTGGAGTTATTTGTATATGACAAGGGTTTAAGCATTATTCCACTCTTCCTAAATAAATGTCTGGGCTCTTTGGAAATCACAAGCTGTAAAATCCATCTGTGTTAAGTTAATTAAGGCTGTAATGATGGGTTTTATCCTGTGAGTTCTTTGGAAGTTTTACTTTTAAAAAAAAGTAGTCAAAAATGATTTATAAAGTAAAGAATATGAACTTTTGCAGACATTTTCGTAGAACTCCGTAATGCTTTTGTAGAATCTGAACATGTTAATATTATGGAATGGTGGTATTCAAAATTCTATTTAGGAAGTCTTTTTTTAAATGAAATCTTAACCCTAAGAACCAAAAAATACATAGACATGGTAATTTAGCTTCTGAATAAAACCCAGGTCATCTGGAAAATACAGTTCGAAAATCAAGCTGATAATAAAAATGACTACTAAATATGTAACTGGAGGTAATATAGTAGTATGTTTTTAATAGTCTCTACTATCATCTTTTTTTGTTTAATTCCCTTTGGCGTAATAGGTACCAGGTTGAATTAGAAAACCTAAAAGATGAATATGTAAGAACACTTGAAGAGACAAGGAAAGAAAAGGTATTTCTATTAGTGTTCACTTACCTCTTAGAGCTTCCATTAGAGAATGGTTGGGAATGGTAGCAAGTTAATGAGATGACAATATAAAATGGGTGATGTTTCTGCTTTTGGTACTTGGGTCTTAACGAACAAATAAGACTCTACACCTTATATTCCTAATTTGGAGACTGACTTACGATGATGACTTAGTTTCACAGAAATAACCTGACTGTCTCTCTCCATTAGACACTGTTGAATAGTCAGTTAGAAATGGAGAAAATGAAAGTTGAACAAGAAAGGAAGAAAGCAATTTTCACTCAAGAAGCAGTAAAAGAAAAGGTATTAAATTTTGTTATTTTGTTTCTTTTTTGATGTAACCATGTAGCTGTTGGGATTAGTCATTGTTTTGTAATTCAAGCTAAACTTTTTTTTTTTAATAATTATTTATTGTTATTTATTTGGCTGCACCAGGTCTTCTTTGCAGCATGTGGGACCTAGTTCCCTGACTGGGGATTGAACCCAGGTCCCCTGCATTGGGAGCTTGATGTCTTATCCACTGGACTACCAGGAAGTCCCCAAGATAAACTTTATAAATACCACTTCTTAAGGTCTAAAGTCAGTAGAGTGATGAATTCTAGTAGCATAATCAGTGTTCTCCTCAGAGTAGATCCAAAGTAACTTGAGTTTATACAAAGAGACCTGTGATTTTTAGGAGTTGAATTATGGAACGTCTTGCCCCTTTTTAAATGAATTTTGTGGTCTCTCACTGATACTGATGCACCTCATTTGGCCCATAGGCACCTGGGAGTGAAACTGGTTTGTTCACTTTGTTTCTGGTTAATGAAGGTAATTTTTCTAAAGTGAGTTTCCTATGTTTAAAGGATAGAAGTATACTCAGTAATTAGCATAATATGTTAAATCCACCTATATGAACATTGAGATTACCTTCGAATTAATTTGGTTTAAAATACAGTAAAAATAAAATGGATAAGCCAGAAATGTTATGGTTTGTAAATCTTGGTAATCTTATTCTAGAGAAATAAGTGGTGGTATGTTATATAATATGAAATTCATATAGTTGCTCCATTAAAAACATTCACATTTCATTAAACATAAACCAGATTATATTGTATAATATAAGTGAGTCCTGTGATGATTTGACTTTTTGTCTATACTTTTAAATTACTAAATATTGTGCTTTTGATAAGACTTCAGAAGACATATCTGTAACCATTTTATGAGGAAATTAGAATGAATCTTTGTTGTCATTGATCCTAGGAAGGTTTGTTGCTTTTTTATTTAACATTTTACCCTTTAATCTGAATTTAATTTTTTTTTCTTTACACTGTAAGGAGCGGAAACCATTTTCTGTTTCTAGCACTCCTACAATATCACGTTCAAGTTCAATAAGTGGAGTTGATATGGCAGGCCTACAGACATCTTTTCTGTCTCAGGTGATGTTTTATTTCTTGTATGCATTCTTAAGTTGAATGATAATAAAGAGAGAGTGCAGGATAGTAGTTTGGCTCTCACCATGACCTTGGCATTCTGTGAACAATTTATCTGCATTTTTGTAAGGGAGTGCTAATTGCACTGAGGAAATAGAGAAAATTTTCTGCCTTTAAGAAAATCATAGACGATTTAAAGCAAGAACTGACCAAATCATTTTGTTTGAACCTTGTGCATAGTCTATAGTAGCTGAATAACTGTATGTACTTTAATTAACAATAGGATGAGCCTCATGATCACTCATTTGGACCAATGTCTATGTCAGCAAATGGAAGCAATCTTTATGATGCTGTAAGAATGGGAGCGGGATCAAGCATTATTGAAAATCTACAATCTCAGCTGAAGCTAAGGGAAGGAGAAATTTCTCATTTACAGGTATTGTAAAAATGAAATGTGCTATACAATGCTATACAATGAAATTTTGAGGCTCAGTAAGTAGCATCCTTCATTTCCACCTGCTTTTTGAGCAAATTGAGAAATAAAGTGATTGTGGCCTGTGAAGCCCCAAATAAATTGTGTATATTAACAATAAAGGCTGGTTGGAGCAATTAGCCAAGGATGAAAGTCAAATGGGTCTGCTGAGTGCCGGAATTTGGGAGACTGTCACAGAAAATGATAGGCTGGAGTAGGCCTCCCCACATGTGATAGGTAGCCTGCCTCAGTAAGACTTAGAGGCATCTAGAAGCAGAGAGCTCCTTGCAGGCAGCTTCTTCCAAACATGACAAAAGGGAAGTTGCTGAGCTGAGCATAGCCATTTAATTCTTCCCAGATTCACCTTGTTAGATAAGTTACTCCAGCTCCCCCTATGAGGAAAGAACAAAGGTGATGAGAGAGATAAGAACTGTAACCTGCTATACAAAAAAGGAAACAGTTTGAGTGGGACATCCTCCTATCTCATCTTGCTTTTCATAATGAGGTGAGAAATGTTAAAATGTTTTACTTACCTGTTTTCATTGTTAAACTAGATACAATCAAAAGTAGAACTTTTCTATTCTTATTTTGCCATTTTAGTTAGGTGAAAATATAACTCATATTAAAGATATCCTTGAATTGGAATAAAATAGATCAGCATGATCTTAATACCTTTTATGTTTATGTAGCCCCATGTAATGCTTGAGGGCACAAACAAACTTCTTTGGTAGTTGATGATAAATTCTTACCAATATGACCTACACAGTTGGCACTACATTAAAGTTAGTTTTTGCTTCCCTGGTAGCACAGTCAGTAAAGAATCTGCCTGCACCACAGGAGACCCGGGTTTGATCGCTGGGCTGGGAAGATCCCCTGGAGAAGGAAATGGCAATCCACTCCAGTAGTCTTGCCTGGAGAATCTTATGGACAGAGAAGCCTGGTAGATTACAGTCCATGGGGTCGCAAGAGTCGGACACGACTTAGGGACTAAACCACAGAATAACTGAAGTATATTGCTATTTCCTTAGATTAGAGAAAAATATAGAGTTGCATGTTACAAACAGATTATTAAATTTTCTTTAGTTCTTTCTCTGTCATAGTAAATCTAAATTCTGTGAATTATATACCTTTGAGGAAAGTTGAAACTTTTTGTGCCACTATTTCCTTTTATTTAAGAAAGAGCTTGTTCTTGGTTATATATTCACATATCTACTTCTTAAAAATTATCACATTATATACATTTATATTAATGGGATTATTAAACAAGATATATTTTGATTTAAATCACTTTCTGGTAATGTGCCTCAGCTAGAAATTGGCAGTCTAGAAAAAACACGCTCCATAATGGCTGAAGAGCTAGTTAAATTAACAAATCAAAATGACGAACTGGAAGAGAAAGTGAAGGAGATACCCAAACTTCGAATGCAGCTAAGAGTAAGTATTCTTCACTCTTATTTTTAGTTTACATGCACAGTGGTATTTCACAATCATGTTTAGTCCCAGCATAGAAAAATAACTAGATTTCATTTGGCCAAGGCTTTAATAATCCTGAACTTTTGCATGATCTGAATATTTTATTGATTAATGTTAAATGTATCCTCACAATTAATATATTTGGCAATTGCTGTTAACCTATATATGAGAATATATTTTCTTTTGGGGTAAATGCCAGATAATACTTAAACTACAGGGAATCATACACTGAAATTGCATCAAATGTGCTGAAATTAATGGGAGAAAAGATAGATTAAGCTACATATGGGGAGAATTGTAGATTTAGTGAAGAGATATGTGAAGATTAATAGCCATCTAGTCTAGTTTTTTTTTTTTTAGTCTTTTATTCTAACAGACTAAATTGCAAGTTTAATTTTTATGAGCGATGACTATATACTTTTATTTAGATTGTAATGTCTTTACTGGTGGCATATTTATGATAATATAAATATAATATTAAAGATTTTCTGTACAGTTATTTAAAAGTTGTAAACAAATATATTTTATAGGATTTGGATCAAAGATACAACACTATTCTGCAGATGTATGGAGAAAAAGCAGAAGAGGCAGAAGAACTTCGATTAGATCTTGAAGATGTAAAAAATATGTATAAGACTCAAATAGATGAACTTTTAAGACAAAGGCTCAGTTAACTTCTGCAAATTACATTCCCATCAAACTGAATGTAAACATTTAATATCTATGTGCAGATATCCAATAAATTCTTTTATAGAATTAGAAGGTGGAATTTACTGTAGTGTTCAAAAATTGAAAAAAATTCTTTTATAGTATATAGTAATATTTCCAGTTAAATTATTTTGTGCAATATTTGAAATTTATTTTTGAAACTATTCTTTAAAGGTTTATTTTTTAAAGGGTCTTTTTTTTTTTTTTTTTTTGCCTTGAATAGCACAGAGATTTATTACTTTATCCTCATCAGTATGGTTAGGGAAGGAGAATGGTTCATATGTTGTATTGTAGATATATAACTAATTGTATCTATAATTTGTATGTTTTTGTATATATTGAAAACATTTAAAGAGTTATAGTAATGTTGACACTTTGAAATCTTTCGCACTTAAATCTTCAATATATCTTAATTACGATTGATGAATATGGACATTGTTTTCAAGTAAAAAATTACTAAACCTGCATTTATTAAAATTTTGAACTAATTTTTTTCTTTAAAAAACAGTCTCTGAAGTTTAAAAGGTAAATAATTAAAACTTACAAATTTTTGTGATCTCAAGTTTTATTTCAGTCATATTTCACAATTAAGTCTGTAAAAACTTTGGTACCTATTTGGAGACAGCTGTAGCTATTTAAAGTTATCTAGGCATAATTGAATAGTGGAAAAATCTTAAAAAGATTCTGTGATGACTTCGTTAACATTTTAGTGGTTTTTTGAAGAGGTATTGTTTTACTACCCTATAAAATGAATCAAAAGAAATAAAATTACTAATGTAATTTTCTTTTTAATTGTTCACATTTTGTAAAGTCTTATTTTTGGCACATTAAAAGTGAATGTTGACATTCATAACAATATTCGTAATAAAATAGAGAAATTATAGAAGTTAAATTAGACATTTTTCCAGTTTTCTGTAGTTTATCATTTAATTTTTTTCTTGGACCTTTAAAATAAAAAACAATATAGAATAGCTGAAAAAATAGCTATTCTTTCTCAGCTGTGTTTTAGACTTGCGAAATATTTTGATAGATTTTATTACTTAAAGTCATTTAGATGCCTTTACTTGAAAATAAGAACTCTCACTTCATTTTTAGTTACATTTTAAACACTAGAACTTTAGAGCTACAAGTAAGCCATGCTGAAGATTGTGGGATGCTTTTCAGGGCAATTCAAGTGACCTCATTTTTGTTCTTTTTGGATTCAAGACAGTATTTCTGTCATTGGATCTCTGATTTGTAGCATTTATAAATATTCTTTCAGTGTGAGCCAAATTCATAAAATTAATCTATATTTTAGCGGTAAAAAGCAGTAAAAGGCTTTTCTTTATTTTTATTAATATTCAGAGGTTGACAGAATGGCAAAATTGATAGCAATAGGAAATTTACAGAATTAGAAAATATGGGAAACATAAGTTGCAAAATTCTATCAAGTGTTTGAAACCAGAAGTTTAGGAATTATGAAATTTTTCTTTTATGCTATCCATTAATGAAGAGGGAAAAAAACATTCTCTTTTCTTAATCCTTATTAACATTAATAAAATCAATTCAACTTAAAATTTTATGGTCTTTTTAGTTTAATTTTAAAATGACAGCAGCTATTTAATATTTAAGTCTTTGACTGTATATTACCATATATTGTTCTTTATCCACAAATTAATAGCTGATATTCATACTGATTTGTTTCCTTATATGTTTAGATTTTTCAATACATCTATAAATTGAGAAAGTGTACTATTTGCTTTCTTGAAAAACTCCACTAAGTTGCAGAATACCTATTGGATATTGGTTGCTCTATTTTGCTGTTTGTCATTAAAAATTATATATCCATATTCTGGAAAATATTTGTATTTTAATAGATAAGAAAATAGTTTGCAGTCAGGTGTTTCCATTCTTGAAAGAAAATAGATAATACAAACATAACAATGTTAAGAATATTAAAAAAAGTAAAAAGTATGAATGTTGTCGTTTCCATATAGACAAGTAAGCACAGATTATGGGCATCTTTCTAACTCTTGGGAATCTAAGTTGAGAGTACCATTACTTTCTTTTTCTTTGTCTCTTTTTAGAGAACTTCCAATTGTATAGTGTGTAGCATGTGGGGATGCATCAAATCTTTGATTTTTAAGATATTCTAAATATGGGAAATTTCTGACTAGGGAAACATGTAGTTTAAGTAAGTGAAAAGAAAAGTTCAGGAAAAATTTTCTCTTATAATCCTTCATTTGGCACTTGATTTATTAATTGAAAATTTTATTTAAATAATTTTAATTAAAAGTATGTGATTTATAATATATAGAAAATAGACACAAGAAAAATAGAAAATGACTATAGATACTTTATCTTGTTTTACTACTCTGTCTAGTATGTGTACATGTATGTTCTAACGTATCATAATTTTTCATTTTCATTTAAGAGTCTAATTTCCCTAATTTTGTTCAGTTTTAAAATATAACAACTTTAACTTCATATTTTGTAAAGGGCTAAAATTGTGATTTAAAACTACTTGATATTATATTTTAATTGATAATATATTTTAATTCTCAATGAAAGATAATGTAAATAATAAGCATGGTTCTGATTTGAATAAAGATTTTAAAGTAGTAGTAATGCATTTCATTTTTAACATGATTTAGAGTGGTCAGTACCAATGAGTGAAGACAGTTCTATTTTATGAAGATAGATGACTGTATAACTTTGAAATTCTTATTTTAAGAAAATGAGGTTAAGTCCAGATTTTTTATGAGTTATTTTACTCAGAGTTTTATAAGAATTAAGCATAGTTTTCCTATTGAAGATATGTTTTTGGAAAATATAATTGTAAGAATTTACCTTCTTGTATAATTACTGTAAGGATGACTTGTTTCTTTTTAAGGTCTTAAACTGTATCAAGATATTCTTCTAAAAGTCTTAAAATATTTCTGTATTCAAATAACAGATATAATCACTATCAGTTCAGTCGCTCAGTTGTGTCCGACTCTTTGCGACTCCATGAATGCCAGGCCTTCCTGTCCACCACCAAGTCCCGCAGTTTACCCAAAGTCATGTCCATTGAGTCAGTGATGCTATCCAACCATCTCATCCTCTGTCGTCCCCTTCTCCTCCTGCCCTCAATCTTTCCCAGCATCAGGGTCTTTTCAAATGAGTCAGCTCGTCACATTAGGTGGCCTAAGTATTGGAGTTAGCTTCAGCATCAATCCTTCCAATGAATATTCAGGACTGATCTTTAGGATGGACTGGTTGGATCTCCTTGCAGCCCAAGGGTCTCTCAAGAGTCTTCTCCATCACCACAGTTCAAAAGCATCAATTCTTTGGTGCTCAGCTTTCTTTATAGTCCAACTCTCACATCCACACATGACTACTGGAAAAACCATAGCCTTGACTAGATGGACCTTTGTTGGCAAAGTAATGTCTCTGCTTTTTAATATGCTGTCTAATTTGGTCATAACTTTCCTTCCAAGGAGTAAGCGTCTTTTAATTTCATGGCTGCAGTCACCATCTGCAGTGATTTTGGAACCCAGAAAAATAAAGTCAGCCACTATTTCCACTGTTTCCCCATCTATTTCCCATGAAGTGATGGGACTGGATGCCATGATTTTAGTTTTCTGAATGTTGAGCTTTAAGCCAACTTTTTCACTCTCCTCTTTCACTTTCATCAAGAGGTTCTTAGTTCTTCACTTTCTGCCATAAGGGTGGTGTCATCTGCATATCTGAGGTTTTTGATATTTCTCCCAGCAATCTTTCCCCCCCCACCCCAGCAATCTTGATTCTAGCTTGTGCTTCCTCCAGCCCAGCGTTTCTCATGACGTACTCTGCATATAAATAAGCAGGGTGACAATATACAGCCTTGACGTACTCTTTTTTTCTATTTGGAACCAGTCTGTCGTTCCATGTCCAGTTCTAGCTGTTGCTTCCTGACCTGCATACAGGTTTCTCAAGAGGCAGGTCAGGTAGTCTGGTATTCCCATCTCTTTCAGAATTTTCCACAGTTTGTTGTGATCCACACAGTCAAAGGCTTTGGCATAGTCAATAAAGCAGAAATAGATGTTTTTTCTGGAACTCTCTTGCTTTTTTGATGATCCAGCGGATGTTGACAATTTGATCTCTGGTTTCTCTGCCTTTTCTAAAACCAGCTTGAACATCTGGAAGTTCATGGTTCACGTTATTGTTGAAGCCTGGCTTGGAGAATTTTGAGCATTACTTTACTAGCCATGTGAGATGAGTGCAATTGTGCAATAGCTTGAGCATTCTTTGGCATTGCCTTTCTTTGGGATTGGAATGAAAACTGACCTTTTCCATTCCTGTGGCTACTGCTGAGTTTTCCACATTTGCTGGCATATTGACTGCAGCACTTTCACAGCATCATCTTTTAGGATTTGAAATAGCTCAACTGGAATTCCATCCCCTCCACTAGCTTTGTTCGTAGTGATGCTTCCTAAGACCCACTTGACTTCACATTCCAGGATGTCTGGCTCTAGGTGAGTGATCACACCATCATGGTTATCTGGGTCATGAAGATCTTTTTTGTACAGTTCTTCTGTGTAAGTATGCTCTATTCACAAGTTATTGTGACTTTATATTGTTGGTAATATTGAACTCTGCAATTTTGATCCTTTAAAGTACTTTTAAGCTATAGCCATTCCCTTCTCCATGGGATCTTCCTGACCCAGGGATCAAACCTGGGTCTCCCGCACTGCAGATAGATTCTTTACTGTCTGAGCCACCAGGGGAGCCCTATTGCCTTTACTTATACTCGGTTAACCTTTAGCAAATCAAGATCCTTTAACAAGACAGAACGGAAATTAAATGCATATTAATACTTTAAAAAATACATTTTCTCAAATAAAACCTTACAATGCTGCAGTAATCCACAATTGTGATATAGAGAATTTACTCATAGTGCTGTCCTGAATTTATTCCCCACACTGACCTACTCCCAAGTAAGGTAAATTTCATGTCAGTCCTCAAATTAAGCAAGGGCTAATGGGAGGTTTTTCTGTTAAACTCTCTTCTTTTACAGGTAGTGATTCTCAGAGTATGGTAGGTAGAGGTGTTCCATGCCTATATGTCTTTTTTAAAATGACAGTCTTAATTTTTACCAATACATATTATTAAACAAAAATCTTTGGTCATGGGTGATAATAGGGAACACAGTGCTTGCTTTGCTTTTGTTTAAGGAATTCACTTATATGGGATCATAATCACTTATCCACTGTCACGAAATCTAGAAAGCTCTGAAAACCAAGTGCTTTTTAAAAATACGCTTGTTGCCAAATCTGTTTTGGTGGTAAAGCTTGACTTTCACTGACATGAGGCTTTTACAGGCTTTATCTCACTTAGTGTGAGCATTCATGCATTTTGCATATTATGGTGTTACAGTGTTTGGATGGTGTGCATACCCTATTAAAAAAAAATTCAGGAACCTATATGGTACCAAAGATTTTGGAAAAAGATTGTATACCTGCACTATATCTTCAGAAACTTTTAAAGTTGATACCATTATCATCTTTATTTTTAAAATGAAAAAAGGTTAAGCAATTGGTCAAGGTCATATGGCAAATAATTTACACCGTTGGGCTGCAGAGTCCAAGCTCTGAACCATTAACTATTAAATGCTGCTTCTCTTCCTGCTCTTCTGTAAAACTTTAAGTATATAGATGAACTGTAGCATAAGATCAAATTTAGTCAAAATTTGCATGCTTAAAATTTCAGTACCTTTGATTTATGGTTTAAGTAATTGGATATATCAGACAACCAATAAGCTGTGTTCTGCAGATAGTTCATGCTAACACTTTCTGTGAGCTATCCAAAATACCAATATATGAGTGGCAAACTTAAAACACATTTAGCAAACTTGTAATGTGATGTAAAAATTATGATTATAGAAAATTTCAAAGTAACATAAAAGAAATAGCAGATAAATGAGTCCCATAAACTTATTAACATTTGCTCTTTAATAGCATTCAATTTATGGCCCATTCTTTTATATTTCGCTTGTGCTTCCTCTCAATTCATATTGGCTATTTTGAAGCAAATTTCAGAAGTATAACTTACTTAAATCTGAAATGTTTCTATAAAAAGTAACTTTACTTCATCAACTATTTGGATACTTTCATCATAATTCATATAGGAAAGACAGGATAAATATGCTTCATTCTTTTCCGTTACCAGTTTTCACAATTAAAATTGGTTCCTTTCTGTCATCAAAGATGGGAAATGAGGTTTTTGGCTTGTGTATTTAATCGATTAGTTGGATTTTTTAAGAAAATTATTTATTTTTTTATGGCTGCACTGGGTCTTCACTGATGTGCAGGCTTTCTCTAGTTGCATTGAGCCAGGACTATTTGTTGCTGCTTGTGGGATCTGGGCTTCAGTTGCTCCTAGGCATGTGGGATCTTCCTGAGCCAGGGATTGAACCCATGCACCCTGCATTGGCGGGCAGATTCTTAACCTCTGGACCACCAGGGAAATCTCTAGTTGGATCTTTTTTAATTTAATATTTAAGTACATTTGTGCTTCAATCCATTCTAGTTACCCTACGGATGCTTTTAAATTATTCCAGTTTTGGCAGGAGGGAGTCTTCTCAAATTGGTTCCTGAGTCCTTATGATATGACCCTCATAGCATTTGATTGCTTCCTTGCATCTTCCTGTAAGATCTTTCAGATTCTTCTACTACATTTCCTGCCCCATATCTAAGATTATTTTTCTTTGGGTATCCCAATTTATCCATTTTTCTTTGGATCCCATGTTCCTTAAATGGGAAAGTGTTTGCCAAGATCACAGTCTGGGCACAAGGAGAGTTTCTTGCTAGAATATCAGGTTGGTTGTTTCTAGGCCTTTTCAACAGATGATGGAGAGATTTGTTTTTAAGGATAAAATATATTGTTAGTTCATACTTAAACTCCATTTCAAATTTGGAACTACAACTTCCATCAGGCTTACAGCTATACTGCATGTCAAAAATTTTAGCTTTAAAGATACCATCTTAATTACTTGTATATGGTTTATCCCAACCAACCAACCACCACTGCCACCAATAATTTGGTTTCTGAAAGCAGTTCGTGATTTATTGTAATTCTTTTATCCCTGAAGGTACATTCCACCAAAACGTACAGATTCTGTTTCAAAGTCACTTGGTTTAGTTCCCCTGTTGTGGTATATGCCACAACTGTATGGCAGTTGGGTTTGTTTTACTTTACTGTCAGTTTTCAAGGATTACTTCTTAAAATTTAGTTTTGTTTTATAATGTAAAATGTTCACTGATTCTAATGTCACATCTATACAATGTATATTCGGAGAACTTACCTTCTTTGTTCCCTATACCTATATTCCTTCCTTGTTTCTATAGGTAAACATTTTAATGTTGTTATTATATTTGTAAATAACAATTTATATATATAGATACATATATGTTGCCTTTCCTCAGTGAGTGATAGCATATTGCACATTGTTCTTCTACTGTGCTGTTTCCACTCAATATATCCTGCAGTGTATAGTGATATTTTTCAGTCCTTTTTTACACCTGCCTAGCTCTGCATTGTATGGGTGTATTATAGTGTATTCATCAGTCTACTATTAATAGAATTTGAGTTTATCATTTAAAACTAAACTTAAAAAAAACCTAAACTTTAACATTGATATTTTGGGAGGGAAATTTCTATGTTAAGAATTGCTGTCACAGTATGATAGAACTCAACCTCTTGTTCTTAAAGCTCCCCTACATTTTGTCTTCTCTGAGTCTGAATGACCGCAACTTAATTTTTAGCCATTTAAAATAGCACTATGTGCACCTGGCAACAGTTGGATTGGCCTGTCTGTTCTTGTAATAAGACTATTTTTAGAAGCCTTTCTCATATATTGTTCTCATGTGTTCTTGTGTGTCTATATATCTCTGTCTCTATATCTTTATTACATATCACTTAGAGGTAGACTAGCTTGTGTGTTCCTTTTGAATCAACTAACAGAAAAGATGTATTTCCTGTACATGACAAAATAGGTGGCAAGTAACCTGAGAAATTACTTTTTATGGCTACTATCCTTATTAGTAAGGGGTGGGCAAAGTATGAAATAATAGAGCAGTAGTTCCTTTAGAGGCAAAGTCTTACATGAAGAGTAAATGAGTTAGTACTGTAAATTGCTTTAGAATAATACCATGTTTCTGCATTGCGATTATTTGAAAAAAAGAAATCAAGATAATGTGGCTCATTTAGCAGGTTATGAATGGAACTTGTAACAGTTCTCCAAACAGTACCTAAAAAGATTATTTGAAAAGTATGTAAAGAGTTAGAAACAAACCGTTGTGTTTTTTGATGATCATTGTAGTTAAAACCGGTGACTTTGAGCATAAATGTACTGTGATGACATAAGCTTTGATCAGTTCAAGTTGAAGCAGTAATTAATGCTCAACTTTACTGTGCTCCACACTACACAGTATAGTATATGGCCGAGAGTGCCAAGAGTAAAAGTGTGGGAGATGGGCGTTCAAGTAAGTATGGTAAAATAAACCACTGCAATTTAAATAACTATAATAAAAGGATAAAAGTCAAACTCCACAAAGTGACATTTGAGCTGCTGAGTTTTCTGATAGTCACTAAGAAAGACAAGAGTACTACTATATAATGTACAAGGCGTCGAAGAATTCTCACCACCAGAAAGTGCGGCCAACTACGAGCAGGCTTGGAGAATGAATGTGAGGGCGGCAACTTGTACCGTAAATACGGATACAGTAACCCTCCGCCTCAGTGCAACGAGAAGGAAGAAGGGAAGGAGTCCGGTTTTCTATGCAACTTGTCGCAGTGTCTCGTCCGCGACTTTTCGCTGCCTCCCAAGGAGGACAGTCCGGTTTATTAAAGTCCTGCTCCTCCGCTGGTGCTATGGCCGGGGTCGCAGCCGAGGTTCTCGTTCTGGCGGGAAACGCAGGGAGCCGCTGACCATGCCCCTTGACTCCGCGTGAGGTCTTGCGCACGTGGTCCCGGCTCCGACCCCGAGGACCCCATGCAGGGCGGGGACCGGCTCCCCGCGCAGGCCGGCCTAGGTGTCCCGGCAGCTCCCGGGCGCCCCCTGGCCCGGCTCCGGAGGTTTCCGGTGAGCTGCAGTCGCCGGTTATGACGACTCCCTCAGCCCGAGCCGCCGCCGCCGCCGCCTCCGCAGCCCCGGCTTCCCAGGCTCCAGGTGGGACTCGCCCCGCGCTCCGCGAAATCTTCACCCGCCCCCCGCCCTCTGCCTCGCCCCGGCGCGCGGTGGGCGCTTCTGCCTGCTCCCGGCGCGGCTTCCCGGCGGGCTGGCGCTTCTCCACGGGTCCCCCCGCGCCTTCCATCGCCCAAGGGCCGAGAAGGCGGACGTGGGGAAGCCTCGCTGATCCTCCCGTTACCGAGGGCTCGGCCCCCTTCACGGCGCCTGCCGCGGCGCGCGGGGCCCCGGGCCCGCTGGGCGCGAGGAAACATCGGGTTTCCCGGGCCGGGACGGAGCCTCCTTCCAGGCCCCTCCCAGGCGTGTTGAGGTCTGGGGTGGGAGGGTGCAGTGTGCGGTGCTGGGGGGCGGGCGGTCCCCGGGAATCTCTGCGCCCCGAACCCAGCGCGTCATCATGGCTGCGGAAGGGCGCTCGCCACCGGCCCCGCCGCCTTGGCTCCGCAGCCGTTGTAGCGGACCGCTGATGGACCTCACCTGGCCACCTCAGGCCCTTTCTGACCTCCTGCCTCGTAAAACTAGCGCCAGTTGGGGCGAGCCGTTTTAGGAGTCCTTGTGGGTCTCACATGCGTTCAGCTTTTCACCTGTCCTCTGGCTTCTGTAAACTTTCCAAGCTCTGTCACAGTGTTGTCCCGTCCACCCACGGTGTTGCTTGTCACGGTCGGAGTTCCACCTCTCATTCTCTTTCAAGCTTTCTCCCTTTCCCTTCCCCGTTCATAGGCCAGTGGAAGTCCAGCCGTGGTATCCCCATAGAGAGGTGGGGGGAACCCGCAGCTTTGCGCAGAAGGAGAAAGTAGCTCAGCTGCTAAAGCGTTGGTCTCCCGAGGTGCGCCCGCCTTTCCCCCAGGGGCGCAACCCCGGAAAGGCTCTCTGTCAGGCCCTGGGGTTGTGCTTTCAAGCGCAGCAGCCACTCCTGTTAGTTTATGCAAGTGGGGACCTGCCTTCTGCAAAAGCCAGGTTTCTGATCTGAACCTTGAGATTTTTCCCTTGGCGGAATAATCGTTTACGGATCCGTGCGTTTGGTTACGCTTAGAGCTCAGTAGAGGGCAGTGGGCTTGGCTAACCAAAGGTCGACTTGGTCATAACAATGACCTGTTTCTGGGAGAGACTGACCATTCTGCCTGTTGAATCTGAAAGCAGGGAGCAGTTTCATTTGGTGAGTCGGATTACTGTGGTGAGAAGCAGTCGGATTGTTTGCTCTTAGGAATGTTTTATCTGCTGTTGGCCTGTACCAATTGGTGCCTGTATGAAGTGGGTCATCTCCTTGCTGCTCACTGTTGGACTCTCTTCTGTTAAGTTACTGTGTTGAGGATTGTACCTGCCACCTCACTTTTAGGAGCTTGTATTTGTTAAGGCAGAGAAAGGTTTTATAAGCCAGGCCTTCTGGTTATGGCTTATCTCACTGAAATGCCAGACCCTCTGCTTACAGGTTATCTCCTCTCTCAATATTTCTTTTAATTCAGAATATCACCGGGATGCAAAAGGCTTCTTTGACACCTTTTTAAGGTATGTGTTTCATTTCTGACAGATTTTAGATACCTGAAACATCACAGCAACTTCTGGGTGGTTCTGAGGATTAAAGAGGTAAATGTTTTCATTATAATTAGAGTCACTGTTATTATTAATGTCGATTTTAAATTTTGTGAAATTGTTATGAACTCATAGGTAAAAGTCTCAACTAAAAATATTAATTCAGGTGACCTTTATTACAAATAACAAGATACTCTTTAGGGATACCTAAAAGAATGATTACATTTACTGCAGAGGAGGAAAGGATTTCTTCTTGGCATTCCAACTGTTCAGTTATGATTGCTTGCTCTTGGAACTTGAGACGTGATTGAACATAGCAGTCTGTTTCTAAAGGCCCCGTCTCCATCAGCCATATCCATTGAAAGTTGATTTTGAACTTTGGATTTTTCCAGTATGCTTCAGTGACAGCAGACCCTACTGGGAAGTAACTAATATGCACTAGGGCTTTATCATCTGGTGGGAAGACTACTTTGAAAAACTAGAGCAAATAAATCACTAAAATGAACCCCAAATGGCATGTTTATTATCTGTGAAAAAAAAATCTGATTTAAGAGATTTAATCCTGGTATGAGTTAGAAATGCAGTAAGGTTCATGACCATTATCTCTATTCTCAATGCTAAAGCCAGATGAAGAGAATTTAAGGGTACAGCTCTGAGGCAGACTGTCTGGATTTCACTCCTAGAGTTTGCTTAGTCTTAGTTCTTAATATCATTGTTCTTATACCCAATGAAAGGTAAGCTTCACAAGGACTTAGGTGTTTAGTGTTCAGCTGCCTATTCCCTGCTGCCTCCTTGTACTTAGCAGAGTACCTGGCACACAGCATATTTTCACATACTTCAGTGATTGTTAGTTTTAATCCAGCAGGTACACACTTGCTCAGATTCATTGTACTTCCTTTCTTCTTTCTTCCTGGCATGTTTTCCTGGATCCGCATCATGTAGATCTCAGCTTAATGTTACTTAGCAACCCCTCCCCATCCCGTGTAGCTTTAAACTTTTATTTAAGAAACACTCACCATAGCATTTAACATGCCAGATGTATCTAGACATGTTGCCAGTATTTACCTCTCGAGAGTCCTATGAGAAAGGGTTATTCTGATTTCCATTTAACAGATGGAAAAGGCTATCCACAGCAAGTTTAAAGAACTTGCTGAAGGTCATTGTATTTAGAAAGCTGCAGCTGCATTCAAACCTAGGTGGCCTGTCTTCAAAGTCTGCATGCTTAACTAGCAAACTATGTTGTCTGTCATATTGCCTGACTTACAGTGTTTTCTTAGCAAACAGGGTCCTGTCAAAGTCCTCCTCCCATCTTTGTAAATAAAGTTTTATTAGAACACAGCCCCCCCCCCCCCATTCTTAGCATAACTATGGCTGCTTTCCTGAAGGGTGCAGACACTATCTGACCTACAAAGCCAAAAATATTTACTGCCTGGCTCTTTCCAGAAAAAAATGTGCTGGACCTTGGTTTATTTGATTCACAGCCCTTGTCATTATCTGAAGTTGTTTATTTGGTTGTTTACTTTATATCTACTGCACTAGCTTCCAAGTTCCATGAAAGCAGGAGTCTTTCCTGTTTTAGTCACCACCATATACCTAGCTCCTGACACAGTGCCTTGCCTACATCATGTTGAGTAAAGGAACATAATTCAGTAAAGTGGTGAAGTTAGTTATAATTGTACTTAACCCTTAATCCCTTTGACTTTGAAGGCTCTGTCTTAATGAGGATGTTATCAGTTTGACCTTTAGGTTTGGAGGTTGCTATGTTCATGCTGCTTGTCTTTGGAGCACTGCTTCCTGAGGTCCCCCTGAGTGGCCAAGACAAGTCTCCTCCCCAGGCTGATGGCATTCCAGCCACCCCTCTGTTCAACTATGCCAGCCTCCGCCTGCCGGAAGAGCACATTCCCTTCTTTTTGCACAATAACAGGCATATTGCCACAGTCTGCAGGAAAGACTCACATTGTCCTTATAAGGTAAATCTTATTTCTCCTCTTCTTGAGTATTTTTAAAAGGTTGCAATTGAGGCTGGTTTACTAGTTCCCCCATCATAACTTGAATTTGCAGGTAGACTCCTGGTTGTAACTGTGGGTCAGTTGATGTTTGTATTTCATCTCATGCTTCCTAGTGACTCAACTTTGCTTAGAAGTATGTCCTGCTCACAAGAGTGAGATTACAAATCTAAATCACTCGTAAAAGAATTAGGCAGTCTGTATGGTTTGTCTAGTCTGTAAATGAAATGAATTAGATTTGATGCAGAAAAGAACATGTAGTTGAAAGTAACTGGAGAATTTCACACCTCTCCTTTCTTAAATTGCACTTAAGAGGATCTCTCAGCACTTCATTTTGGTAATAACACCTACACCTTTGTCTCTCCATAATTAAGACTGTTACTGTGGCCTTCCTTCTGTTTCAGAGTTGTTGGAAAGGTTTCAAATTGGAGCCCATTCAGACATCTCACGAGGCCTGAGATCAAAGCGGGGCATTGTGAGCCATTTCCTTTCCCATGTGCTGGCACAGGAAGCATGTGGACAGGCGGGCTGGGGAGCCAGCTGGCCCTGCCCCCAGGGGCCTCACCGAACAACCTCCTGAGCTTCCTGGGTCACAGCAGCTGTGTGTCCCCCAAGGGCTGCAGACTGTGACGTATTCCAGGGTCTCTGCTGGTCTTGATCAATCAGTAAAGCTGCTGATCCATTCAGTTTAGTCCTGATCTTTTGGTGATAGAAATTCCACTTTTTATGACTCTCTTGGGACTGATTTTAGAATCAGTTTACTCACTTGACTTCATTAAGCTACGTCAAAACGTTTCCATTTAGCCAAGGAGGTCGGGGGGAGGGATGGAGTGGGAGCTTGGGGTTAGCAGATGTAAACTTTTCTATACAGAATGGATACATAACGAAGTCCTACTGTATAGCATCCTATGTATATAGCATGCTATCCTACTGTATAGTATCGTATGATAAACCATAATGCAAAAGAAGATTTAAGAAAAGAATGTGTGTATGTGTGTGTGTGTGTGTGTATATATATATAAAAAACTGAATCAATTTGCTACAGAACAGTAATTAACACATTGTAAATTTCAACTATACTTCAATTAAAAATGTTAATTAAAAAAAAAATCCCAACTCAAATGATCTGTGGTAGTCTAACTAAAACCCAGACTTTTGTTTGGAAAATAGACCGGGTGGGGGAGGGATTGGTAACTAAAGATAATTGCTGTTAAGAATCTCAAGACTGCTTTTCTTAGAATTTACTTATTTCTCTTTCATGAGTATGTATTATAAAATGTAAAAGTGAAAGTTCTAGGAAGATTGGGTTTTTTCATGGAAAAAAAAATCAGTGAGTCCTCTCTGAATGTCAGAAGGTAGACCTTCTCAGTCTTGTCAGTCTCAACACACACCTCTTATGTTCTAGAAACACTTAGACAATTTGAAGTACTGCTGGGGTTATGAGAAATCCTGCAGACCAGAGTTCAGATTTGGTTACCCTGTTTGCACCTATGTGGATATGGGATGGTAAGTTTCTGGATGGAATCCCTCCTGCCCTGTGCTCGTCTCCTTTCTCTGCAGTTTATGCTGACATCAATTCCAAGCTAGACTCTTTTGGTATTAGATAATAATTCCTTTAGATATTAATTTGCTTACTTCATGAGTAACTTCACTTGTCTTGACTGTCTCCCACTGGGACAGGAGTATCTCTCGTTTCCTCTGCCAGAGGGATAAAACAGTATGGTTCACAGAAAATACTTTGCCTCACCATATGCTAACAAAAGAGATGGATGGCTGACTTTGGTTTTGGAGAAGAGAGTTAAGTATAATCAGTATTTCCAATACAGGCAAGGTTAATGGGGCAAAGAAAATGCAGTAATTAACAGTTCATTGTCTTCAGTTCCAAATGATCCTGACCACATCCATTTCCATTGTGTATGTTTACTATCAGGGAGTAAGTCTATAAATAACTTATTTTGGTAACCTCATGTAGTGAGGGGTAGATTTTTAAAATTATGATAGTTTACTTAAGAAAATAATGACTGACTTCTAGCAATGTAACATTTAGAAAATTTAAGGTCCAGAAAAAGTAAAAAGTTGAATATCACAGAATTGTTTTGTTTGCAAACAGGACAGACACTCTTGAATCAGCCCAGGAAATATTCTGGAAGCAAGCCGACTTCGGATATGCGGGAGAGCGTCTGGAGGAGCTTCATGTGCTCTGCCAGCCGAAGGAAAAGGTGGATGTTCAGCCCCTTCATAAGTGAAGATGTTTATTTAAAAAATACCTGTGGTATCTATTTATTCATTTATTTATTGAGGTGTTATTGATGTATAATATTGTATAAGTTACAGATATACAATACAGTGATTCAGATTCACATTTTTAAAGGTGATCTCCATTGATGGTTATTGCAAAATATTGGTTATATTCTTTGTGTTGTACAATGTATCCTTTTAGCTTGTTTTATACGTAATACTTTGTACCTCTTAATTCCCTGCACTCATAGTGGTTAGATTATAATATAAATACAAGATAGAGGGCACTATGAGAGGAAACCCTCACTCTCATGTATTTATTGGCTTAAAGTTTTATTTAACTTCCAAAACCAAGTTAGAAGCCATGTCCTTGTATTCACACACATATCAGATGGTCATATTTTGAGGTAGGTCAGATATTTCTAGTTTTAGAATTAATTATTCCCCCAACATACACTAAAGAAGGTAAGTTGATGAATTACATCTTTATAAATTTCCTTGCTGGTAGTTTGGGACAGGTGATACACTCCCACCCTGCTGTTCTGTATTTTTTGGCACTTTACATGTTGCAAAAAGCTTTTCAATATGTTATCTGATTTGATTCTCACAAACAGTGTAACAAATAGGCAGGGCAGGTATTATCGGTGCTGTTGAACTAGAGAGGAAAAGTGAGTCCTCAGAAATGTGAAGTGACCTGTCGAAGACCACACAGCTACTAAGTGTGGTCTTCTACAATTCTGTTGTTGTTGTTGTTCAGTCGTTAAGTTGCATACAGCTCTTTGTGACCCCAAGGACTGCAGCACAGCAGGCTTCCCTGTCTTTGACTATCTCCTAGAGTTCATGTCATCAGTTCATGTCCATTGAGTCAGTGATGCTGTCTAACCATTTTCTGCCGCTCCCTCTCCTTTTGCCTTCAATCTTTCTAGAATTAGAATGCAGATCTTTTTCTTGGGCTTTCACTCATACCCCATTGCACTCAGTGATAAAACAAACACATTGTCAGGAGGCAGTTTGGGGTAATAAGGAGGAGAATGGACTACTGGGTTCAAATCTTGATCTGTGGAAGCAGCACACCACCTTTTCCGTGTTCAGTTTCTTCTGCTTTAAAGCCATGCCTGTTTGACAGCTTGTGTTAAAGCTGCAATGAGATTCTGCATTGAAGAATGCTCCATGCAGGGCCAGGCTCACAGCAAAGGGCTCAGTGATAGTTTTTTAAAGCCCCAGAGAATCATAAGCACGTAGGATTAAGATCCACCCAAAGTTCATGAACTGGGCCCAAGCCTCTGACATCTCAGGAGTCTCTGTTATCTCCAGCCAGCCTAAGAAACCAAAGAATATTTAAATCACTTGCATTCCAAAAGTGAGTACATGCTCCGTAGTGCTTTGGAACGGTGTCACATGATAGAACTTTAAGTGATTCTAGCAAGGTGCCTGAACCATGAGATTCAGGCAAGGCGTGAACCTGCACTGCTGCGAGGTGTCTTTAACAGACAGTACTTTATACTTTTGTTGGAGTCTAGCTGTTCATGTGGAAGAGGGCAGGAAAGAGCCTCAACCCCATGTTGCACACGTCTTCCAAGGTGATTTGCAAAATGCTTTCCTCACCAAGATCTGCTTTGATAGGTTTTTTGCTATCAGGGTGTGACCCCTTTCCAACTCCAGATTCTAAAACACCATGCGGGTCCAGGTTAATGGCGATTAAGGGTCAGTTGGGAGTTACGGGGAAAGCAGCAAAATGGCGTTTAAATCTCAGTACAACCCAGGGCAGATAAAAGTTTTTGAAGCTATCCCTCTTTCAATAGAGTTGGCAGAAGTAGAAACAGATCCCATGGTTGACTTTTAAACTCCTTTGCCTGCATGCATACTCAGTCACTTCATTTCTGTCTGACTCTTTGAGACCCCATGGACTGTAGCCCGCCAGGCTTCTCTGTCCATGGGATTTTCCTGGGAAGAATACTGGAGTGGGTTGCCATGCCCTCCTCCAAAGGATCTTCCCAACCCAGGGATCAAACTCACATCTCCTGCATCTCCTACATTGCAGGCAGATTCTTTGCTGCTAAACTACTGGGGCAAGGCTTGCTGAAAGTAACTCATATTTGACCAGCTACCCTTCCTGCCTTGCACTTTAAGGTCTGTGGCATGTGCCTTCTTCCTTGTTTCCTTTGGCTCATCTTTGAAAATGCCTTTTCACACAGCTGTGAGGGTAGTGAGGGTTCTGAGTGCCCTTTTTTTTTTCCCTCATGAAGATAAACTGAACCATAAATACAACTCTGGGCTCTTTAAAGTTTGAAGATTATAGAAATAGAACATTTGGGAGTTCTTTCTAGTAACCTAAAAGGGTGCAAGTTGGCAAAAGTATGCTTGGGCAATGCCTCCCAGGGAGGAAAATTCTTAAACAGAAGCGTCATTGGGAAGTATTCACCACAGTGTGTGGTTGGAACCTGAAAGCTACATGCTGTTAGCTTGATGTCTAGCAAGTCTGGGTGTGTCCTTGAAGTGTTAATGCTCACAGTTATCTTTTTCTTGTTTCTCTACCTTATTTCAGAATGACTCAAGTCTGGTGTGTTCCCGTTACCTTCAGTACTGTAGAGCCACCAATATCTACCTTGATTTAAGAAACATCAAGAGAAACCATGACAGGTACTTCAGTGGTGGACATTAAAATCTAAGGAAAATCTTGAAATATTTGCAGGTCCAGGAATATGCCTTGGATTTGCTTCCTAGTAATATGGTGATGAGCTTTGAGAATGGGAGAGGGAGATGAATGACCCACACCTGTCATAATGAGTTGATCATTATGAAGCTATGTGATGGCTACATTAGACACGATTTTGCTACTTTTTGTATAAATTTAAAATGTTCTATTACAAGAGTTAACTTCTAATGAAAAACTGATTTTGGAAATTGGTAGACCACTTTAGTTATAACCTGTGTGCCTGAGTCATGAAAAAAATTCCAAACTCAATTTTTTGTTATCCACTAGATTCAAGGAAGATTTTGTCCAAAGTGGGGACATTGGAGGACACTGTAAACTTGACATTCGTTTGTTGATGTCTCAAGGTCAGCGCAAAAGCCCTCTGCAGTCTTGGTAAGATTTTTTTGGGTGGGCAGGGGTGGGGAACATGTTTCTGAAGTATTTGTCTTTATTTTTGATGCTTACGAATTTTCGTAGGGACTCTAAATGGAAAATGTTACTCCATTTGTGGATAATTTGGCCTGAGCTTCTGGGGAGTGGTGGCTTCAGAGTGAATCATCAGTTGTATTGATGTGTATAACACATACTTAAGTATGTGTTCATAAAATATTAGGAAGAGATACAATATGTACTGTTTGCTAACAGAAATGTTCAAAAATGAATTTTTTTAGCTCCTCATAATTGCTGCATGTGTTTTGGGGAGTACATTTTTAAAAAATACACACTTATTAAAGCAGATACCAAGCATATAGAGAAATGTAAAGTTTAGATTTTGAAAAAGTAAGCCCACTTGAGTAACTCTTACCTGGGTCAGAATTAGACCATCATCTACCCAGGCTCTCTTCCAAATGCAAACCCCATCCTCCTTTCCAAAGATAAACACTACCCTGATTTTAAGCACCTTTCATAAGCTTTTTGAACTTTAGATAGACTGAAGAACACATTTTGATTTAAAATTTTTTGAATATTAAACTAGGTCTATCAAGACATTTACTATCTCTGGAAATTAGAGAGTTGGGGCACTTTAAAAGCTTTTTATTTTAAGATAACTTTAGAGTCATAGACATTTAAGAATAATTCAAAAGTAGCATGAGAAGTTTAAAAATAGTACAAGGAATTTCCATTGTACCCTTACCCCAGCTTCCTCTAATGATAACATCTTAAATAAGCATAGCACAGTAACCCAAAGCAGGAAATTGATTTTGGTACAATGTTATTTTTTTATTTTTCTAAATTTTAAAATTTATTTTAATTGGAGGATAATTACTTTACAATATTGTAGTGACTTGCCATACATGGACATGAATCAGCCATGGGTGTACATGTGTTCCCCATCCTGAACCCCCCTCCCACCTCCCTCCCCACCCCATCCCTCAGGGTCTTCCCAGTGCACCAGCCCCGAGCGCCCTGTCTCATGCATCCAACCTGGACTGGCGATCTGTTTCACATATGGTAATAGACATGTTTCAATGCTATTCTCTCAAATCATCCCACCCTCGCCTTTTCCCACAGAGTCCAAAAGTCTGTTCTTTATCTCTGTGTCTCTTTTGCTGTCTCACATATAGGGTCATGGTTACCATCTTTCTAAATTCCATATATATACGTTAATATACTATATTGGTGTTTTTCTTTCTGACTTACTTCGCTCTGTATAATAGGCTCCAGTTTCATCCTCCCCATTAGAACTGATTCCAGTGCATTCTTTTTAATAGCTGAGTAATATTCCATTGTGTATATGTGGTACAATGTTATTAAATAAGCACATTTGAATATTATCAGTACTTCCATGCATTCTTTATTTTTTTGGATGTAGAGCTCAGGAAAATTTATATCATGTGTTTAGGTAAATGTAACCACTATTGTAGTCACTAAAGAAACTGTTCCGTCATCCTAGAGCCTGTCATGCTTCCCTTTATAGTCATACAGGACACTCATAATGTTCATTTTCTTTCTTTTTGGTGGGATATAGTTGATATACAATATTATATAAGTTTCTGGTATATAACATAGGGATTCACAGTTTTTAAAGGTTAGTTATACTATGTGCATACTTAGTTATACATACTTAGTTATTATAAAATATTGGCTATATTCCCTGGGTTGTACAAGAATATTTCCTTATAACTGTTTTATATCTGTTTGTACCTCTTAATCCCCTACTTCTGTCTTGCCCCTCCCCATTTCCCTCTCCCAGTTGTAACCATTGTTTTCTGTATCTGTGAGTCTCTTTTTTGTTATATTCACTACTTTGTTTTATTTTTTAGATCCCACATATAAGTGATACCATACATTATTTGTCTTTCTCTGAGTTATTTCACTAATCATAGCACCCTCCAAGTCCATCCATGTTAAATTTTTTCTATGACTGAGTAGTATTCGATTATTTGTTGTTGCTGCTGTTCAGTTGCTAAGTTGTGTCTGACTCTTTGCAAGCCCGTGGGCTGTGGCATGCCCAGCTCCCCTGTTCTCCATTATCTCCCAGAGTTTGCTCAGATTCATGTCCATTGAGTCAGTGATGCTATCTAAGCATCTCATCCTCTGCCACTCCCTTCTCCTTTTGCCTCTTGTCTTTCCCAGAATCAGGGTCTTTTCTAGTGAGTCGGCTCTCCGCCTCAGGTGGCCAGAATATTGGGAGTTTCAGCTTCAGCAGCAATCCTTCCAATGAGTAGTAAGTGTTGATTTCCTTTAGGATTGACTGGTTGGATCTCCTTGCTGTCCAAGGGAGTCTCAAGAGTCTTTTCCAGCACCACAATTTGAAAGCATCTATTCTTCAATGCTTCCCTGATAGCTCAGTTGGTAAACAATTTTCCTGCAATGCAGGAGACCCTGGTTCAATTCCTGGATTGGGAAGATCCTCTGGTGAAGGGATAGGCTACCCACTCCAGTATTCTTGGGCTTCCCTTGTGGCTCAGCTGGTAAAGAATCCATCTGCAATGCAGGAGACCTGGATTCAATCCCTGGGTTGGGAAGATCCCCTGCAGAAGGGAAAGGCTACACACTCCACTATTCTGGCCTGGAGAATTCCATGGACTGTATAGGCCATGGGGTCACAAAGAGTCGAGGTGACTGTGACTGAGCGACTTTCACTTTCACTTTCATTCTTCAGTGCTCAGCCTTCTTTATGGATCAGCTGTCACATGTAGTGTTCCATTATATATGTATATAATCTTCATTATCCTTTCATCTTTTGATGGACTTATAGGTTGCTTCCATATCCTGGCAATTGTGAATAACATTGCTGTGAGTATTGGGGTGCAGGTATCTTTTCAAATTAGTGTTTTCATTTTTTTCATATATATACCCCGGAGTGGAATTCATGGGTCATATGGTAGCTCTATTTTTATTTTTTTGAGAAAGCTCCATATTGTTTTAAACAGTGGCTGCACCAATTTACATTCCCACCAACAGTGAATGAGGTTTGCGTTTTCCCCACATCTTCACCAGTATTTGCTGTTTGTGTTCTTTTTGGTGATAACCATTCTGACAGATGCGATTTTGATTTGCATTTCCTGGATTAGTGATGTTGATCATGTTTTCATTAGTGATGTTGATCATCTTTTCATGTTGGCTGTTGGTGTATAGTTTTTAGAAGAAATTTCTCTTCAGGTCTTCTGCCCATTTTTTAATTGAGTTGTTTGGTTTTTTGAGGTTGAGTTGTATGAACTGTTGATATATTTTAGATATTAACCTCTTATTGGTCATATCATTTGTAAATATGTTCTTCCGTTCTTAGGTTGTGTTTCCATGTCATTGAGGGTTTCCTTTGCTGTGGAATAGCATTTAAGTTTACTTAGGTCCTATTTATTTTTCCTTTTATTTCCTTTGCTTTAAAGACAGATCCAAAAAAAAATATAGTTAAGATTTATCTCAAAGAGTGTTCTTTTTTTTTCTTCTGAGTGCGTTTTTGATGTCAAACGTTCATGCTAAGCAAATTGTTCAGGAAAACTGCCTTTCACAGGTTTATGTGGCATGTTAGAGTTTGCAGTGCAAGATCTTACTTCATGTAAGAGACTTTTGCAGTAGGCGTTCCTCTTTTCTAGTGGGCATTTCTATTCCTAGCACACTTTGATATCTGAGATCCAAAATCAAATATTTGACATTTGTTTTTAGTATCTTTTGATAGGGTATATTTATGTTAATTATTTATTGCTGTATCATAAATTACTCAAACATTTAGCAGCATAAAACAGTGAAGATTTTTTATCACACAAAGTTTCCAACAGCCAGGATTTGGGGGCAGCTTGGCTGTGTGGTTCAGGCCCAGCTGGGCCTGTAGAATCTGTTTCCTAAACTCACTCGTGTAACTGTTATCTTTAGGTTTTCTTCTCTGCTTGTTGGCTAGAGGTGTCATTTCTTTACCATATGGGCCTCTCCCTGAGGCTGCCGACAGCTGGCAGCTGACTTCCCCAAGATCATGTTGTCTGAGAGAGCATGTGTAAGCATGGCCCAAAATGGAGGCCTCAGTCTTTATATTTATACCCTGATGGTCACACTGTTAAGTGATCACCATCACTTCTGCCATATTCTGTTCATTACAAGTGAATCACTAACTCCAGCTCACCCTCCAGGGCAGGGAATTCATCTCCACCTCTGGAAGGGAGAAGTATCAAAGAATTTGTGGACATATTTTTGAAACCACTGGAATAAATATTTTGGCGTTATGTGTGTTTTAAAAGGATCTCTTTGATACTTGTCTTACATCACATACAGTCTCAAAGATAAAAAGTTTACAAATGATCTGTAGATTAACTTGTGATTGTCTTCTTTTGTATGGAAGAAAATTGTACCAAGTGGCTTCAGAAGTGGTTTTCTGAGAAATAGTTTTCTTTCTTCTGGGAAATGTAGTTGTCTGCAGTTTTTCCCAAAGTACTTGATAATTCTTGGAACACCGTCTTTCTCAGAATCCAAAAAGGTTCTCTGGGTCAGTGTTCCTACTGAGCCTTGCCAGACTGCAAGAAACCTTTCTGAATCTTTCCACTTTACTGGTAGATTTTTTTTGCCAACCCTGCAGAAATTTCTTCTTTGTCAGAAATGGTCCCAGTTGCTCTTGCACATTAGGCTGAAATTTAAAATCATTTTTGTTTCTTGTCTCAACATTAAAATTGATATCAAGCTGCGTAAGTATTAGTAAATTTGAGAAGTTTCGCATGTGTCTATGAGTATTTTCTGGAAATAAAACTCACCTAATGAACAGATCCTGAATTACAGTGTTGCAACAAGAGATCTAGGAGGAACCCTTTGAAAGCATCTCCTGATTCTTAATTCCAGGTTTGCGGAGCTACAGAGCTACACTGAACTCAACTTCAGACCTGTAGAAGATGCTCAGTGTGACATTGTTATTGAAAAACCAACCTACTTCATGAAACTAGATGCAGGTGAGAAGTTAATTTGTCTATTTTATTTATTGGTTAATGTGGCTTTGTTCCTTTTTACTGACATATGTGTTTCTATAACTTTGGGAAGCACTTCATGGCATATACATGGGAAAAAGTGGAAACAGTGACAGATTTTATTTTCTTGGGCTCCAAAATCACTGCAGATGTTGACTGCAGCCACAAAATTAAAAAAATAACACTTGCTCCTTGGAAGACGAGCTATGACAAACCTAGACAGTGTTTTAAAAAGCAGAGACATCACTTTGCTGACAAAGGTCCATATATTGAAAGCTGTGGTTTTTCCAGTAGTCATGTACAGATGTGAGAGTTGGGCCATAAAGAAGACTGAGTGCCTAAGAATTGATTCTTTCGAATTGTGGTAGCTGGAGAAGACTCTTGAGAGTCCCTAGGACTGCAAGGAAATCAAACCAGTCAATCCTAAGGGAAATCAACCCTGACTATTCATTGGAAGGATTGATGCTGAAGTTGAAGCTCCAATACTTTGGCCACCTGATGCAAAGAATTGACTCATTGGAAAAGACCCTGAGGCTAGGAAAGATTGAGGGCAAGAGAAGAAGGGGACGACAGAGGATGAGGTGGTTGGAAGGCATCACCAACTTGGTGGACACGAGTTTGAGCAAACTGTAGGAGATAGTGAAGAACAAGGAAGCCTGGCATGCTGCAAGCCGTAGGGTCGCAAAGTGTCACACGTGACTTAGCGACTGAACAACAGTAGAATGTGACATTGAACAGTAGATTTACTTTTTGCTTTCTTCTCTTGAAAAAGTGAACTAATTTGAACTTCCCACTGTTTTATGTACTGGCATGCTAGAAGAAACTTTCACATCATTGTCAAATAACTCAGTGAAAATCGAAAGATGAGCAGAGAAAGCCTGGGTACCCCTTTTGCAACTAAATTTACCTCATGTGGTTTCTCTAATCCCTTGATTTAGCTAGTGCTTCAGTAGAACTTTTTAAAAATGAAGAGCCCTGTATGCAGTGTAGGTGGAAAAGGAAGGCCTGTGGCCTCTTCAGGAGGACTTTCTGATACTGTCTCCGTTACTAAAGCTAACTTGAAATTCTTTTGGAAGTTAGCCCTGGCATATATTCTTGAAAAAAAAAAGTTAAAATTATTGTCCTATTTACAGTTAAAACTTTTAATTTTCCACATGCAAGCACAGAACTTGCTGCCCTGGAGAGAAGAAACACAAATCATACCTGATTATCCTTCTCATTACAAGAAATGGAGATTTCTGTGCCACAGCACATCCAAATTCATGAGAGGCTGGGCTTAACGATGAAATATAAAGAGCCCCCTGTCACGAATATTTCAGAATTCCTTTAATTTATTGATCATATTTTTAATGTGCTCCGCTTCCTGAAGTCGTAATTTTTACATGACAAAGCCTGAGGTTCAGAAACCAGACAGGTTTAGGTTTTAGAAACGCGAGCAGGTAAAAATGCTGTGTTCAAGGACCCAACACATATTTAAAATATGCAGGCTAAAATGGAAGAAAGAAAACACTGATCTGCCTGAGGAAGGATTGAACATGTGCAAATGGTTGAATTTATGTAGCTACTTATGCAATAAAGGATATAAGGTTGGAATAATAGGCTAGGGTAGATCTGCAGGCTTTCTGTCCCGTGTTTATAACTCTGCCTTTTTCTTCCAACTTAACGCTGTCAGCCCACGTTCCTTCTCATATTAACTCTTTTTTTTAAAACAGGTGAGCAAATCTCATAAACATACATCAAACAGTTTTTGCTCTTTTTTTAAAAAAATAATTTATGTTATTTTATTTATTTATTTTGACTGTGCTGGCTTTTTGTTACTGCATGGGCTTTTCTCTAGTTGTGGCAAGTGGGGACTACTGTTTAGTGGTTGTGCCTGGGCTTCTCATTGGCGGTGATTTCTCTTGTCGTGGAGCACAGACTGGATAGTGCCGGGGGGGGCGGGGGGGAGAAGGGGGACGAGGAGGAGGAGTTGTGGCTTATGGTCTCTAGGGCCCTGGCTTAGTTGCTCCGTGGCATGTGGGATCTTCGCAGATCAGGGATCGAACCCATGACTCCTGCATTGGCAGGTAGATTCTTTTACCACTGAGCCACCAGAGATGCCCCCATATTAACCCTTACCTTGAGAAAATGAGCATTCCTCAGAACAATACTCATGTGGGGCCTGTTTCTTGATGACAGAGCCTACGTTTTCTCCCTCTTTTATAAATCCTCCTGGCACCAACTGCTGTTTTGTGCATTCGGCCTCCCTCAGTAAGTGTTATAAATTTGCTGAACGACTCATGAGAAGTAATGTGGGCTGTGTGCTAATCTGGGAAAAGGAGATGGCTTGTCATAAGACATCATTTTCCTTGTTTATTTGAAAATGTGCTCTTTGGCAGGATTTTTCTGGGTGAAAATTAAAAAGTCCTTCCAAACATTCATCTAAGGTACTGGTCTAAAAAAAAGGGAGTAATTTTTTTTTCTTTTCCTTTTCCTTTGTTGAGATATAATTGACATCCAGCACTGTTTATGTTGAAGGTGTACGGTGTAATGACCTGACTTTTATAAATGGAGTCCTTTTTCCTCTTAGTTTCTGGCATACAGTGTTATTATTTGCTATAGGAATGAAGTCAGAATACTTTATGATTTCTGCTTTTGAAAGTCACTGTTTATCTTTTAATTGACATTTCCTTTAAGGTGTCAGTTCTTGGAATTTCATCCCATTTAGATTTATACAGTTGTTTCTTATGAATGCCGGACTTAGGAACTTACAAAGAGCAGCACCGCCCTCCCCTTTTCTCTTTGACCCAGCACGCTGCAGCTGGTCTAAGTTTTCACTTGTGCCAGGCACTGGGCTGGCTTCTTTAGGTATGTTACCTAAAAGCTGGCATCTGAGTATATTGACTTCCTATTTCCAGTAGAGAAGCTGAAGCTTTGGAATTTACAGACTAACCTGAGAATGTTGCTCATAATTCAACCTCTTCTTCTGAGTCCAGAGTTCTTAGACTTTTAATTAGGACATGAGATTTCAGCTCTTTAAATGATAACTGGTTACTATTTTCCCAAGAAGCAATATTATAAGTAGTGATTAAAAGGAGAAAAAGGGACAGGAATGAAAAATACCAAAATGTTAATAGTTGCCATCATTGCCAGTATCATCATGAGCAGGTGTCGATTGATTTTAAAAAATAAAAGACCATAAAAATAGTGATTAGTCTTAATGGCTCTATAGTTCTCATGTTGAGTTAAAGAAGCTTCTGTTACTTTTTCTGGGAATTTAATGATCATTTATTTCTTAGTGTGTAAGGAAAATGCATTCCTAATTTTCACATAATCGATTTGAAAATGAGTGTTTGAGCATAATCAATCTGTCAACTGAAGACACTTGTGTATTGATCATTTTATGTTTGGAAAATTGTTAATTTTCCACTGATTCATTTCAGCTATAAGTCTACCATACTGTAAGTAGATAGGGTAGAATAAAGATTGTGTAATCGTTTCTTTTGGGGTTAATGGATGTGAATTTCTTTTTTTTTCCAATCCTAGGTGTTAACATGTATCACCACTTCTGTGATTTCATCAATCTTTACATTACTCAGCATGTTAACAATTCCTTTAGCACAGACGTGTACGTCGTGATGTGGGACACAGTAAGTAAGAACTGGCTTTCTGCTTCAGTGCTGTCTTTACCTTGCTCAGTACTGGTTTGACTCTGATCTTATGTAATAGAGTTTTCTAAGATGCACACACTTACATTTACACATGTACACACACGTTCATGCATGTGCAGATGGTGTGAATGAGTCCGTGTGGATGAATTTACGTGTAGGTATACATATGGCTGGGCTTCCCTGGTGACTCAGTGATAAAGAATCCGCCTGCCAATGCAGGAGATGTGTGTTTGATCCCTGGGTCGGGAAGATCCCCTGGAGGAGGGAATGACAGCCCACTCTAGTATTCTTGCCTAGAGAATCCCATGGACAGAGGAGCCTGGCGGGCTGCAGTCCATGGGGTCGCAGAAGAGTCGAACACGACTGAGTGACTGAACCACAGCCACAGTACATATGGGAAGATGCACATGTTTTTGAAATTTAGAATGAGGTTGTAGAAGCTTGCTTTCTACGCTTTGAGGAGGTCGAGCTCAGGGTGCCTTTGAGCCGAGCATAAAAGATCATCATTTGTTTAAACTGTGATCCCTGGGTGGGGAGCGCCTGCCTCTGTTCACAATTTGGCCTCTGCTGATTGCCATCTGTTTCGCTTCACTGCACCTTCCCTATTTTTTCCTGCTTCCTGCCAGGTTGTGCCGGATGTATCTGAGTGTTAGGCCTGCGTGTAGCTACACGTGTTGAATCACCTCTGCTGTGGGCTTATTTGTTTTCCGTGCATCTTTTCTTCCCTCTTTTCTTCCTTTGCTTGCCTTTCACTTGTTTTTTTTCCTATAGCTGGCCCTTCCACTGGCCAAGGTCACCCCAAAGTTGCCCTGGTACTCTCACCTATAAAATTACAGTTTCTACCTCAGTGTTGTTTTGAGGATAAAGCATATCATGTGCAGACAGTCACAGTGCCTGACCCATAGCACGTGTGCTCTGAATGTTAACTGTGGCAGTGGGCTGGAGAACACATGGCAGATAGTGTGCATGAGAAAGGCTGCCTAACATGGGAAGTGGGAGCACCCCCCGAGAACGGAGAACACCCACCCTCAGGTTCACCCAGATGTTACAGTGCTCAGGATGCTCATAGGCCCCCCTTTTACCCCAAGTCTGTCGAGAAGGATGGTGCAGGGGAGCTCCAGCTTGCTGGCAGGGCAGCATTAGGCACTGCTTCTCAGGACTCTTTGCAGTCTGTACAGCACAGGTCAGGCGCAGGGAGACGTGATTCCCCCTGGGACAGGTACAGGTCCCCCAGGACCAGGATCTTCTGAAACAACTGCATTGGCCACACCACCAGGATCCCGAGAGGCAAGCCAGTCACAGGAGTCCTTGAGCTCTGTCCCCTCCACACTCAGAGTGCCCGTCAGGTGTCTTTTAGAATCACTAGCACATGGTGCAGGCATGCCGTCCGGTTCCAGAGGGCAGAGCTGCACCGTGAACTGAGGTCAGGCTGTCTTGCAGAAGGGGAACTGTTTTGCTAACACTTTCTTTACTGATGGGGGGCTGGTAGCAGGGCTGTGACAAGAGGTTTTCATCATCATGGCTCCCTAGCCCTACTAGTTTGATTTCAAGCCTGATGAGAACTGTTTCTAACATTCCCAGCAACTTAATGCTCACTTTTTGCTTTCCTTCTTTGCACATATTTTCATTTCCCTCTTGTGTTTCAGTTTTGCTGTCACCATAGTTCTATTTCTTAGAAATGTTTTTCTGAACAATGGGATCTGCTGTCCCTTTCTTTCCTCTTTTTCTCTATGATTGTGGTTTCTAGGTCCCATGCACAGGCTCCCAGTAGCTCTGAATGATTAACTCAAGGTTCTTGTGGGTTTATTTATTTTTCATTTACATCTGATGTTCTCATATTTAATGCTCACAACTCTTGGTGGGCCAGGGTTTTTATTTGTTTATTTTATAGATGAGGAAGCCGAGGTGGTAGTATTTCTAAGACAACACAGTTGGGGAGGGGTGGAGTCAGGGTTCCCATCTAAGCAGTCTGTCCTCAGACCTGAGCCTTGCAAACACAGTGCTTCCTCGTCTCCCTGTACTTCCCTGAAGATCTTGCTAAGTTGACGGAAAGTTTTCCAGAAGCTTCCTTGTATCTCGTTGCATGCTTTTCGGTGTCTTCCTCTAGTGGAGTAAATTAAACTGAGCCAGCATCTGCAGCCTCTCCCCTTCTCTGAGCCTGCTGGGTGGGGTGAGTAGATACATTGCCACCATGGGCTCACCAGGTACTCAGTTAATGGGACACATGATCTTAGTGCAGCCTGACCTTGATGCCTGTACTTGCGGGGTGCATTTAGCCGAGCAAGGTGGCCGCCCTGATGTGACCTCCCTCCTCTGCTTCTCTCTGTGCCTCCATTTAGAGCCTGTTTTCTTGGTCAGAGAGGCCTTTGCTCATGGCTCAGTCAGGGTCTCAGGACAGGCAAGTACCAGGTTGTTTCAGAATCGAGACGCCCCAGAAGCCTGTAGAGAGGATGTCGGTGGATGAGGTGTCCCGTGACTGCCACCTGGTTCTCTTTTGCTGGAGGCTCCAGAAACCTGTCGGGAGATTGGGGGGCTGGTGAGGTGTCCTGTGGCTGCCACCTGGTTCTCTTTTGCTGGGAAGGCCTTGAGGGAAGCAGCTCTGCCACCCTAGGCTGACGTGAGTTGAACCCCCCTGCGGTGGACGGTGTTGCCCTGGAACCAGTCTCTGTGGCCCTGGACGAGCTGTGTGCCCCGAGGAGGAGTTGGGAGCTGGCGGTGCTGCACTTCAGATCAGCTTACAGACTCTCCCCACAAGGAAGCTTCTGGGGCCGCCCCTCTCATCTGCACAGACCTCGGCAGTGTAACTGCCGACCTGGAGCCATGTGCCCGGGGCCGCTCCTGGAGACGCATTTCTGGGCATGGCAGGGTTGCTCTTATGCAAGGAACCCCAGGGGGCTTACTGCAGGCTTTCCGCCTTTCCTTGTACTGAGAAGTGTAGTATAGCTTTATTATTACTATTTTTAATTATACAACTAAGACCAAGTTATAATGATTTCAGTCAACCCAGAAGTATATAAAGTTGTTTTTTTTTTTTAAAGTCTCCTTTATCTCCTCCAATTCCATTTCCTTTGAAGGTTAATTGCGGTTAGCATATGTGAGAATCCATTGCAAGACTTTATTTTAAAAAATGTAAACACATCTTTATACAACACTTATACAAGGACTTACATAAGGATATATATATATATAGTATAAATTTGTATAAGAATATGTCTGTATCCTTATAGAAGATAAAATATGTTCTCCCACATTGTTGACTTAACATTATGTAGTTGGCATATTTCCAGGTCAGCATAGTTAGGAGGATTATTTCTTTATTATTAATAGTTCCATGCTATTCCATTTGCTCGATATAATGGATGATTTGGTGGATGCTTTAAAGTCAAAGTCTAAGTGTAAGTTGCTCAGTCACGTCCTACTCTTTGTGACCCCATGGACTATAGCTCACCAGGCTCCTCTGTCCATGGGATTCTCTAGGCAAGAGTATTGGAGTGGGTTGCCATGCCCTCCTCCAGGGGATCTTCCCAATCCAGGGATTGAACCTGGATCTCCCACATTGCAGGTGGATTCTTTACTGCCTGAGCCACCATGAATGCCTTAGTGCATGTATCTCCCTCTGCCCTTACTCTGATCACATTTAGTTTGTTTCCAGTTCTTTGCTCTTGACAGAAATTCTGTCCTGAACATCTTTTTCATATACATGTATCTTTACACAGTCATCTTAGAATTTCTGACGGGCAGATTCCTATAAGGGGAATTTCTAAGTCATAGATTGTCTTATGTTTGAGATATACACAGGAGGAAATTTTATGTCATCTTAAGACTGTCCAAATATTCTTCAACATAAGACTGGAAAAGTCCCTCCTTCTGTGGCAAATCATTTGAATTTGAGGGATGTGGAAAAAGAAGCTTCTCGAGGTGATTATTACTGAATAACACATGCCATCTCTGAAAAGGGACCAGCCAGGATCACTGTATTATTAAATTTTCCTTATTTCATCTTATTTCATCACAAGTATTTTATCTCAGGAAACTGCCTAGAATCACTTCTTTAATTGCCCTTTATTTATTATTGAACCAAAACAGGAACATGTAATTTTTGATGGTGTTGAGAAGGGCCTTTATTAGAACAGCACCGGAGACCCATTGAAGGAAAGAATTTTTACTTTTTATCATCACATCTAACAGTTCTCAATACCTTTGAAATGACTCTAATATGTGCAACATAAAATTTTCAAAATCTGAAAAAAAAGAATGCTGTAGCAATAAAAAGACATGGACATAATGAACATCATGTGTAACCAGCTGGAGACCTTGAATGTAACCCTACAGTATGTATTTCTTATTTCTTTTGGCTGAGTTTTTCCATCTAATTCTACCATTTTGAAATAAATTGACCTCCTTCCTTCAGCTGATGGAGTATTAATTAATTTCTAGTTTTCAAAAATGAAATGTATTTGGTAAATGTCCAGAAAGAACTAGTCCTGCCATATACAGGTTACACGTATGGAGTCTGGAACCAAAGAGACTGGATTTAATCCCGGCTCTGTAAACCCAGCAGCTCTACAGTTGAGGCAGATAACTATAATTTTGTCCCAGTTTCCTCATCTGTAAAATAGGGATAATGGTGTTCCCTCACTCATGAAGTTAGTGCAGTGGTTTAATGTGTTAATAATGTCAAGTTCTTAAAACAATGCCTGGGATGTAGGAAATATGCAAGATACTATTGACATTACTCTTATTAGTGTCAAAGGGAATTATCAAATATTACTCATTAATCAACAGGGAGATCATTTCCTAGAGTTACTAACATTATATTGTTAATGTTAAAACTTTCAAAGCATTTTCTTACTCTCAGATTTTTTTTTTTCCCTTGCAGGATAATTGCTTTACAATGTTGTGGTGGTCTCTGCCATACGTTAACATGAATCAGTCATAAGTGTGTGTGTGTGTGTGTGTGTGTGTCTTCTCCCTCTTGGGCCTCCATCTCCCTGACATTCTACCGCTCTGGGTCATCACAGAGCGCCAGGCTAGGCTCCCTGTGTTATATAGCAGCTTCCCACTGTGTACTGTTTCACATATGATAGTGCATATATGTCAGTGCTCCTTTTTCGATCTGTCCTACCCTCTCCTTCCCCAGCTGTGTCCACCAGTCCCTCCTCTACATCTGCATCTCCTTTTCTTCTCTGTAAATGGGATCATCAGTACTGTGTTTCTAGATTCCATAAGCGCGCCAAAAGTGCATTCTGTCTGCTCTGATGCGTTTTGCCCCCGTGTATGTTCTGGTGTGGACAGAAGGTAAAGTGTCTATGTGTTGTGTGGTTTGGATAGAAAATTCACAGGAAAAAACCCCACAATGATTCCAGTTTCAAGGACATGAGAATATAAAGGGCTAGGGTGGAAAAACAAAACATTTTTGGCAGACTGAGATTATAATTGTGATGATTATTTCTGATGCTGTTACATCAAACTAGGGACTTGCTCAGGCCCCAGATGAAAATCCAGTTTTCTTCTGTGGGTTTTATGAACTGTGTTTCAGGTTGCTGGCTCACTAACAAGCTAATTCAGGTGTTTTCTGATGTCTTTGAAAAGCCAGGTTTAGCCGAATTCCCTAACTTACTTTGTTTCCACTTTCAGAGCTCCTATGGATATGGTGACCTGTTCTCCGACACATGGAAAGCATTTACTGATTATGATGTTATACATTTGAAAACTTATGACTCCAAAAGGGTACTGGAAGCTTTACTGAAATGCCTGTAAATAACTGTCATCACCAATGACTCACTCATCAAATAAATATTTAATCTGGGTTTCTATGAGCTCTTATCATTGATTTCTGACTCCTTAGTTTCTTTGTAATAACTAGAATCATCATGATTATTTTAACCACATAGCTTTTAAAAACTTTTCCCCATAACTTTTCTGAAAATACGAATGCCATTTGATTGAAATAATTAGCTAATCAAAATATTTTAATGCAAAATAGAGATTAATTTTTTTCTATTAAAAAATTGCTGTTTTAGTGTGAAGGATGCAGATTGTAATTCTCTTTCCTTTTAAAATATCTCCATTCTTAGGTATGTTTTAAAGAAGCTATCTTTTCTTTACTTCCCCGGATGAGATACGGGCTGTTCTATAACACCCCTCTGGTAAGCATGTCATCTGTAGTTGACAGTCATATTCAGAGAATTGATTCTTGGTGGATTTTAAGATAACATTTAAAAGAAAAATTTAAAAAATTTTTAATTGGTGGAAAATTGCTTTACAGTGTTTTATTTGTTTTTTGTGTTTATTCACACAACAATGTGAATCAGTCATAATTATGTATATATATATATACATATGCACATACACACACATAGTTATATATATGTGTGTGTGTGTGTATATATATATACATACATATATATACACACATATACCCTCCCTTTTGAACCTCCCTCTCCTCCCCCATCCCACCCTTCTAGGTCATCACAGAGTGCCAGATGGGGCTCCCTGTGTTATGTGGCAACTTCCTACTGACTACCTATTTTACACCTGATAGTGAATGTATGTCATTGCTACTTTCCCAATTCATACCACTCTCACCTTCCCCTGGTATGTCTACAAGTCCATTCTCTACTAGGTTCATCAGTACCATTTTTCTAGATTCCATATATCTGTTAATATATGATACTTGTTTTTCTGACTTACTTTATTCTGTGTAAGAGGCTCTAGATTCATCCACCTTACTACAGCTGACTCAAATGCGTTCCTTTTCATTCCACTGTATGTATATACCACATCTTTATCCATTCATTTGTTGATGGACATCTAGATTGCTTCCATGCCTTGGCTATTATAAATATTGCCACAGTGAACATTGGGGTATATGTGTCTTTTAGAATTGTGGTTTTCTCAGGGTATATGCCCAGTAGTGAGATTGCTAGGTTGTATGGTATGACCTAGACCCAGACTGGTGATGGAAGTAAATTCCGATGCTGTAAACAGCAATATTGCATAGGAACCTGGAATGTTAGGTCCATGAATCAATGGTAAATTAGAAGTGGTCAAAAAGGAGATGGCAAGAGTGAACACTGACATTTTAGAAATCAGTGAACTAAAATGGACTGGAATGGGCGAATATTCATTGGAAGAACTGATGCTGAAGGTCTAATACTTTGGCTACCTGATGCAGAGAACTGATTTGTTTGAAAAGACCCGATGCTGGGAAAGATCGAAGGCAGTAGGAGAAGGGGATGATGGAGGATGAGATGGTTGGATGGTATCACTGATTCGATGGATATGAGTTTGAGCAAGCTCCGGGAGTTGGTGATGGACAGTGAAGCCTGGCATGCTGCAGTCCATGGGGTGGCAAAGAGTCGGACACGACTGAGCGACTGAACTGAACTGATGAAAGATTTATTGCTAGTTTTTCAAGGAATCTTCATACCGTTTTCCATAATGACTATATCAGTTTATATTCTCACCAACAGTATAGGAGGGCCTCATTTTCTCCATATCTTCGCCAGCACTTATTGTGTGTAGATTTTTTGATGATGGCCATTAAGATAGTACTTGTGTATAACTTGAGAACATCTTAAATAGTAATGCAGAAATTACTCATTGTAATAGGAAATATTGTTTTTTATTATAGATCTCTGGGTGTCAAAATACTGGGTTATTCAGGGCATTTTCCCAGCATGTACTGCACAGACTGAGCATCACACAAGAGGGTCCCAAGGTAATGGCTGCATTATGGTTTCTGAGGTGGGCTCAACTTTTCACCCCCTGGTAAAAGTCAGTATCATGGGAAAAAAAAGGAAAAAAAAAGTCAGTATCATCTTTAGAGAAAAAGGAGATCATCAGCAGACAGTGTTTTCTGGGTTAACCAGAAATTCTGACCTGGAGTAATTTGAAATCAGATGTCAACAACCTAGGGAATTTTGATAAACTAAGAGATAGTGGAAGAATGTACTTTTTTTTCCTTTTCCTTTCCCTGTCTCTCCCCTTCCTCTCCCAAGCTCCCACCCAGCCCACACATCCTCTGCCCCCAAATATACCCAAACAAACAGAAGTAGTGTAATGAATGCGTTTTGCCTCCTCTGGCTAAAGTGAGTACATTTTTATCCCCTGGGAGAACTGTGAAGAAATCATGCTAAAAGGAAAAAAAAAAAGTCCCATTAAGGTGTCCTTATTGAGTTTTATCTCTTGGTGAAAATCCAATTTTAAGTTTTGTTTAGTTATCTGTCCAGGCATACACAACAATATTTTGCCTTTTTCACAGGGTGGAAAAATTCGAGTGACCATTCTTGCACGGAGCACAGAGTATCGGAAAATACTGAATCAAAATGAGGTCAGTTTTTGGTATGCGTTTTTAATAGCAACATATTGAATATAACTTCCTATGAGTAATGTGCTTTGTTTTTTTTTCATACCCTACTAAATGCTTTGGTTTGAAATCATTAGCTTTTAGAATATTTTGATGGCTGCACCCAGTTCATTTATTAGATTTCTACCGGAAGTCATCAAACCAGACATTACTAAATGAGCTCTGCCTTACTATAGACTTTTCCTCTGCACCAACTCAGAGTGGAAACAGGCAAAACTGCCTGAGTCCTGCCTTTGCTGCCATAGATTGCCAAACGTTTTGTCTCTGGACAAACTAACAGCTGAGCAATGGGAGAATATCTTTGAGCAGATGGTAGACGGAGTGTGGCAAGACTGTGGCCTCCAGCTGCAGATAAAGTTGGAAAAGTCCTCATCCTTTCCATGGGTATCTTAGAAATTGTTCCCCTCTTATGCTTCCTGACTCATTTCAACATCAATTCATAACTTATACTTAATTTCAACAAGATTGCAATGGAAGGCTCCTCCAGAGCAGGACAGGGCAATGTGCTTGCAATAGTAAGGTTTCTAGGTGTCTGGAAAAGACGAGGATTGTCCCCTAGAGACTCCACAAAGAGTGCAGCACTGTGTACACGTTGATTTCATCCTCTGAGACTTCTGTCTCAGCGTGTCAAATTTCTGTGCTACAGCACTGTAAGAGGATAAATTGTGTTGTTTTAAGATGAGAAGTGTGTAGTAATTTGTCATAGTAGCAAATAGAGAGGCATAAAACTGACTTCTTTATTTGTTTGTAAATCACTCTGGCTGCAAGAATAGGAACGGGGAGATTGATTAAGAGCTGTTGCCCCCATAAGAGGTTAGATGAAGGGGAGGACAGGAGGGATGACAAGATAAATGGTTTCGGGATATATCTTGGAGATAGAGCCTATGACACTGCTTGTGGGAGTGTAAAGTTATAGCCTCAGTGAGGCTAGGAGAGGTAGTGAGAATCAGGCATGAACTCCTGGGCTGTTAGCCTAAGCACTTCAGCGGACTTGAGATGGGAGGGAATTTGGGGGCAGCTTTTGATGGGTAAAATGTTTGGCACAAGTTAATTTGGATGCCTAAGAGGCTGATCCAAATTGTATAATTAGCATCTCTTCTCGAGACACATATGGATTATGGAGGACATGAACATCTGGTGTAATGAGGCATCGATTGTAAGCTCTGTGGATGGAAGAAATGAACAGCGTGTGTATGTGTGTTTTAAAGACCTGGAAACAAAAATGTATCAAGTAATGCGCTGAGGGGTGGACAGATGAAATGCGTCAGTAGGCAGATGAGTAGTACCTATTGGTAAGGTAACACGTTTTGGATGCAAGTATGTGCCAAGCATGTGTTCCCTCTGCCTGTCCATCAACTCTCCCAGCAGACAAATAATATTAGTATTTTATTATTATTCTCCATTCGAAACGAGAACACTGAACCTTGTAGGTTAAAAAAACATGCCCAGGTTCACCCAGCTGGTAAGCAGAGTAACGGGGTGGGGTGGGGGAGGGAAGGGAGCCTACTTCATAGGCAGAGAACACTCCATAGCTGTAACCCAGCTTCACCTGGGAGGAGGCTAACCACTTTCCTTCCCTGTCCATCGGTCAACTGCTGGAGCGAAGTCCAGTGGGAAGGTACCACCACGCCGTGCTGCACTGCGGCCGTCCATGTTCCCACAGCCAGCCTCGCAGGTCGCCTGGATGCTCTTGCCCTGAGGCAGGATTTGGTCATTCAGCTCCAGCCCCAAGCCATCGTGTGCCCAGCTGGTTGCTTTGCTCCCAGGATTGGTGTCACTGGGAAAGGCAACTCCCAGGCAGAGAAGAAGGCACTGTTCCCTTTTCCTTGACTTGTGAATAGATAACAAAACCTAGATACCCTCCTTAAATGACGGTTTATGCAGTCTTGCCCAAACTCAAGTTTAGAGCAGTCATTCTGGAAGGGGTATGGCCATGTCTCTGTTCTGACTAGAAATCATGGAAAAGAGCATGCTTCCTTCGGGATCCTCGGAGACATGTGACTCCTTTTAGGAAGGCCCATCTCATTGCAAGAGAGGGGCTCATGCCTTCTGATAAATTCTCCCCTGGAAAGTGGAATTCTAATCTCTCCTCACTCCTTCAACTACTTGCTATAAACAGTGTATCTGTGGGCGTCCAGGGGCTGTCCAGTGAGAGAAACTTCCATTTTATAACTTGGCGAGTGTGTGATGGGGGATGGGATTGGATTTGGGCCACTGCCTGTTGCTTTTTATAAGCAGGAGCATAGAGTGCACTAGCCAAGAACACAGGTTCTGGGGGCAGATGACCTAGATTTAGTTTTGGCCCTGCCATTTGCTATGGGAGATCCTGGGAAAGTTGTTTGCCTTCTCGAAGACTTCAGTACATCATTTATGAAATGTGTATAATATAGTACTTCCTTGGTATGGTATTTGTGAGCAGGAAGTGACGTATACCTAAAGCACTTGGAAATGCCACCATGATTTCAGTGCAGAGTCAGTGATACTTCTGTAGCTGTTGCTCTTGCGATCACAGCGCTCACATGAGAGAACAGGATACAAATACAAAACACTTCTGAAGAGCAGTGATCCACGGTTTTGGGTTAAGATGGCTTATTTGTGAGGGACCTAGAGAACCACGGCGATGCTTTTGATGTGATGAGGAATTAATCGAGCTTAGTTGTTTTCTCTCTGCTAAAAGTATAGTTGTTTTTCTGTGTAGAGATGTTGAAATTTTTTTCTGCCAGGAGTTTCGTATTTTTGGTGGATGAGGTTCCAAAGCACTTGGGGTTTGTCTGAAATGATATAATGGATAGGGAGACAATTCTGGAACAAAGTCGGTGCCCAATGAATTTACATTGAAAGTTGAGGGACTGACTATTGGAATAACAGTAGCTAAAAGGTAACATTTCATGTGTATCTATGATGAGCCCTTTGCTTTTATGAATTTTCTCCTTTCATCCTCATAGCAGCCCAGTGCAGAGCAATTTTAAGAAGGTGCTGTGTTCCTCCCTAAAATGCAGAGGTGGAGCCTGTACTTGAACTCAGTTAAGGTTTAAAACTTAAACATATTTGTATGAAAATACAAAGGGGATTTAATACTTGAAACATAACTTTATATGAAAAATAAGAAATTTGGGGACTTCATGGTAAATAAAATTGAAGAGAAGGAAGGAAGGAAAAGAAATTCTAAATATTTTTCTTTTTTCCCCCAGCTTGTAAATGCACTGAAAACAGTATCTACATTTGAGGTCCAGATTGTTGATTATAAGTATAAGTAAGTAATAATCCAGTCTGGGGCAGACCCAGTCCTCTTTGGCTTGAATGAGGGAGGAGCCTCCTCATCCTTTGGTGGGGAGAGGAGGGAGGACTTTGTGAATGGGAGATGTTGGCACTCGTGAATCTGGAAGGGACAAGCGGATACCATCAGTGAATGAAGTGGGCAGGTGAGGACGCCAAGCCTAGTGGGCAGAAGTTCTTCCACTGTGACAGGCCTGATGTTGTTATCAGGCCTGATAGTGTTGCCACACTATTCATTTTTAAAAAGAAGTGATAAATCCTGTTTTCATTTGAAATTTCTGAATTTCTAAGGTCAGCAACTAGGGGACTTCCCTGGTGGTCCAGTGGTTAAGACTTCACCTTTCAATGTAGGGGCTGCTGTTTCAATCCCTGTTTGGGGAGCTAAATCCCACATGCCTTGTGGCCCCAAAAAATCAAAACATTAAAGCAGAAGCAATATTGTAACAAATTCAATAAAGACTTTAAAAATGATCCCCATTAAAAAAAAAATGTTAAAAACCAGCAACTAATTCCAAATTTTAAAAAATGGCATAAGCCTGAATTGCCCTGTTGCTGGGTTTCATCTTCTGGCCTAAGATTAGTCATATGGGAATAATTTGAGGTTCATAGAACAGTATGAGATTTAAAAAAAATCTTATAAAATATTTACATTTCTGGGACTTCCCCAGCGGTTCCACCTTCTAATTGCTGGAGGTGTGGGTTAGATCCCTGGCTGGGGACCTAAGGTCCCGCATGCTGTGGGGTGAGGCTAAAAATTAAAAAGAAATTTTTTTTTTTACATTTCCTTGAAAATTCTGACACAAGTAAAAAGTTAGAAAGATAGAATTTGCCTACCATTTATGTAACCAACTATATCATATGTTATGTAACCCCTGTCTACGTAACCCCTGTTGATACAGAAACTATAGGGCTATAAAAGTGATACATGTTCTTGATTGAAAAAGTCAATCAGTATAGAAAAGTTCCAAAGGAAAGTGAAAATTTTTCCTCTCTCCTTTTCACCCACCCACAGTCATAGTGTTGTTTTCCAAATTTAACAGTTTTCTTCTGTTAGAAAAGTACACATTTACCAACATACAGTGCCTCACATGATTCAGTTTAAACTTATCAGTGAGCCTGGGCATTTAGCGCCTCATTCATTGCACGTTTGTTCATTTACACAAGTCTCTGTCAGGTACCTGCCGTGAGCTGGTCACCGTGCTTCGGAGGGAGCATGGCCATGTCCCGACGTCAGACACTAAGTACAAATAAATAGTACTTGCAAGAACAGCTACTGTTTATTGAGACTTACTCTTTTTTTCCCCTCAACCTTTAACCTTTTTATGTTGTGTTGGGGTAGAACCGATGAACAATATTGTGGTAGTTTCAGGTGAATAGCGAAGGGACTCAGCCATACATATACATGTATCCATTCTCCCCCAAACTCCCCTCCTATCCAGGCTGCCACATAACATTGAGCAGAGTTCCTCGTGCTATATGGTAGGACATTATTGGTTATCCATTTTAATATAACCATGCGTACATGATCTTTCCAACTGTCCCTTCCCCTGACAGCCATAAGTTCATTAACCTAACCCATGGCTGATTCATGTCAATGTATGGCAAAAACCACTACAGTATTGTAATTAGCCTCCAACTAATAAAAACAAATGAAAAAAAAATCTAAGTCTGTGAGCGCTGACACGTATTCTTAATGCTTTCCTTGCTCTGTCTCATCTTCCTCTTTCAAGAGTCTTGTGAAGTTTCTGAAGCTATTTCTGTCTGATAGGTGACACTAACCTGATGGTGGCAATCCTCAGGTGGCATGCTAGAAGACAGCCCAGGGTTAGTGAGAGTAAATTCAGACCTTGTCAACCTGAGGGACACGAAAGAAACATAATAGCGTTGAGCATTGTGAGTTCTCATCTACAGGCATTTCCCAGAAATGACGACTCCACGGATGTGTTCCCTGGACAAATGCCCCTCGTCCCCCTCAGTATCAGTTGGCATCCTGGGGAAACTGAGGCACATGTACGTCGTGTGAGACACACTTGGTGCCTTTGTCTTCCCTCATGCAGGTGTGGGATTTCTGTTCTGTTCTCAGAGGAAGCTCTTTAAAGAGGAGAAGCTGATTAAGAGGAAAGTTGCTCCCCCTTCTTTGATGCAAACAGATCTTGTTCATTTATTTTTCTTCACTTTGGGTGGGTGGGACTGGGAGATTGGATTCCATTTTATTTATCATTGTATTAGACTCTGTCTAGCATTTCTTCCCAGCCTCACTTCAGTGAACTTTTTTGGCTCTTGTTCTTGTTCAGTCAGTAGTGTCAGACTCTATGCGACCCCATGGACTGCAGCATGCCAGGCTTCCCTGTCCTTTACCACCTCCCGGAGCCTGCTCAGACTCATGTCCATTGAGTCAATGATGCATTTCAACCATCTTGTCCTTTGTGTCCCTTTCTCCTTCTGCCTTCTATCTTTCCCAGCATCAAGGTTTTTTCCAGTGAGGCAGCTCTTTGCATCAGGTAGCCAAATCAAGAGGCTGTTTAGTTCCTCTTCATTTTCTGCCATAAGGCTGGGGGTGTCTGCATATTTGAGATTATTGATATTTCTTCCAGCAATCTTGATTCCAGCTTGTGCTTCATCCAGCCTGGCATTTTGCATTATGTATTATGCATATAAGTTAAATAAACAGGGTGACAATATTGGCCTTGACATACTCCTTTCCCAGTTTTGAGCCAGTCGGTTTTCCATGTCCAGTTCTAACTGTTGCTTCTTGACCTGCATACAGATTTTGCAGAAGACAAAAGGTGGTTTGGTATTCCCATCTCTTTAAGAATTTTCCACAGTTTGTTGTGATCCACACAGTCAAAGACTTCAGTGTAATCAATAAAGCAGAAGTAGATGTTTTTCTGGAATTCTCTTGCTTTTTCTATGATCCAATGGATGTTGGCAATTTGGTCTCTGGTTCTTCTGCCTTTTCTAAATCCAGCTTGAACATCTGGGAGTTCTCGGTTTGTGTACTGTTGAAGCCTAGCTTGGAGAATTTCAAGCATTACTTTGCTAGAGTGTGAGATGAATGCAATTGTGTGGTAGTTTGAATATTCTTTGGCATTGCCCTTCTTTGGGATTGGAGTGAAAACTGCCCTTTTCCAGTCCTGTGGCCACTGCTGAGTTTTCCAAATTTGCTGGTATGTTGAGTGCAGCACTTTCACAGCATCATCTTTTAGGATTTGAAATAGCTCAGCTGGAATTCCATCACCTCCACTAGCTTTGTTTCTAGTGATGCTTCCTAAGGCCCACTTGACTTCTCACTCCAGGATATCTGGCTCTAGGTGAGTGACCACACCATCATGGTTATCTGGGTCATGAAGATCTTTTTTGTACAGTTCTTCTGTTTAGTCTTGCCACCTCTTCTCAATATCTTCTCCTTCTGTTAGATCCATACCATTTCTGTCCTTAATTGTGTCAATCTTTGCATGAAATGTTCCCTTGGTATCTCTCATTTTTTTCTCTCTCTCATTGTTTTGAAGAGGTCTCTAGTCTTTCCTATTCTGTTGTTTTCCTCTATTTCTTTGGACTGTTCTTATCTCTCCTTGCTGTTCTTTAGAGTTCTGCGTTCAGATGGGTGTATCTTTCCTTTTCTTCTTAGCCTTTTGCCACTCTTCTTTTCTCAGCTATTTGTAAGGCCTCCTCAGACAACCATTTAGCCTTTTTGCATTCTTGGGGATGGTTTTCATCTCTGCCTCCTGTACAATGTCACAAACCTCTGTCCATGGTTCTTCAGGTACTCTGTCTATCAGATCTAATCTGTCGAATCTATTTGTCACTTCCAGTGCATAATCGTAAGGGATTTGATTTAGGTCATACCTGAATGGCCTAGTGGTTTTCCCTACTTTCTTCAATTTAAGTCTGAATTTTGTACTAAGAAGTTCATGATCTGAGCCACAGTCAGCTCCCGGTCTTGTTTTTGCTGACTGTATAGAGCTTCTCCATCTTCGGTTGCAAGGAATATAATCAATCTGATTTTGATATTGATCATCTGGTGATGTCCATGTGTAGAGTCGTCTCTTACATAATTGGAAGAGGGTGTCTGCTATGACCAGTGTGTTCTCTTGGCATAAGTCTGTTTGCCTTTGCCCTGCTTCATTCCATACTCCAAGGCGAAACTTGCCTGTTACTCCAGGTATCGCTTTACTTCCTACTTTTGCATTCCAGTCCCCTGTGATATAAAGGACATCTTTTTTGGGTGTTAGTTCTAGAAGGTCTTGTAGGTCTTCATAGAACCATTCAACTTCAGCTTCTTTGGCATTACTGGTTGGGGCATAAACTTGGATTACTCTGATACTGAATGGTTTGCCTTGCAAGTGAACAGAGATCATTTTGTCGATTTTGAGATTACACCCAAGTACTACATTTCGGACTCTTTTGTTGACTCTGAGGGCTTCTCCATTTCTTCTAAGGGTTTCTTGCCCACAGTAGTAGATATAATAGTCATCTGAATTAATTTCTCCCACTCCCTTCCATTTTAGTTCACTGATTCCTAAACTGTCAATGTTCACTGTTACCATCTCCTGTTTAACCACTTGCAGTTTACCTTGATTCATGGACCTTTTGCCTCTTACCTTTCATTTCAAAGTTTGCACATCTTTCAGTGTCTTGAATTCAAAGACCAGCACCCATAAAATTGTGGATTCGTCTGTTGCACAGGCAGGAAAATGCCCTCATGGTATCTGAGATAATTTAAGGGATACACAGATGTCAATTGAATAACTCAAATAATGCAAGAAAGAATTTATTTTATTTTTGAAAAGTTCTTGCATAATCTTAAGGAAATAGTTTTCAGTTGGTTGCTAAATATAACATCACTGTAATGCTTGCTAATTCCACTTTTTCATAAAGAGAGAGTGAGCCTCAGGATCAGAGCTTTGCCTTGCAGTGTTACCTACCTACCTTGGAATAATGCTTTTTAGCTTGATTATACCCATTTTTACAGTTTTATTTCCTGTGTTACTAGTTTTCCATTTAAGACAGGTATAAAAGTTTACTTCTAAAATAAGAACATGCAAGTTTTAAAAAAGGTAAGCTTAACTTAGAAAAAATGTTTAGTTATTAAGTAAGCTGTTAATTATGGGAGTAGACTTGAAATTGGCAAATATCATGAGAAAATGTACTTTGAATTGGGAATGACACTTGTATAAATGTTGCTATCATGAATCGTGAGCTTACTCAACTCAGTACTTTCCCTCTCCTCCCCTTTCTTTTGTTGTTCTTTATGTTCACAGGGAACTTGGGTTTTTAGATCAGCTGAGAATCACGCATAACACAGACATATTTATTGGAATGCATGGAGCTGGTCTTACCCATTTGCTTTTCCTTCCAGACTGGGCTGCGGTGTTTGAACTGTAAGTGTTTGGGGGCAATTTAATATTGAGGCAGCTGATAATGCTTTTTCTGCTTGCTGAGACTTTCATTCAGAGCCTCTAAAGGCTTAATATTTAATTATTACAAAGAAGTCACATCATATATACATATAGAAGGAAAAGAAAAAAAGACCTAAAAGTTTGGAGACTGCAGTTATCCTTAGCAAGCAAATACCCCTTTCCTCCCCCATCTCAGCAGGATTCCGGAGATGTGAATCTGTGGCTTCCTTCCTCTGCATGCATTCCTGTGAGCTTGTCAAGCTGAAAACCTCTCCCTGCCGACAGTGTAGTTACTGTGTGGAAAGAGAACCTGTGTGTTGCACACCCATGTTCATAGCAGTATTATCTCATTAGCCAAGTGGTAGAAGAAACTCAATTGTCCATTGACTATGGAACGAGTAAATGAAATGTGATACAGACACAAACATACCCAGTGGAATACTATTCAGCCTTAGAAAAGAAAGAAATCCTGGCTTGTGCAGTGACAGGGATGAACCTTGGGGACATTATGTTAAGTGAAATGTTACTCTGAAAAGCACAAATACTGTGTGATTTCACTTTCATGAGGTACGAAGAGAAGTCAGATTCATAGAGACAGAAAGTAGAAGGGTGGGTGTCAAGAACTGGTGGGAGAGGTGAAGGGGGACTTCGTGTTTAATGAGGACAGAGTTTCACTTTTTCGTGATGAAAGTGTTCTGGAGATTGCTTATAACAGTGATCTTATATGTACTACTGAACTGTATACTTAAAAATGGTTAAGATGGCAAATTTTATGTCATGTGTTTCCTACCACAATTTAAAAAGAGAGAGTGAGTTTGAGTATCTGTACTTCTAGTGAAGAACGCAGCTCCAAAACATAAGCCAACCTCTTTTCCTGGTGCTCACAGGCACCATACAATTGCATGGGCCTGTATGATTCCATATACATATACGGGAGGCTGAGGCCTCAGGGGAAAGGAATTTTCCCACGGCGTTCCTTTAACTCGGTGGTTGGTTGTGGAGACGTGGACCTCTCTCCTTTGATAATTCTACTCTGGATACCAACAGTGATTACCGTTACCTGATTTCTTCCCCTTGCATCTAAATATCTTGATTTTGTGGTCATATTTAAAAAATAACTTGGCATTTAAATGAGAGACTATTTAGAAAAAAGTTGTCATGAACTTCCAACACGCCTGAAAAACCTTTAAAAATAAATACATATGTTAGATAAATAGCTAGATCATTGTGGATTCTATTTCAGTCCTTCATTTCTCCCTGAGAGAGAGCGGTGGGGAGAGAAAAAGGAAGGAAGGAAAGAAATGTCACTGAGAAATTTCAGTCCTTGGAGGTCAACAGTCCTGGGATCAATTTCTTTTGGAGAATGTGTTACCCACCCACTCCAATGCAGTGTTCATATGCACAAAGCTGGGGTTATTAGGAGTTAATAATTTTTTTTAATATCAGTTTTTTTTAATATCAGGAGTTTTATCAACAGACCTGTTGATAAAAATCCCCTCCATTCTTTAAACCTATTCTGCTTTTTGAAAGGTAAGATAATTTAGTTATGGAAATATTTTTAAAATAATCTGTTTCACTTTTGTGTATGTATGTGTGTTTCTATAACAAGTTTTATTTATATACCATACTACAGTTCACTCATGTAAATCATATAATTCAGTGCTTTTAATATATTGACAGAGTTGTGCAACCACCACCACAATTTTACAGTATTTTCATTGCACCCCAGAGAAAATCAGTCCTCTTCCTCCCAGCCCCTGGAAACCACTCATCTACTTTCTATCTCTGTAGATTTACCCACTGTGGACATTTCACATGAGTGGAATCATGCAGTATGTGGGCTTTTTCTTACTGGTTGCTTTCACTTCGTGTCATATTTTCAAGGTTCATCCATGTTGTGGCATGGATCAGTGCTCATTCCTTTTTATTAGCGATAATTCCTTGTATGGTTATATACCATGTTTTTTTTTTAATCCATTTGTCAGTTGATAGACATTCAGATTCTTTTCACCTTTTGGCTATTGTGAATGCTGCTGCTATGAACATGAATCTCTCTCTCTTGTTTACTGTTTATACAATATTTTGCAAGAACATATTTGGGAGGTGAATTTTTTCCCCAAGTATCTGTGGACTGGTCAAAAATCCCAGGCAAAAGCCCTATGTATGGATGCCCTTGTGTCCTTAGGTACAACTGTGGAGATGAACGTTGTTACTTGGACCTGGCTAGGCTGAGAGGTGTCCACTACATCACTTGGCGAAGGCAGAACAAAGTCTTTCCTCAAGATAAGGTAAAGTTCAATGACAAAACTCACCTTGTTTTTATCTTTTAATTGGCTTAAAGTGTCTAATTAAATTGCAAACTGTCTTTAAGCTTCAATCCAAAGATAAAACTGTTCTCTGGAATTGTGAGTTGTTGTTTTTTTTATATTTGCAAACTATGGGAGAGGGGAAATTAATTATTCTCTATCTTTATGTGTAAAAGTGACCTTCATGAAATTTTGGACTAGCGAGATCGGTTAAATTATTTAGAGACAGGATCTACAAACTATAGACCAGTGGGCTATATCTGGCCCTCCACTTGTTTTTATAAATAAAGCTTTATTGGGACACAGTCCTTCTCTTCTGTTCACATGTTTTCTATGGCTCCTTGAGCACTTCAGTGGCAAGGGTTGAATAATTGTGGTGGAGACTCTGTAGTTCACAGAGCTGAAAGTACATGCTGTCTGGCCTGTTACTGAACAAAATTGCCAACCTCTGATGTAGAGCATAAATTAAAACAGTTGCGTTTGGCTAAAGTAAAATAATTTTCTTCTTGTTCAGAAAACCACATCCTTAACAGCTTACAAATTTGTCTTTTGCTATTTTTGCAGGGCCACCACCCAACTCTGGGGGAACATCCAAAGTTTACCAACTATTCTTTTGATGTAGAAGAATTTATGTACCTTGTCCTTCAGGCTGCAGATCATGTATTGCAACACCCAAAGTGGCCATTTAAGAAAAAACATGATGAGCTATAAATGTGTTGAGTCTTTTTGCCAAAGGGGATTTTTTGAGCAATCCCACACCCAGACTCACCTTACAGTTAAATAGGTAAAACAGCCTGTTATCTCCTAGCCCCAAATCACCTTTTTTTTTTTTAAATACCAGTACAATGCCTTCAAGATATTACTTACGTCTTTTATAGCTTTTAAGTGTTTTGTTTGATTTTTGTGTCATTGCTATTTATCAAGATACTATTTTTGCACTGAAAACTTTACTTTTTATAGTTCAGAAATTGGGCCTGGGCTCACTGGTATCATTGAACCTTTTTCTTAGGGATGCCAAAGTTTGCAACTTTCTTAGTTTTAGAATTTGTGTTTTTGTAGAATACCATGAGATCATCATTTTAGAGGCTTCCAACTTGATATGTTTGAGTAAAATCATGACTCATCTATTTGCCATAGTTTGTTCATAGCACTGTTCATAGTTGGACAGGAAAACATGTAACACACCCATGCATACATGCACACACACATGCACACGGTTGTGGTTTTCAGTACCAATCTATAGGACTGTGTTATAGATCAAACAGTATTATAAATAGATCTGTTTTTGTCTTATCAGAGTCCAAACTTAGTCCCAATGAATTCTCTGTTATATCCTTATAGTCAACGCCAGGTTATATTCATCCAGAACCTGAATAAATCATGCTGTTTCCTTAAGTCATATTCATATATTTCATATGCAAATCATGTTTTCCCCACATATAACAACCACATATGATAAAAACAAATGAGAATGTTTTTAGAACGTTTTTTTTTTTATGTATCATCTAGCTGGTTTCCACTGGCTCCTTCTTAGCCGTGGAGAGCATTTATGTATGAAACAGTGGTTTCATTGTGCACATATTTGTAAGTGCATATACTTGTGTGTATCTGTCTACCTCTTTTAGCATGGAACTATTCCAGTGTTTGATTTTGCAAACTTCAAATTAGCCACAAGAAGAGATTTTTTTTTCCCCTATAAGAAAAGTAAAGGCAAAAAAGGGTAAAGACACATGTGAATTAGCCAGTTCAAAATGAATAAGAAGCCATAAGAGAGTGTCATAGATTAAAAAGTGTATCTGACAGCCACCCTACTCCCTCAATGAGATTCACTTCTTACTGTTTATGAACCTTCAATTTAGTGGTCGGAAACCATGGATTTATTTTATTTCAAAATGTGAAGTTTACATTTTATTAACACTTGAGTAATCTCATTTAGAGACTAGCAACTTCTATTTTTTTAAGTAAGGGATTAACAAAGTACAGCAGAGCTAAAATTTTTTGTATGTTTTAGAGTAGTTAAAAGAAAAAAGAATATACAGAAGACAAGTGACCTGAGAATCCTAAAATATTTATTATCTGAACCTTTACAGAACACATTTGCTGACTCCTGCTTTAAAGGATTATCAACAGTCTTCTAGAGTTTAGGAATATTTATTAAAATATCTGTAAATGAATTAATGAATCACTGTAGCAGTAGCTTTGATTTGAGACCTTTACAATATTTAAAAAGACTTACAACATGATTTTTTAAATGATTGGTATTGCTCCTGTTCTTTGTCCAAAATACTGAGTAACTGCTGAGAAGATTATTCACATGAAAGGAATTGTCAAGGCTATGTTGCCTGTTTAGTCAGAGAGGCAGAAAACATCTAAAAAAAAAAATGGCCTGATAAAAAAAGGTTTCAGCATGTATCTTCTTACCTCATTTTAAGAAGTGTTTGGGAATGTGATTCTGTAGATGAGCAAGTATTTTAGACATTGAAAACAATTTCATAATAAAAGTTAATTTGCATATTTCACAAAGAAACAGTACATTTTATAGAAATGAGAATATACTAGGTACTTTATGTAATTCACTTTTATCAGACTTTCTTTTTTTGATGGGAGCAAAAGGAGGTCTTCAAATTGTTATAAAATTTAAAATGTAAAGACTGCTCTTTTTATTAAGTCTTTGAAAGAGATGCATGTCATTGTTTGTACATTTGGGATATGGCTTTGGAATAAATCTTTTTATATTTTATTTGAACACCAGACTATTTTCAAGATTTTCTGTGTCTGAATGGCAGATGTTTACCTTTTTTCTTTTTTGCAATCTGGTCGCTCTAGATTATACAAATTGTGTAGCGCACTGATAATTCAATTTAAGGAAAAGTTGTACCTTACAATTATTTAGCAGTTTATTATGTGATGCTTTCATGGTATATTGCATAATCTGTATAAACTCAACTTAGTTGTTCCCATTTTTTAATGTGACAAAAGTCAGATGCTGTTTAAGGGACCTCCCTAAAGATCACATGTCTTCTGATCCCACATCTATAGTCCTATATTTATTCACCAAATTATGTGGTAAATATTGATGGAGCAACGACTGTGTACATTTCTACTCTAGGTTCTGGGGATACAGCAGTGAGAAGAACAGAAAGAAGTGCTTGCCTTCATGGACCTTGCGTTCTGATGGGGGAGACAGATATTAACATAAATAAGGAAAATATACTGTGTGTTGGATGTTGATACAAGCATGATGTGGACAAAACTAAAACATGAATGAGGGCTGTGGAGCTCTGGGGGGAGGTAGAGTCCAGCACACTTAGGTAGAGGGTCAGGGAAGTCCTTGTTGAGGTCACCCTTGAGTCAGGACTTAAAATACCTAAGGGAGGAAGCAATGTAGATAGCCAGCAAAGAGTATTCCAGGATGATGGAATAGTATGTGCAAAGGTCCTGAGGCAGGAGGGTACCTGGTATGTTTGAGGAACAGCCAGGAAGCCACTGTAGGGGCAGAGGAGTAGGAGACAAGTTTCAAAGAGGCAATGGGCCTGGGGTGCAAATGGCAAGCTTCTTGTCCTTTGATGGTGATGAGATGGGAGTCATTGAAGGGATCTCAACAGGAGGAATGGCCTGACTGAAGAGGATAACTGTAGCTGTTATGCTGGGAAGAGACTCTGGAGAAATGTTTCAGGTCGTGTACCCTGGGGAAGAGACTATGGGGTGTAAATTTGTATGCAGGTGGTTTGTTGGGGAAGATGCTCCTTGATGGACACCTGGAAGGAAGAAAAGGGACAAGACGGGTGGAGGAAGTGTGGAGCTGCAACACAATTGCAAGTGAGGCCACAGGGGGGCACTGTAGAGCTGATTGTAAAGGCTGGAGATCCTTGTAGCAATGAATCCCTGATACCGGCATTTCTCCAGAGGGGTGTAGTCTGGACCAGGGCAGCTCTCTTCAGCTGAAGGCAGTTCCTGGAGGGGAGCTTGGTGTGATCCATCAGTGGTCAGTATTCCCACCGCAGTGGTGGTGGGTGGATCTCCCAGACCCTCTATAGCCTCCATAGTGGGATGTTACCATTCACCGTGTTCCACTCTCCCTTCTACTGCCTGCCAACAGAAAGTTATAGCTAAGGCTTCATTTGATCCAGATTTTATTTGTTTTAAAGACTCCTTGAAGACAGTTCTGTGTACTTCATATGGTAGAAGGTGAGAGTGGCTTTGTGGGCCATATGAGTTCTCTGTCCCATATTATTATTTGTTGGTCCCCACCTCTAATCTTTTAACAAATGTAAAAACCATTCTTTGGGATATTTAAACAGGTTAAGGAACTTGCCCAAAGCCACACACTAATAAGTAATAGGTGGATTGGATATAGGGCTTTCTTTGTGAAGGAATTTAAACAGAGGTAATGTAGGAAGTAAAGGATGAAAGGAAGGAAGGGAAGGAGGGATGAAGGGAAAGAAGGAAAGAGAAGACAGAAGTTGGGTGGAAAAGACAATAGAGAAAGTAGTCCTGGTGTTAGGCTATTCCTTGCCGTTACAATATAGTTTTCTCTGATACACACTCAATGGAGGGAGAATTTGAAAAACACTTGCTTTTTGAAACTAAGAGCAATAATCAGATCAGGTATGGTTGCCTTGGAGAAATAGTTGTCTTTCAGAATACTATATTCACAACCAAGGACTATTGCCAGACACTTTAACATCGTCTTCCTCTGTTAGCTTATTGGGGCATGGCATAAGATGTCATAAGCACGCTTGTCACGGAGGAAGTGGCTTAGAGCTTGGCTGCGGTTATGTGGGCCCTCTCTTTGGACGGTAATGTGCATTTGAACCATGAGGTGGCAGTCAAGCCCTTCCAAATGGCCTCTGCACTCTGAAGGCCTGGGTATAATAATCTCATTGTAGATTCCAGACACCTGAGTGCCAGGGATAAGGCCTTGCTTCTGTGTGTGATGTATTTTTTCCATTCCTGATTTGAGGTAAAGTGGGAAAATTATCCTCGACAGTTTTCAGATTTAAGTGTGGAATTTCTTAGCTGCAGCCAATTCCTGAATCCTTTGTACCATCTCCTAATCATCCTGTGGAAAGAGCATTTGGTCTTGGGAAGATGATTTCTAGTGACAGAAGCTGTTCAGTGGAATGCAGGCTCACTGATGTGAAGGAATTTTCTTGGGAAGAGAGCTCTGTTGTAGGATCTCTAGATAGCCCATTAGTTCCTCAGTCCTTTTTAGGACCTAAATTCTTTGTTATATTGGGCTTGATAGGTTATTGTATATGTAAGTGCTGTTACCATTGAGCAGAACCAGACTATGGTGGAAGAGTTCTCGTGCTTGTGTTTAGTTACACAGTCATGTCTGACTGCGACCCTTTGGGCTGTAACCCACCAGGCTTCTCTGTCCATGGGATTTTTCAGGCAAGAATACTGGAGTGGGTTGCCATTTCCTTCTCCAGGGGATATTCCCACCCCAGCGTCTCTTACTTACATCTCCTCCATTGGCAGGCAGCTGCTTTACCCGCTGAGCCAACGGGGAAGTGCAGTGTAAATGAAGGAGTTCATTGAGGTCTAAATGCCAAGAGTGGTACCATGTTAATTAAAGAGGGAGGTTGTAAGATAAAAGGTAAAGAAACGACCCAGGTCCCTTCAGCAGGGCCATTTGGATGGAAGATGTGAGGAAGATGCCAAGGTTTCTGGAACCAAGACACCAGATCTCAGCTATTGGTGCTTTT